TGCTTGTTTTCCCCTGCCGATAGGGCAGAGGTGGTCCGGGCGAGATCCGCGATGAGGAAAGAAGGCGCAGAAGGTTAGAAGCCCGACCGCTTCTCATCCGCGGGGAGAGTCGCTCAACTCCAGCAAGGAGCATGTGGAACCATTGGTCAGTAGTCACGGAATTTTGAATCATTCACGTCAACACGAAAAGGCCAAGCATGTCTGAGCCGTGATGTGAGGTCATGTCCCGCATGAGGGTCTGGAGTTTGGGGGTGTCCGCTAGTCCTCCGCTAGGTTAGTCTAGTATCTTTCTTGGCTCCCTGCCGGGATCGCCGACAGATCTCTGCTTGCCAAAACGCAGCGGTGAAAAAAGGGCCTGCTGCGCCTCACGCGAGTGGCCCAACCCGCTTGTCGGCGCTGGCAGAACCAATCGTGTTTCCTGGGCATGTCGAGACAGCAAAGTGATTGGTTCTATCGTGCAGCCGCCTGTGGCTCGGGCAGGGTTCGTGGCGCTAGTTTTGTCGTTGGCGCGCTTTGCTCACCGACCCGACCGACTGACGGCCACTCCGAGAGTTGGGATATGGACTAAAGGATAGACTAGGTCGTTCTGAGGTATGACGCTAATCGCATGTGGATAATTGCTACCTAAATGGGTTAGCTAGTTGTAGTTCTCTCCTAACCTAGTCTGGTTTGATACGATCTAACTGCTTTAGGACCGTGTCATGAACTGTATTCTCTGTACCCGATAGGGCTATGTGCGAACGGCATGGCGTCAGGTTGAGAGAGCCAGACCAAGATAGGATACGGTGTTGCAATGTGGATTTGGCCCTCTAGCGCTGGTTTCAAGCGATTGCATTCTGACTGTTAGTACTCTCCGTAGTTATGTTTATGATGATTTATCTGCTTATGCGTTTCATGCATCAGCACCAAATTAACGGCCCCCAAACGGATCTTCCCTTAAGGCTGCCTTCACGGCATCGCCGAAGACTCAATATACCTCGCTTATAGATTATGCTGATGAAATCTTTCTGCTTTGATTGTTTGGGATAATTGATCCCCCCTTTTTACCTTTCTTTTACCCTTTTCATTCGTCCAGACTGGACCTCCGTACTCTGTACACAATTTGACTTCGCCTTATCGCATCGTCTGATGGGCGTCAGACCCACCTCAAGTCTTGTTTTTCCAGACCCAAAATACCTTCCACCACCTAATTAGCTTGAATTTATTTTCGTGGAGTTCCGAGTGACAGCGCCCATCTGATTCAATCATTTCCGGGGACCAGAGGGTTGACCCAATTCCCCGACCCGGGTTACACACCCTAGGGTGATTGGGTTGCTCCAAGGGGGGGTGAAGAGGCAACCGAACGGACAGCAAGAACCAGGCCAAATGGCAATCAACCAATGAACCCAATCTATGCGGCTCTTAGAGAACGTAAAAGGATGGCCAGAGGAGAAAGCGATCCCCTCCCCTTCTATGCACTTTACAAATGATCGACTCCCGCTAGCTTCAAGACAGACTAGTTTCTTTGACAGGCCATGACTCGTTAGTCGTTACCTTCTCGCGAACTCCACCTCTGCATGGACCTCTTTCTTCTCAATGGTCTGTTGGCACCCCCCCCCCTCCGCCCGCGTTCGCCCGGAAGCCGTCTAGAGGGTGTGATTGGACCCAGTGGTTTGGGGCTTCATTTTCCTTCATTAGCCTGTCACGTTGGATCTGGCCAATCACCGTCCGTATAGGAACCTTCAAACCCATGCCTGCCGAGATGGCTTGTTCTTGTGGGGAAGCTAGATGTGGCCCCCTGTGGTCCGATGTGGCCCCAAGATCGTCGTCGATGAGGTGTTTGTTCGATCGCTTTCTGTTCGTCTCCCGCTGTCCCCATAAGGGGGGAGACACCGGGAGAGATATGAACGAATTATTATAGTATGTCGAATGAAATTTCCCCCATTCTTGGTTGCTTTTTTTGCGCATCGCATGTTCTCGATTCTTTTCGTTTTCATCGGCCACGTCTTCTGACGACCCAGCAATGGAGTTCATGACGTTTTGATTTGATAGGACACCCCTGAACTGGACTCGCCCACTATGACCCGTTCCCCCGGGTTTGCATTTTTTTCAAAGAATAACCACGACCATTGTTATGACGGAACAATTTGTTCTTTTACTCGTCCGTAATCTATCTACCCTTTCATCTTCCTCGTGTCCTATCCAGTAAGTCCAGCACCTCTTTGTAATAATGTAACGTTGTCAGATAGCACGATCTACAATGCGTTGTTACTTGATTAAAAATGATTCTGTCAGTCGCGAGCCGCCGTCGAATCAGAGCTCCCAACTGGCGAAAAGGATAAATAGCGCCAAGCTTGGGCCCAGCCAAATGTACACGGACTTGCCGATGCCTCGAAATTTAGGGGGATAATCGACGGATTGAGGACCTGAGGCAGTGGACAATTCCTACTCTCCGTACTCCAGTCTCCTAACTGTAAATTCTACGGAGTGGACAATCCATTTAATGGAGCCTAATTTGACTTTTGACAGCAATTAATATTTCCCTAATTCGGTGATGCCGTACTTTTAACTAATTGGTTAACTATGGCACTATTGGCAATGACGGGGCGCCTCTCCCGTGAATTTCCATCGATCGTCGTAGTTTGACAGCGGAGGTTTTTTTTTTTTTTCGATGGACTGGAGTCCGAGGAATGGCCCGGTGACATGCGTAGAAACTTAGAAAGTGTGTTATTCCCGACCCCGTGCGATAAATATCGTTCCGTAGTCCGTATGCTATCCGGACTTATTTCTGAGGCTATTGATTATGACAAATTTGACAACCCTGGTCCGGCGATCTCCATCTGGGCTGGGCCCGCGAGATGATCCCTGCACGAGTGTGTTTGACGGGTTCCCCATAGTAGTTGTAGCTTGTACTTGCTGTCAGAGAGTACTCCGTACGGAGTAGCTACTATACTCCATAGTTAGTAGTGTAGGGACCTCCGTTCCCCCTTTTTCTTCCGCAGGAAATGATAGACCTGTTCGGAAGTGAATTAGATTAAAATCCGATCTGGACCATTGTGGACTTGAGAAACTCAGACTGAGATCCTCCTTGTTAACTAGTTGATTTGCTATGGATCGAATTAATTTATTTCCGTGCGATCTATCGTGTTCTGTACGGAGGACTCCCGCACGCCCGACTCTGCACTATTGGGGATGGACCATGCAGGTACTCTTTCCGGGTGAGTGCCAACGAGCCTTGAAGTAGTTAATATGTTATTCTTTTTGTTGTCGACGTCAAAACTATTGTTATACATGTAAGTACTTGCATGGAAAATGCTGTCGGCAAGAGATCTTTTGGAGGGATTCCCCAGGATCAACCCGCGTGCGAAAGGGCCCGTGGGGCGGGTATGTACGGTACTGTACCTCGTAGGGCAGAACCGAGGAATACGCCCTGCACTTGGTGATGATTACGACGATGAGGAAATCAAGACCGTAGAATTTTGTACACGTACTGTAGGTAAGCCCCATAAGGCGAGGAAAGGGATTTCCCACGCCGTCAGAAGTTAGAAAGTTGAAGGGGGAATTCGCGCGAATGGGAGGGATGGTGGGGGGCCTAAGGAGGCTGAGTCGGCTCCATAGAGTGGCTACGACAGTGATGGAGTATGACATAGTGGTTACTACTCTGTAAATTCAGCATGGAAGAGAGCAAGAATTTGTCTTCTTTCGTTAGAGGACGTAGTTAGTGTAGCTAGATTTGAATAAACATACAGCGGAGTATTGTAGAAGGGGAAAAAAGCGTCTGATTTCTATAGTATAGTAAAGTGTAGTAGAGCTAATATTCATATGCCATGAAGTTGAGACGCAAATATAGTATAGACTACTTGTCGATATCATTGTCAAGATACTCTAAGCTCTGGTATAGTTCTGCATGGACCATGATCAAGCCGAGGCCCTGTCGTCAATCGTCAGTGGTCGTGATGAACCAAAATTATCTTTAGGGGGTCTGGGTTCTCAGGTATTGGTGGTATTGGTATGGTACTCGTAATTTATGATATTTCTTTTTTAGTTTAATCGGATTTGATTTTCCTCTCTCATCCCCATCCTTGCTAGCTTCTTTGGGATTATTTTGATTTTGATTTTCTTTATTTTCGTTATTTTATTATTTTCACGATTCCACCTCTATTCCTCCCATCATCCTAATTATTTTTTTTTCTATAATCTTTTCTCTGATCATTTCTTATTATTTTTGGAATTATTATTTTTTTTTCCCTCTCTTATCCCCCAAACGAGACACTGCACTGCCAGAAAATCGGACTATACACGAAATGGCGTAGGGCGTATCCTCACGACCTCGCTATAATATTCTTGCCCTGCCCCCTCCCTTCCGCTCTTCTGACCGCATGACAGATCGCTCCCACTGGCTACATCTCGTCTTTTCTCAATGATCGAGTGCGGTCTGCAAAGAGTTGATTATCGATCTGTTTTTGCTTCTCTCTCGGTCTACACTCCTCTTCCCCGGTCCAGACCAGACTTTCCCCTCGGCCCTGCCGAAACTCCAGGTTGTATATAAATTCCCCGCCGCGCCTGGTTTCTGCCTCACACCATTTCCACTTGTCACGATATTCCTCCGAATACTCCAGAAACATTCCCGATCTAGGTTTTGCAGATTCCTAGATTCTTCATTACCTCATTCCCGTCTTCCCTTTTTTTTCTACCCTGGTTCTTGCAACCTGAATGCGACCTGAACCCGTTGCCTTTGTCTCTCCCCTTGCAGCATCACCCGGGTTCACTATTCGGCGCGTTGCCTGCTGCTTCAAGTTTCCCAAGGTTCGCACGTTGGGGTTAAAACCGGGCCGCAATTCGAACCTTATCGCTTGGTATGTCTCTCCCAATTCTCTTGGAATGCGGCGCTTTCCCACATGGAACCTTTTCCCCCGAGAAGATGCATTGTTGAAAAGGAAGCCCAACTGACTTGAGTTTCTTGTTTATTAGAGCCTCAAAAGATTGTCACAGTGCTTGACCTTGCCAACCAAGAGATATAAATGTCGACGCAACCTGCCGACTCGGACTTTGTGCTCTTCCCCCAAAACATCGCCCCACAATCCAAGATGCTCGCTGTCGAGGCTGCCAGACCTAAACAATCTGCATACTTCCAGCCCATGGCGATGGACCCTAACTTGGTCGACATGTACTCGTATCCCTTGGACGTGCACACGTATCCCCACACTCACACCCACACCGACTTCTCCCGAGTCCCGCAATCCTACTTCGAGGCCTCGTCCGTGTTTACCGAGTCCGACTTTCACCAAAACTCAACTTTCCCTTCTATGCCCGCGACGCCGCCATCGGCTCCTGCTTCACACTCGACTGAACACCACATCCCCACTGGCTCTGCGGCCTCGGGCCCCTCCATCGCGAGTGCGCCTTCTTCCGCGCTGGGCTCTCCCTACGCGGGGAATGCGCAAGTCGTTCAGGATAATTGGATGAATACGAATCACGGTCTCGGTCTACCTGCTGCCGTCATGAACGATTTGTTTGCCAATGATTATAGCCACATGGGCGGCCACGTCGATATGGACGGGCTCTACCAAGAAAAATTCCCAGACACCTTTGTCGGTAGGTTGATCCCAGTCGAGCAATTTGGGATTGCGAATCTCCAGCATAAATATATGCTAACGCAAGATACAGACCCTTCTCTCATCCAGCCAGTCCAATCCGCCCCTGGCTTCACCCCTACCATCTCATATCCCGAACAATCAACATATGTCTATCCTACCGCACCAATTAACTTTACTCCCCACTCTCCCGCCGCCTCTCCCGTGTCCTACAGCGACAATCTTGAGCCGCGGGCATCACCACTCATGGTGCCGGGAACCTCCCACTCACGACCGGTGTCAGTCTACGACCGCCGGTCATCCATCTCCTCTATTCACTCCCGTCGCTCCCAGCGCAGTCCCGCGCTCAGCAGCATTGAAGGCGACGACGAGGTTCACCAAAAGGGTCGCTGCCCACACCCCGACTGTGGCCGCGTCTTCAAGGACCTCAAGGCGCACATGCTCACTCACCAGTCTGAACGGCCAGAGAAGTGCCCAATTACGACTTGCGAGTATCACATCAAGGGCTTTGCGCGCAAATACGATAAGAACCGTCACACATTGACCCACTACAAGGGCACAATGGTATGCGGCTTCTGCCCTGGCTCTGGCTCACCTGCCGAGAAGAGCTTCAACCGCGCCGACGTCTTCAAGCGCCACCTCACCTCGGTGCACGGTGTGGAGCAAACCCCTCCCAACTGCCGTAAGCGCAGTCCCACCGGCTCGACCCAGAAGGGTATGAACTACTGCAGCGATGCGACTGGCAAGTGTTCCACTTGCTCGGCGACTTTCAGCAACGCCCAGGACTTCTACGAGCATCTGGACGACTGTGTGCTGCGGGTGGTGCAGCAGGAAGAGCCCTCTGAAGCGATTAACCAACAGCGGTTGGCCGAAGTCGCTGCTGACGAGGAGGTGCACAAGACTATGGAAAAACACCAACTGCTGGACGTGGCTGGCCCCGTCGACGCCTTTGACGATAATGACTCTCATGACGATGACGATTCCCACGACCCCTCCTCCTGGCGCGCCGGTCGCGGCGCCCCTAAATCCACAAAAGCCTCCGGCTCCTCCTCAAGGCCCATCATCGGCTCTGGCAACGCCATCTCGAAATCCGGCGCCGGAACGACGGCCAAGAATGGCGGTCGTGCGGTTGCTACTCGCCGCCGTAATAACCGCGGTAATTACCCGCAGTCTTGGGGCTGCCCAAACTCCAGCATGAAGACTAAGAAGCGCGTGCTGTGTGTGTTTGATGGTCAACGCCGCCTGTGGAAGGACGAGATGGTGCTCAACAATGAGTTTGAGGTTCGTCTGCGTCTTCCGGGTGGAGCTGGCGATGGCACTCATCGTGATGCGTATGTCACGGATCTCGATGTCGAGACCATGAAGCGTGTCGAGGGTGTACACAGCGCTAATGAGGAGGAGCGCGGCCCTTGGATCGAGGGTCCCGTGTCCCAACTCATGGGTCAGCCCGCGATGTTGTTGCCGGACATGTGCCAGCCCCAAGATGATGAGATTTCTTTGAATGAACTCATGGCTTAAGCGAGCTGATTCCGTTATCTCCCCCTACCTCCTACCACTCCTCTCACCTTGTCCTTCTCCCCTCTCCTCCGTCCGATTTCCTTTTGTTCTTTTCTTTTGTCTTTATGTCTCATGTTTCCGTATACCAGCGAGCGGCGTCTGAACGAGCAATTTGTCTGAATACGGACTTACCGGTGATACCTTGGGTTTCGATGTGTTCGATATGATGTCTGAGGTTTTCATTTATTTTGACTTGTTTCATTGTTGGGTTATCGACCCTTTTACACTTCTGTCTTGTCTGTTACCGACCCAATCCTGCTGGTACAGGTGATGATGGGCGGAATGACTGAAAATATTCAAAACCAATACTTGAATTTAATGAGAATATGCTCATGATGACACTGCTTCCATATATAAGTAAAGAGAAATCCTAGTAATCCCCTATAGTTATCATCGTTGCGTGTCCTTCGCTGGCTACTGTCTTCGGAACCACCGTTGCGCCATCCATCACCGCCTTGGTTATCGCTCCCCGCATATCCCCACCTCGACCGCGGTCGTCTCTTCCAATTCCACATATCACCAGCCATGCAATTAGGACTCTCCGAGAACCTGACCGCGCTGGTCGCGCGACGGTTCACTGCTGCCAGAGATGGCGGTCATCTTATCTTTTCGTCTACCCATCTGTCAATTATCAGCACAGCAGGGATCCCAGTATGTTCTCCCCCGCCCCTGCAGCTCCAGAACCAGGGTCTCTTACACAGTCACACATCCAGTTCCAACTCCGCTACTGCCCTGCTCTTGGTATGAAGCCTCAAGATCTCAAGCAAGCCGTACCCGCAGGCCCTAAACCTCCAAAATTTGACCCCTTCGAGAACCCTTCCCCGGATCTGCTCCTCGCAAGCTTCCCCCCACAAAATCCAACCCACGCCCTCGTCCTGAACAAATTCCCCGTGATACCAAATCACTTCATCCTCGCCACAAAAGCCTGGAAAGCACAAACAGATCTTCTCGAAACCGCCGACCTCGAAGCAACATACGAATGCCTCCGCACCTGGGGCGACGGCCCTTCCACTAATCCCAACACCAGCCGCCTCTTCGCATTCTTCAACTCCGGCGAAGACAGCGGCGCAAGCCAACCACACCGTCATCTCCAATTCCTCCCCGTAGAAGACATGCACCAACCAGGCACCGAATCCTGGACTCCCCTTATCGACCTCCTCACCACACAACCACACACACCCCAATCCTTCCAATCCCACCCCTCCCTCCCATTCACACACTTCGCCCTCCCCATCCCGAAGAACCCAACCCCGGAAAGCCTCCACGCAATCTACATCGCCCTCTACCGCGCCGCCGTCGGCGCAGTGCAGGGCCGAGAACCGCGCGACGGTCTCCCGTCTCTCGCTACGCATGGACCCTCGGCGATAAGTTATAATCTCGCGATGACACTCGAGACGATGATGATTGCCCCGCGACGCGCGGAAACGGCCCGTGTGCCGGTTGATATTGCTGCGGCGGGGGATATTGCGGATCCCGGTGTTATTTCGTTGAATGGGACTATTCTGGCGGGGACGTTGATGGTTAAGGCTGAGGCGGAGTGGGATGTTTTGAGGGCTAAGCCGGAGGTTTTGGGGAGGTTGTTGAGGGATGTTGGGATACCTGGGACGGGACATGCGTTGTTGTAAGTAGGGTTGGATGGAGGTGGAGGGTTTGTGTACAATTGTTGATCCGGGTGTGGGCATTTATGGTGTTCTTTTGTATAGCATGTTTTGTATTGTTTATTGAAGACATACATACGATGGGTTTTCATTGGTTTGGATCCATGATAAGATCTGAAGATTAGGTCGAGAAAGATTTATGGTAAAGTTGGAAAGAGAGTTAAGCGTTCCGGTCTCGGGATTAAAGATATTTCATTGTCCTCGTAGTAACGAGGTATAATCACTATGTGTATATCAGTTCGGAGGTTCATGAAAGAGAATGGAATGGACAGTAAGGCGCGAGAAGAAAGAACTTCTATTGTTAGTGATGGGGCACCTCTGGCAAGAGATATGACTAATTTGACTAACCTAGCCCTTGACAGACTGTACCTCTTCCATCCTGGTTCTTCTTGTCAGCCTCTTCTCCCGCTACTTCATATCTCGTGAAGTACTTTCATCATGGGGAACTTGCTGCCAAACGAACCGCTTCTTTTCGTTGCCCAGTCCCTTTCCGACCAGAAAGACCTCTCAGCCTTGTCACGGACCAACTGGAGGTTATACCACCTCTTGACCAGATACTTGTACGAGTCCAATGTTCAACATCACAAAGCGTCAGGACTACCATGGGTAATCAAACTCGGAAACTACTCTTACCAAGATATTCCTCGACGCCGGCGCCAATATAGATCAATTTGGATGTACATCCACAATCGTCAACCCCGACGATAATCCCATCCACTCGTCGCAGCCGCGCGATTGAGTCCCAATCTAGCGATCCTGAAGCTATTGCTCTTTGAAGCCCGACCAGACCAGATATTTTTCCAGCGCCAACTGACCAACGTATTGAGATGGGCCATCGAAACCCAGAATCAAGATGTCTTCGACTTGATCATGTTGGATCAATCCTTACTCCGTCGTGTGGGTAGCGACCATTACGGCAAGCTGTTGCATTTCGCGCTTCGACTAGGTACAGAAGCGATGATCGAATGTCTTCTAAAGAACGAGGCGAGACCGCTCCCCCGTCGTCAAAGTATGATGTTCGACGCTGCAGCCAAGTGAGACGACAACACTCTCCAACAACTGCTTAGATATAACATTTGTCCCGATTCGACTTGGACCCTGGAGAAGCTTGCAAATGTGGACAACATCACCTCTCTGCAACTTGTGATCGATCTCGGCGTGGAGATCGCCGTATACGGCCACGCGGCGCTTTTCTACGCCATCTACCGCGGCCATCAAGATATGTCAAATTTCTCATTCAGCACGGCGCGAATCCACATCTATCCTGTGCACCGTATGAGATCTTTCTACGACCTGCTTTGCCGTCGGATATAACGGACTTTCTATTTTAAAGCTTCTGCTGGATAATGGTGTTCGGCCCGATAGTCAGGATCTCGAGCTTGCCGTTAAAATGAACTCGGAGGAAGCTGTTGCTCTTTTGGAGAAGTTTTCTTATGATGATCTCCCAGAGAGAATGCGGTTGGTGCAGTTTACCCGGCAGCGAGAGGCGGAGAGGCTTGGTGATCCTGGGTTTTACCGGTTGGACTGGGATCATTGGCGTGCTGGGCCGCGATTGAGATTTGGGAGAATGGGCGATAATTAAGTGTTTGGTTGTGCATATGGTGCTGGGTGTAATTAGGTTGGGGCTGCACTGTAACGTTGGTTCTCGATGCCTATTTTGCGACAATAAGGGTTGCGCTGTAGAATGAATTTAATGTCAAGTATAGATTCCACTTCCACCAGTCTTCCAAAAGATATATTCGATTTCTAACGAGTCTTAATAGCACAGTTTATCCCAACGCCATCCAAGATCAAGCCCATTTAAGACTCCGGTCATGCAAGTCTTAATAAATGAAAAAAAAACTCTCAAGACAAAAAACTGCGGGCAAAATCCAGGAGCCCTCCAATAAACATTCCAAGTTCACTCCTCATATCTTGATCCCATGAATGTCACACCACTTCTTCTTACAAGTCGCATTCCCAAATTGATAAGAGCCCCCATGACTCCAGATATACTGAGCCACTTTCTTCCACGATACCTTGGGCGGCTGTCCCGTCATCGCCATGGTGAAGTTTGCTTGTGCAAGGAACGTATAGCCCGACCCAGACGGCGAAGCCGGGCCCGCACCTGCAGCTACTGCTTCGCAGAGGAGTTGGATCTACATGGAAGGAAAATACAAGTTAGCATTGCTTCAAATCTTCTGGAGATATTGACCTGTATGCCGTGACAGGCCTCGGGACATGTGTCTGGGGTAATACTCACATCGCTCTTGAGCCACTTGGGTTTCCGCACACGATGCTCTTTAGCCTTGGTAAGGGTTCGAAATCGTCCACGCAAGGTCGATTCGGCTTCCTTGAAACCGCCCATGCGTTTGATATCTTTGTAGGATAGCCCGGCTCGCTTCCATTCGATGAGTAGCGCGTTGCGAGCGTCGCTGTAGTGCAGACTCGCTTTTATGGCTGGGTTTTCGCTTTCGAGTTGTGGAGGCTCTGGATGGGGGGTTGATAAGCCGGGGATAGGGAATGATGTGGTGCAATCGGGCATGGGTGGTAGGCCGGTGTGTGTTTGTAAGATAGTGGTAGGCGGGGACTGGGAGATACTCATTCCAAGAGGAGTGATTGAGGAGTAGTCTGGTTCATCTGGCCTGGGTGCCGAGGGGATGTTGGCATCGTGGTTGTGCGATGGTAATATATTGTTGGAGGTGAAGTGGTAGGGAGGTATCAGCTGAGTTTCGGGGCTGCTGATGCCCGAATTCTCGGGCATTGGCCATGAACAGGATGGCAGGGTTGTGAGAGCTGGCCATGCTAGCCTGTCTGGGTAATATTGGGGGGTCCAGGGCTTGGTCTCGGTACCCATTGGATACTGAAATGAAGAGTTGGTGTCGTTGCTCCCTGACAGAGAATCTGCAATGAACGGTGCATCATGGGTCCCTGGAGCGAAATCCTTGTCCGGCAGATGACCCATGAAAGTACTTTCTGGTAGAGGTAGTCCACATGGAATGGGTTCTTCTCTGGGTACATCCATAAAATCGAACGAGGATGAAAGCGATGGAGAGCTCTCTGTCACGGAGCCAAAAGAAGGAGTCTTGGAGGGCCAGTTGAGTTCCATTCCCGCCATTGACTGAAACAGCTCGTAGGATCCGTCGATCTTCGTACCGGCGAGTGAAGTTTTGGGTGGTTCAAATGGAACAGGTGTGAAATGGCCACTCGCTGATAGGCCGCTGCTTGAATGTGTTGCTTTCATGGGGGGAGCGGTAGAATGGTATGTATTTGAAGAAGTTTGGGTTTGAAAAGTGGTTGGAATTGTGGAAGTTCCCTGGAGAATGGAACTATCCCTTTTGCCATGGCGATGATACATAGGTAGATGCATGGATGTCATATTAGAGTCAGCTGTTGTTGAGGGAATGCGTTGCTTCTGGGTGTCCATGATATGCTTTTGCCAATGTGATTTGCGTTGACGAGGAAGTTGATGGTGGTTCTGACGAGTTGCAAAATCGATAGTAGAATTGCAGTTCTCAGAAAATTGGATCGGAGAGTCATTAATGAAAAGAATCTCGTCCAGACTAAGAAGAGATAACAGCTCTTTGGAGCTAAGTCCAAAATCCAGCGCAGGGCTCTCTTTTTGCTGGGCAAGCCGTGGCTCTGGAACCCCAGAACTGAGAAGTATATCAATCATATTCAAGCGTGTGGCTAGAACCAGAGGCAATATGACCGTCCCAGGAGACTCTTCTTGGTTCACCGCAATTGCCGGCTTGTTGAAGACCTTGGTTGTACACGGGTTGTCGCGGCGTGTAGATTACCGTCGATCCGTGGGCCCTCTTCTGATGTCTTTAGACGCAGAATTGTCAGTGCGCAACGGTTGGGCAGCGAGGAAAATGAGGAAAACTTCAGAAATAACTTCCATGTAAGCTTGGTATTCGTATTCGTTGGAATTAATCAGTCTTTATACTGCTAGATCACTCACCTTGCTCATGAACACCTCAAACCTAGGTTATTAGGTGTATGGATTACAGATATTGAATATCACTAGTGTGGCAAACTGGGTATACAAGGTTCTAACCGCAGGTTCAGATCCTGGATGATTGTTTCCTTGGAATGGCGGCTAGACCGTTGAATGTAATGCTGTCTCAGATCTGTCGGCAATTTGTGTGTTGAGCTTGGTCAGTATGCAAGACGCTGGCAATGACTTGCATAGAGCTCTGGATGCTGCTTGAAACCCGGTGGCTTTGAATGAAATGAAAAGTGTGCATGAAGAGCCTGGGCGTAGTATGACTAGTAATGCTGGCCTGTCTCAGCTTTAATAGTATAGCAGGCTCCCCCTTTTACCATTCACACAAGTGCTTAGGATGACATCCCCGGCCTTGATATCGCGGCAAGCTCGTTTCATCCCTGCGGGCCGGCCCATCTAGAAAAAACCCGTTGAAAATTCTCCGGGGCCGAGACCGTTGTGGACGATGAAGATCTGGAAGAGCAGAGGCAAGTAGCAGGTATACTGGTTACCGAAATGACTCTCTCGACCCTAGCCAGGACGAAAATCCCCGGGTGTTTAGATCGAATGCCGCGGTGATCCACTTGTCGCTCGTTTCAGATATGTCCTTATATTCCGGTGCAGTGTCTTATCCGACCCTCGATCCCGGAATGGAATTGTGTCAGTGTCTGAGGCCTACTGAGACAACTAGACGGGCTGGGGGTCGGGGGCGAGTTTTATCTTTGACGGGGTTGGCATGAAAGGTCTCATTGAGCTCTTGTCCGCTGTCTATACCTGCTCTCAAGTCTGAATTTTGAGACTCATCGGAAGCTTTATTTATATTGCAGAATATGCTCTCGTACTTCGTCTTGTACATGGACTACTAAAATGGGTCTAATCGCCAGTTGGACTATGACAGCCCCAGCCCACCCCTAAGCACTTAGCCCTGAACCAGATCAACCCAGACCATGTTCGACTGTTAGCTATTAATACCATTTGAAAGGAACTCACTTATAGAGTTCGCCTCCAGATCCATTTTCACACAGGTATGGGCAGTTTGAAAATGTCCTATTCTTCACGGAGAGCCGCATAGGGCTCGGTAGAGAGGCTCTCCGCCACCCGATCCAATCAGCAAAGGCGGGATGAACCCAACCAGGGTCATTCATAAAAAAGCAATGACGATAGGGGTCACCCGGTGTCTAATCTCCAGCCTAGACCTCCACAAGAATTCTGGAGCCGGAAGTGACATGTCTATTCCGGGGAGGCGATTTACCGAATGGGTGTAGACCTAGGTTATACCACAACACCTAGAAATGCATTCATCAAGTATGCAGAACTTCGATTACACCTTGTTGCTCTAAATTTATGCAAAATTAGGTGCCAGGTGTCTATTGTCTCTGGAAGCAAGTCCGTAGATCGACAACAGGTGAAGCGCTGGGTAAGCTCGACAATTTACCCGCACAGATCTTCTAGGAGGCTTACTTCGACCCCGGACTAACACATCCCAGCGATTGGTCCTGTTTCAAAGAAGCTTCTTTTAGTGAACTTGGGATGGGCTGGGTGGCGTTGGAACCGGCATAATAGAGAACCGGCCCAGGTTGATGCGAACGCCCAACGGTCAAGGTCTACATCCTGCCAAGGGATGACAGCTCAGCACGCCCATTCGGAGGTAATCTCAAACTGAGTGCTCTCTTTACTCTCGACCAGTGGATCAGCTTAGATATTGTTATTTATATGCCCCAAGAAGATGTGAGTTTCTTATACTCCAACCAGCGCAGCTGAGGTGGAGCTTAAGATGAGAGTTTCGACCGCATATGCAGATCATGAGTGTGCTTTTCTTCCCCATTTTGCTGCTGACTATAGGCTATCCATTTATCCCCATCTGAGACAATGCTAAGTTATTCAGACAAAATACCCCAGTGGATGATGAATATCTTGCTAGGTGGCTGGGTATGCTTTGGGAGGACGAGAAGACAAATACCCGGGAAAGTTTCTTGGAGCAAAATATAGAAGGGCATATTGGCATAATTCGATCGATAAAGTGCGTTTGATCGAGACGGGAGCATATTAAAGGTTATTATAATATCAACTTTGCGACCTTACTAGTTCACGGTGAGACAGACCCAAGAGAGGATTGGTGGAGGCAAGTGTCTGAGGCGAAATGATGACCTCCGCTTGTCAAATTTCTCGGCTATGGCTTTCTGCATGCTCTGCTTTGTATACCCCCGATCTTATGGCCCGCAGAGATGCGCTGTTGCAGACAGCCAGATGATTGTTCCAAAGCTCAACGGCTTCTTGTCCCCACTGGATTTCAGGTTATCAAGTACTTTCCACGCTGTTCATGTCAGCAAAACATTCCGCAGGTTGAGTGGAACAAGACAATAGAGCTCGAATTATCTTTCTCATTCTACACCAATGGAGAATCTGTCGCCTTCCCCTGTGATTGGTTCTTATCAAGACAGGACGCTTTCCAAACCAGGAAATCCCATCATGATGAACACATGCAGAATATCCAAAGCTGTCCGACATGAAGTGCATCACCAGTCAACTATGGGGGAGAATGGCCAAACGGGCTAGTCCTGCATAGCGCCTAGCTCTCCAGAGCATCAAATGCTCTCCCTCTCCGTCATCAACTGCGAGGCAGACTCGCTTGGACTGGTCTTTCCAACAGGAATCGGATCTGTTTCCACCATCCCCGGTGCATTGGCAGAAGACTCAAGCTCGGCGCCGCTTTCCCCGTTCCGCCGGCCAGCTGCATCACTCCGGGATGCGAAATAATCCAAAAGTCGGTCAACCAGGAGCACTGGGGCCAATCAGATTTTATAGTCAACAACGGACGCGGGGAAGGGAAACTGACCAAACAGAAGCGTCAAAGTGAATGCGTACAGGATAATAGGCGAGGTCATGAATGAATAAGCCAATGGGAAGTAGCTTGCGAATGAGACAAGGCTGGCTAGGGATATTGCGAGGACCATTCGTACCGTCATCGAGACGTTCCGATGAAAATGGATTTCATGTCGATGGGAGAGCACTTGAAAGGCCGCAAGGAGGCCCATGGAAATACTGGCTACCGCAAAGAAATAAATGTACACGAAGGCGAGGAGCTTCATGTACATCTCAAGTAACTGTTGGTTTGTGAGGAGACTAATGTCGACCTTTTTGCTGGGTAAGATCTCCATGCTCGAGAAAAGGGCAGCCGTTACATTCCCGGTGAGATCATTGAACAAGTCTGCTGTATACTCATAGTCAAAGGTTTCACGATCGGGACAAAGAGGCTGTACAGCCAGAGCTTCCAAGAGACTCGAGATCGCGGCCCATTCTTGTGTTGCTCCCCGGCTGAACGGGATCTCCATATCGTCAATCGTGCTTCGGATAAGTGCCACCGCTCTGGCTGTGCTGGGACGTGGGGCTTCGCATACAAATAGAAGTGTCTCCCCCAGATACTTCAGCTTCAGTGTCACATCTAGCGTAAGTGCAAGAATCTGTGACCCTTCAAGGAGTAGAATCAGCACCACATGAAATGGGAAGTGCAACTGTGCCCATAACTGCTGCTTGAGCTTCCCGAGCTGACGGCGGGGTGATACATCGAAGTAAGCATGCCAGATCAGGTACTGTCTATAGTCAGTCATTGGCCAATCCGGATCGCATGCCTAGTACGAAACTCACCACATTGGTTGTGACTCCCAAAATATGAACAAACGACCACTTAGTCCATCCACCGGGCCGTACCGTCTCGTTGACAATTCGAGTGATAGCAATGACACCCTCTCCGATGATGATCAGCGTAAGTAGGCCCATTCGCGTATTGAGGTGGGTATCTTTGAACCCGATATCCGGGTACATCAAGGAAAGCCCTGTAACCGTCCACATTTCAACGCCGAAAAGAACAAACCAAACGGACCAGATCCGAGAACGAAGCCCATTGCTTCCGGAGAAAGCCAGATACATCTGGCAGATGGATTAGCATGCTCCTGACTTCCAGATTGTGGAAAGGGGTACAGGCACACGTACCACTAGATAAAAGAGGGTTGTCACCCAGAAGACCAGTGCAGTGTAAGAAACGCCCCGGGCGGCAGATTTCATAGACCGATGGAGGAAGGCTATGTTGACCGTGTACTGGATGGCCAATAATGTCCGACTTCCGGCCAAGATCAAAGTGAGAGACTGGAATGCCCAGGCATTCTCCTCTCGAACGGACGTGCTGAATCTCGATCCCGCTGACGCAAAGCCAACCATTGCGGCGAGCTGGATCGCCTTGCATAATCTTTCAAAGACAGAGTCTCGGGCAAAGCGGACGTCGAATAGAGTGACCTGAAGCCACGTGAACCAGATGACACCAAGGAATCCTATGTATGCACACAAAGCTGAGGACCGAATCAGTACGAGTCTTGAGCCAGCACGGAAATCTGGGTATTACCATGGAAGTTATTGATCTGATGTGTAGCGGTGAATGTTGAGAGATTGGCAACGAAAAAAAGGTCAAAGAAGAGCTCAATGGGGGTTGCGTCCGAGTGTCGGTAGAAATGATGACCATCCTCCGTTTGACTGACTGGGCTGGTAATCCAAGGCAAGCCATGATGCTGTGTACTTGATGGATGTCAGACCGCCCATCGCCAGGAATTGGTGCGTATGACTTACGGTGCGTGCTTCTCCAGGTGCGAGGGTCTATAGGTCTGGCGGAAAATAGAAATGAAACGAGGTGGTAACAACATTTTGAATAATGAATTGAGTTTTAATAAAAAAGACAAGTAAAGACCAGGGGTATCAAAAAGGACCAGCGTTGACTCCGCAAGAGAAAGATCCAAACAAGAAGTTTGAGAGATGTCCGTGTCGATTTCACGGCACATCGCAAGGAAGGCACAAAGCATCATGGCTCTGCGGAGCTGGAATCGGACGTTGCCATGGGAGCACCGAGGCTCTCAAGGCCACGCTTCACCAGCGCACCTTCCGATGCATCCGCGGTAGGGTCAATGCCCGCCTCCTTCTTGAGTCGCTCATAGTTGTCGCCGGCTTCTTTGATTAGGGCTTGGATCTCTACTTCGCGAATGGCGACCTCTTCCTTTTCCTTGCGCAGATCCTCCATTCGGCTGATCATCTGCGTCTTGGACGTCTCCATCGATGCAAGAGTCGTGCGCAGTCTTTCGAGACTGCTAGCTAATTTGGGCAGTGAGGTCATCTTTGGGGGCGTGCGAGGCCGGTCAATGCCCTCGCCCCGGCCGCTTCCGATCGCGGCTTTCGTCTGTGTAGCCTCATATGCCGCTTTCTCTTCAATATCTGAATCTTCATCGTCGGAGAGCCCTTCGGCATCTTCGATGAGCTCGCGCATCGCATCACGCTGCTTGCGCTGTTGCTCACGCTCTGCCTTTCGACCGAGCGAAATTTTCCCGTCTTCCACATACTCATCGAATCCTTCGGCGAAGTCCTCATCATCGCGAACGAGCCGTGTGTCCGTTTCTTTCTCTGGTATCTTTTCACCTCGTGCTATCGCATCCCAATCGTCGTCGCTACCGATGTTGTCCTCAAGGGAGATGAAATCGTCCTCTTTGGCGGCGCCGTGTTCCAATGCCAGCCGTGCGCGCCGGGCCTTCTTTTCGCGAATTTCTGCTTCGCTGGGAATAGCAGATGAGCCGCCGGAAACGGTCATTATTTCTCCAAACTTGGCGGCAACATCGACCGTCCTGTCCTTCTCATCGTCTGTGCTGGCTTTTGGTGTCGAGGGTGTCGAATCCTGGAGCTCTTTCAAATATTCGCGGCTATAGCTAGGTCGATCCCGGTCGTGACCAACTCGCGCAGAAAGTGTATCGATTCCTCCGGAAGGTGTCAAATTTCGTTGAAATGTGCTTCTCTCCATGACCTTTCGGCCCAGGCCATGTCGTCTAGGGATTACGACCTCGCTCTCCTGCTCTCCCTCCTCGGTCATGGAGGTTTCTTCGGGACCAAACGAGAGGTTCAATTTGGATTTGGGTTTCGCCTTTGACTTGACTGGTCGCTTGACGACAGGTTCTGCAAGCCTTCAAATTAGCTTTCCGGTCCGGGTGAGGTTGTGCTCGTAGGGCAATTGATTTAGGAATTGTAGACGCACCAGGTGCAAGACCGCCATCTTCCTCTTCCGAGTCAGCTCCACCGACCTTTCGGGGCTTCCTGCGATTTGCAAACTTTGAACTCATCGTTTCTGCGGTGGAAGGAAGTGAAAAGTAAAAAGAAAGATTCACCCCGCTGTGTTGCAGAAAGGCGAAGTTGATGCAAGCTGCTTGAGCTCTTATCGCTCCTATCGGGAACATCCTTTCTCCGAACCCCCAAACTCCAAAGCAACCACGATCTTCGAACTCTGCCGAACCGCAGAACAGACATCAGCTTGCCCAAGATGCCTCAAGCTCAGCCCGAATTGAAGAAGGTGCGTCGCAATATCACCGGTCACCTCATTTTTCTGACAACCCTTGCTAACTAAATTGCTCTCCGCAGTATATGGAGAAGCGGGTCTTCTGCCAACTGAACGGCAACCGCAAAGTTATTGGTATCCTCCGTGGCTATGATGTACGTTCGATTCCCCTTCGCATCCCCGTTGACCGAGCCGCAGAAACTCATGTGTCCCGTCGTGTGTGGGAACTTAGTCTATTCGGTTCCGAAGCGGCGGCATGATGCGCATGTGAGATATTGGTACCAGGAGGGCTAACATGGCATCCACAGGTCTTCATGAACATTGTCCTTGACGAGGCTTTCGAGGAGAAGGCTGGCGGCGAGAAGGTTTCCATCGGCATGGTGGTATGTATCGATCTTTCCAGTCTCCTTGAGCACTTACTGATAGCTTCCCCTACAGGTCATTCGCGGAAACTCGGTCGTCATGCTTGAGGCCCTTGAGCGGATAAGCGACAAATAAGCGCATCGCAACACGCAAAACCTACGATTCTGATTTTCGCAACCTCCAAATAAGGCACCTGGCTTGGACCGGCGGCTGCGGAGAAGAAAGACCATAATGATACTGGGAGTTTCTGGGCCGGTTTATCATACGGGAACAATCAAACCTTTTTCTGCTTCTTTTTCTACCAATGCGTTCAGGCATCCCTACGAGATTTCGATGCCTCTGAGAGCCTACACGACGGACGTCTCCATGATAGAGGGCACCTCCAGCGAGAAATGCTTAGTTTAGCTAGGAACATGGCACTCAAAATATAACAAATGAGACACAGCTAAAGTGGTATTATTCTTGAGACCATATGCGTCACCGTCCGTCGCGCCTGAAGACAATGCTTTGAATGCCCTTCTCTCCACCATGATAGATAGGCAGATAGGGCCAACACAAGACAAATATGAAGTTAAGATAAAATACATAAACAGGAGGCAAGTGCGAATACATATGTGGGGGGATCATTTCTTCTGCCCAAACTTGAGCTTTAGTTTGAGCCCACCACCACTTGCTGGGGTGGATGGAGTAGCGGAGATCGGCGTACTCGTAGCTGCGCGGGGTACGCTAGCGGGGATAGAGATCTTGGGGAAGGCTGAGGGAGTGGATGGGGTGCTGGGGGCGACACTCGGCTTGGATTGTTTGAAAGTGATACGTGGAGCAGGAGGCTGCATGCCCTGCTCTTCGCGCTTGCGTTTGGCACTGTCCTTCGAGGGTCCCAGACTGGTACGGACTTGGTTGGATTTGTAGAACCGAAGTTGGCCGTGGCCCAGATGCTGGACTTTCCAGAATCGAGGGTATTTTAATTTGGCGATTTTAGACGTAACGGGATCGAATAGAATGCTGCACACGTCGGTGAGCTCAGAAAGCTCGTGTACTCCAATGGCGGTGGAGTTGCACGCGGCCCACATGTAGTCACGTAGAGATGGTTCCCCAGACATCTCTTTCTTCAGAGCTTCGATGGCACCAGGCACCGTCTGCCGGCGTGCAAGATCGGCTTGACGGACTTCGGTGGATGATTCCTGCTCGATGATCAAACCACCGGTCTGGACTGGTTCCGTTTGTGGGGCCTGGCCAAAAGCAACCTGCGCCAGTGCACGCCCGAAGAGTCGTTGGCAATGATGACGAACATAAGCCGACGAGTCACTTGTCATCGTGAAAATGAGCCATCGGAAGAGATCATGGTTTTTAGCAATGTCGAGATCGACAAGGCACTCAAAAGCCCGGATTCGAAGGAGGTCGTAAGTGCCAGAACGAGTGTAAGGGATGAAGCGCATCAGATCAACTTCCAGAACGTTAGCCTGCATGAGTTGCACCTGGCATTCCAAGGCTGCGCGAGCGTAGAGATTCTGGAATGAGCTAGACCATTCATCCATTCGGCGATAACGATCGAACTCGGCGATTGCGTCTTTTTCTAGCTGTTCTTCGGCTTGAGCCTCGATGACACGTTCCATATCGAACTGAGACAACTCATCCTCAGGTCGGGGCTCGGTTCTGCCTAGCATTGCATGGCAAAGCGAGCGCATCAGAGAAGCTACGTAGAAGTTGTCCGAATACTACATCAAACTTGACTTAGCAAAGATCACGGACAAGGCAAAAATTGTTTGACTTTGACGTACCTCATTATTCGAATTGTCGTTGAACTTTAGCTTGTCAAATAGGAAACGCTTTACCCGCAAAGGGGTCTTGCCGCCGTTGTCGCGCACTTGTGAGATGGCATCAGGAATCACCTGTTGAAGAATGTAGGCCGCCCGGTCGGAAAAGTCATTGGATCGTGTCATCGGGGAACCAGGCAAGCAAAAGAGCTCCTGGAACGCTGTCTCCAGGTGATACAATCCAATCCAATCCACCTCGTCCTTTGCGTGCTTGATGAGTGCCTTCGCTGCGGTAACACGAATCCCGTGGAAGTACCGGCTGTCCATGAGCGTTCGAACGAAAATGGTGGAAATTAAAGGATGCTCTCGTTGAGCTGCCATGTACTGAAGAGACTCCAGCTGAGCAACGACGTCTCGGTCTTGCTGAAGCTGCGACAGATACATGTAACCGGGCATGCCAAGGGACAATCTGCAGAGCCACTCGAAGTCTGCATCCATGCGAATCCACTCATACGACTCTTGCCCCATTCGCTCTTCGTCTTCTTTGGTCCAGTCTGCCAAGCGCCAGGCCTGGGTCTCCTCTTCGGTCTGAAGAACATCACCAAGGCAATACAAGAGAACATCTTCTTGTGTCTCAGCATCCCCAGATGCCACCGCACGCTCCCGTTGCTTCTTGTTGCGCTTGAGTCGCTTGTATTTGGTGTTGTAAGGGATGTCGAATTTTGTGACGCCCTCTTTGATCTCCACAATGTGCTCGTATGGAGTACCGTCAGCCTCGTGAATTCGGATAGTCATTGATCCGGTGAAAACAGGCTGGATTGGGCCTGCATAGACATGTCGAATCTCTTCCTTGACATCACGCAAGAAGGCATCTTTGTCTAGGTCCCGTGCAGATGGTTGGTCGGACTGGACTTGTCTGATCATCATTTCAACTACCAGCTTCTTCTTGTTGAATCGTTGTGTCGCTTGGAACCGTGGACATCCAGCGCCATACACCCACTGCTGGAAGAAGACATCCAACTTTGCGTGGCCGAATCGTTCACATAACCTTTGGAACATGGCAGATGTCACTGCACCATTGGGAATGTCCCCCATGCGCGAGTTGAGGAAAAGCCGAGAGATAATGCGGGACATCGTGGCCTTTCCACTTGCCTTGGTCAGACGGCGATCAAGAATGAAGAGGACCAACGGTGCCTTTAGTGCAATGAATCGATATTCCGATGGGTCAATTTTCAAGAAATTGCCCATATCGTAGATCGAAGGGCGCTCGTAGTCCAACTCGCATATTCTGTCAGAAGACTGCTTCAACCGGTATCGGTATTCGTTGTTACCGCACAGCTTCTTCATGAATGTATCGGTCACGAACCATGCTACACCGACGGTGACCCAGGTGTCCGCGGGCTCATTGGGAATGATATTGATGCCACTCCATTGGCATGCCAGAGCATGTACAAGAGCACGAGTTGAGTCGTACATCGGGTCGATGATATCCGCTGTGAAGAGAAGATGGCTGCTGCAGATTGACATTCCTGCGGTGGGCAAGGTCTCGGTCGCGAGATCGTCCACAAAGCACATCTTGTAGCTGGAGAAAGGATATGAACCATATGATAGAGAGAAGAAATCAATAGCCTGAGCCATTGGAAAGCCTGTGTTTTGGACTTCATCGGCTCGGCCCGGAAGACAGAAGGCATGTACAGGAATTGCATTTTGTCCCAACTGTTCATCCTGGTCACTCTCGCGGAAGTCTGCGAGGTTGACGTACTCGAAAGGTCCAACCGCAAAGCCAATCTGCTGAGCAGAGAGAGGGGTGTAGCATGCAAACGAGACCGTCTTCCTTGTCGAGTCCTTGGGGTCGGTGATATCATCCGTCAGTTCACCAGAGCATACGACAGACATGTCCAATCCTCCATCATCAGCGGAGATGTATCGGTTCTGGACCTTTGATCGGGCATTCGAACTTGTAGGCTTGCGGTCGAAAACATCGCCCAGCGAGGCGGGACACGAAATCGAGATCTCCCAGACACAACGCGATGAAGGGTCATCCACGCAAGGGAACAGCGGGCACCCAACGCTCGATTCTGGGGAATTGGTAGTGAATGCATGCGGATACCGACGGTCTCCGCTATCCACGCCGACGAATTGCAGGCCATCCCGAACGCGATCAATCACGAATTCAATATGGACCACGACGGCCGAAAACTGAGGTAGGTTGCTCTCTGGCGCTTTGCTTCCTGACGATCCATCGACATCTTCCCCAGCTCCCTGCAAGGCAATGCGCTCACGAGCCTCCGCGGACCGCGAGTCCAATTCTCTGATGTGCACGCTCTTCGGGATCGGGATCTCGAGCTGGGGATCTGGCGGGGTTTTCAAAAGGCCATCGACTGTTCGAGTGAGGCGCTCGTGGTACTGGGGTCCGTACAAATGAAGGTTTTCGTAGGGGTCGACATATTTCAATGTCGCGGCTTTTCCGTTGACTGTGAGGCGCTTAATTTCTCCCTGGCGGAAGTTCAAGTGAATCGTCCGGAGGTCAACGCGGCTCGGATAGAGGGTAATCTCGGTGCTTCCTTTCAGACTCTTGTTCACAAAGTCAATCTCCAGCTCCACCTTTTGTTGCCCAACACTGAAATCACGCCTGAAGGGTGGCGCCGTCGGTACCGCTGGTACCTCAACGACGCCCGGCATCGCGAAAGATCCTCACTGTCGAGTTGCGCGAAGGGCGCTGCGAGGACCACCAAACGTCATGTCCATCCAAAGTCGACGCGCGTTTCTAGCCGAAGAGAAAGTGACCAGTGGGTAGCGGCGGCGATGACGTGAATCGAGATGCAATGCGCGCGAATAAGCTGCTGGGCGGATCAGATCAACAATGAGAGAAAGGCCTTGGCGGGGGGCCGGGACGGAGTCAAGTTGGGGGCCGTCAGCGCAGAGGAAGTGGAAGGTCACGGTTGGAAGGTTTCAGGGTCTGAAACAAACACGGAAAAAAGGTGGACACGAGCGCAACTGGGCGAAGCAGACGATCTGCGATGGCCGAGTCAACTTTAGCGGTGGAGCATCGTAACCTCGCGTTCCATTTGCGGAGGACGGCACGTGATTCCCGGGCTGAAAATCCCTCTTTGAGACATTCCAACAACTTGTCTTTTCTTCACGATTTTTGGGTTACTGCAACTTTTTTTTCTTTTGAATGTCATTGCCAGGCCGGTGCTAGTCTTTTTCCTCTTTCCTTCTGTTTTGGGCACGCCTGCCTTCCTGCCGAGGCGTCGAGATATAGTTTACAACCCCGCTTCAAGGACCCTGAAAGTGCTCACGCGACGCGGTCCCAACTCTCAAAATGAGCGCGATTTGGCGGATGGTCCAAGGTGTGTTAACTTTGCAAGGCTGTCTGCGACTTCATTTCACCTTACTGATCCGTCATGTTCACGTCTACAGAGACCCAAGATTCGCTTTCCGACGATGCCTTGATGCCCCTGAAATCATACAAGTACTCGAGCGTTGATAAGTCCTTTATTTCGCGATATATCCTCAAGCACTACGTACGAAACCATCCGGGCTGTATTCGCCATCACCGAATTGTGATAACTGACTTGTTGAAATGGGGTTTAGTGGAATGCCTTTGTCGAACTTCTGCCCATGTGGATCGCCCCCAACATGGTGACCCTACTGGGTTTCATGTTCATTGTGTTCAATGTGTTCCTGATTGAAATTTTCATGCCTGATATGATCGGACCGGTAAGACTCCGCAAATTCCGAGAATCCGAGCCTCCGCTAACCGTCTTATTCGGTAGGGTCCTTGGTGGTTGTACTTTAGCTTCGCTATTGGTGTGTGGATGTGAGTTGAAATTCATGGTCTCGGCATCGGCAACTTAAAACTGACCAGGTACAGGTATTCGACCTTGGACAATGTCGATGGTAAACAGGCACGGAGAACTGGAACTTCCAGCGGGCTGGGAGAGTTGTTTGAGTTCGTACCGCCATCGGCCTACCCACGGAAGCCTTGCTAACGGAACACACAGTCACGGCATTGATTCGTTGAACTGCACCCTGGCCAGTCTATTGGAGACTGCGGCCATGGGCTTCGGTGCTTCTCACCTTGGTGCATACACCGCGCTGGTGCCCTGCCTCGCGATGTACTTCTCGACTTGGGAGACTTTCCACACTCACACTTTGTACCTCGGCTACTTCAATGGTCCGACTGAAGGACTCCTTATTGCAATTGGCATCATGCTTGCCTCTGGAATTTGGGGGCCTGGGATCTGGTCGCGCCCTATCACCGATCTCATTGACATCCCGCAGATCTTCGGCAACAACTCGGTCAAGGACCTTTGGGTGCCAATCCTGCTTGGTGGATTCTTCCTGGCTCACCTCCCCGGCTGTGTGCTCAATGTCTATGCTGCGCGCAAGAAGCAGGGCCTCCCCTTCACTCCCTTGCTGAAGGAGTGGGTTCCCATGATCGCATTCAGTCTGTGCACCGTCGCCTGGCTCTTCTCCCCCTACTCTTGTCTACTGACCGAGAACCACCTGGTTCTGTTCTGCTGGACCATCTCTTTCGTGTTCGGTCGTATGACCACCATGATCATTCTAGCCCATCTGCTGCACCAGCCCTTCCCCTACTGGACTGTCCTGCAGGGCCCTCTTGTCTTCGGAGCTATTTTGGCGAACTTGCCCCGCATCGGTCTCCCAGCTTTGAGCCACTCGCTTGAGGTCTGGTACCTGCGTCTATACTTCCTCTTTGCCTTGGTTGTGTACATGCACTGGGCTGTGCTGGTCATCAACCGCATTACCACCTTCCTTGGTATCAACTGTCTCACTATCCGCAAGGACAAGTCCGTTGCTCGGGAACGCGCCTACCGTGAGTTTGGCGACTCTGGTCTGCCACTGGCTGGCAGCTCTCGCAGCTCCCGAAGCTCCCGCCATTCCTTTGATTCCGAAGACGATGGCTTGAAGAACCACTAAATTCTTTTCTTGTGGGCTTTCTCTTCCTTCGTCTTCAAACAAGGGGATTGAGGGAGGCCTGATTGGACAAAACTCAACATTCTTCTGCGATGCTTTACTCACTTCCATGCATCGGATGACACACTCGTCTATACGGTTCATCTTGTAATTACGACACCATACGGCACCCCATGATCCCGATCTTCTAGTTGATTGGTGGTGTCGACTCATACCTTGTATTAATAGTTTCATCCCAATTTGTCCATAGGAGACTTAAACCAGGGCTTCTTACCTTGCACATGTATATACTTATGCAAATCAAAATGCCAATGCTTTCTCGATGAACAATTCCATTTTCATTAGGCGCGGAGTGAACTACGAATGTAGGTCTTTCAAATCAGGGCACGTAGTGCCTGTCCTCCTACATAGCGGGTCAGGGGTTGACCCATCTTCGGAGGGGGTAGAAAATTAGTGCTATTTTCTACTCGTTCTGAGCTGGGAAAAGACGAGAGGGGGTGTTTAACTAGTTGGCTTGAAAAGCCCTTGTACATGAGCAGAATCCTAGGCTAAGAAAAGACCTTATTCTAGTTGACCTGGTTGAAATATGCCAAGTCTAATAATCGGCTTTGTTTACAATTACAATTGACGCGTAAACCTGAGCGTATTTGACTGGTTTCTTGTTTCTTTAATCTTTACATAAATTAATTAACAAGAGGTGTTAAAAGATGTAGACCTTTCTCTAAGGTATCTATCATCAAAACCTGGAAGATGCTTAGCAAGGGCGGAGGTTGGACCCTCGAGGTCGATATAAGAAGGATGTCTATAGATCGAAAAGAAAACTGCATAGAAACAGTATAAAATGGATAATTTATTCATTAATTTCTACCTCGAGCCCCTTCGTACAGTAAACCGTTCAAATCAGAAATTTCGGACGAGCTCAAGCGTCCGCTCTCAATTTGCCCCATCGCGAGGTCATAACTCTTCCATCCTTCACAACACCCAGAATACTTTGCTCACTTCGGTCCAGAATTGTGATATCCTCCAATGGATTGGCATTCAAGATCAGCAGATCAGAGGCAAAGCCTTCCCGAACCTGACCGAGTCGATCCTCCTGCATGAGAAGACGAGCGGCATTGGTAGTCGCGCTCCGCAAAATTTGGATCGGGGTCAGAACCTTGCTACGGACGGTGAACTCCTTGCTCTGAGCAAAGTGCATCGGACCCAAGAGATCAGTGCCGAAGCAGACAGTGACTCCAACATCAACGGCCATTTTCATCGCTCTGAGTCCCTTTTCAAGAACTTCGTCGTTCTTGGCCGCGCCATCCGGTGGCAGGAAGTTCATCTGCTTCGACATAACGTGGGCAATGAGGGTTGGCGTCAAGAATGCCTTCTTCTCGGCCATCAGCTGGGCCGTCTCCAAATCGATGAGGTTGCCGTGCTCAATGCCGCGAACACCCAGATTAATAGCCTGCTGAATGGCCTGGGGCGTATAACTGTGGCTGGTCACGTATGTGCCCGCATTGTTCGCAACAGTGACAATGGCCTTGATCTCCTCATCTGAGAACTGCACATGTTCAATTCGGTCGGTCGGGCTTGCGACACCGCCTCCACCCATGATCTTGATGAAATCCGCACCCTGTCGAAGCTCGTCGCGTGCGAATTTGTAGCACTCGGCTGGTCCATCGACAATCCTGCTAATACCGGAGATTGAACCACCGCAGCAGAGTTTATCGTCATGGCGCGCCCTCATGTCTCCGTGGCCTCCAGTCTGAGAGAGTGCAAAGCCAGCGATGAAAAGGCGAGGGCCGGGTACGACTCCTTCCTCAATAGCCTCCTTCATGGCAAGGCTCGCGCCACCGCAGTCGCGGATTGAGGTGAATCCGCGCTCAAGCATAGTCTTGAGGACGTGTGGCTGTCGGAGCAGACTAATTCGCTCCGTCATATCGTTGTATGCTCGCAAGTCGGCTTCGCCTGGGGTCACAGCAATATGCACATGGCAGTCGATCAGGCCAGGACATAGATACTTTCCACTAAGGTCGATGATGTCGGAGTTGTCGACACCCTCCTTTACTGTCTCGGAGCCAGTGGTGTCAATTTGAGCGATCTTCCCTCCGGATATCCTGACGGTGGCATTGGGAATTAATTGTCCTTCAACGGGGTCAATGATAGTCGCGTTCACAAAGACCAAAGTCTTCGGAGGCTCCAGTTTCCAAGGCTTGATGACTCGAGAAAGATCCATTTGGTAGTTGGTAAATGTTAGAGGTATGAGATAGATGTACAGGGAAATATATTTCTCTTGGGACCGCTCAATTATTTAAATCAAGCCTGATATCGCCAGGCTATTTTGAAAGATCCGACCTCGGTTCCACAAGTGGACACGTACTCAACATATTTTCCTTATCGAGACCCAATTCGCCTACTTTTGCGAGATGCAACGGTCGAAAGAACGTTCGATGCCATCGCGACTCCAGGCGAGGCGTGGAGACTGATCTCGTTGCCGATTAAGCCAATCAGCATCCGCTTTGTCCCAAGTTCACCAGGGGCAAACTGCTTGCGATTGGCCACTTCGGCAACCAAGGGGACGCGAGGCTCCACTCCGTACGCTCGACTCATAGTTCTTTCTTCCCCCCCCGCGTTCTCCATGAGAATATCGAGGCATACTGTTGAGACGCGTGACGAGTTATCCGAAGAAATGGCGAAAAGATATCCGATATCGAGTTCTTATTGGACTTTACAAAACATACCCCATACCCCAACCCATGTGGTTCGTCTTTGTGGCGCAGACGTTATGATAAGAGAGTCGGCTAGGTGGACATAAATACAGAGACTTTCCTTGTATGCTGGACCGAAGTCCTTTATTTGACTTCCCTATTACTCTCTCGTTCAATTATCCAGGGTCAAGATGGACGTATCAGAGCCTTCGAGGACAGATCAAGACAGGGCCCAGCCTCTCGACAGCTCCTCCATTCCTGACCAGACACAGCAGTCTTCAACCGAAAATGCCCCCTTGTTCCAAGAGATCCGCCGATACCCCAAGATCGTGGCCTACTCCTTTGGCCTAGCTCTCGCATTCCTTCTCACCGGCTACGACACCGTTATTCTCGGAACCATCACCGCCGTCCCGTATTTCAAACGTGAATTTGGCGAACTATACAATGGCTCCTATATCATCCCGTCCTCATGGTTATCTATATGGAGCGCAATGGCGCCTATTGGTTCCATGGTTGGTGCAGCAGTAGCGGGTTGGATGCAGGACCGCGTAGGCCGTCGCTGGTCGCTGGCGTGGAGCTGTGTTATCTGTGCTGTGGGCATTGCTATCGCATTCTGCTCTAATCTGCCGACGGAAAAGGACTCTCGTCGGGGCGCTTTCCTCGTCGGAAGATTGATTCAGGGATGGGGAGTTGGTGGTGCCATGGCTGGAGCTCAGACATATCTCTCGGAGACAGTGCCAACCAGTCTGCGAGGATCTGCAATGGCGCTGTCACCCACCTTTATGTTGCTTGGAGAACTCATTGGAGCTGCTGTGATTTTTGCCTGTGAGAAGAAGAAGTCCACGGCTGCGTATCTCGTGCCTTTTGGTACCCAGTGGATCTTCACTGTCCTGCCATTCATCTTGGCCATTGTCGTTCCCGAGAGTCCATCTTATTTAATTCGGAAGGGGGAGTTTGATAAAGCTCACAACGCGATGAAATCCTTGCACGGATCGCACGTTGACGTGACGCCGCTCCTTGCTCAGATGCGCGTCTCAATTGCTCATGAAGAACAACTCGCTCGTGAGCTGTCATACCTCGACTGTTTCAAGGGGATCAATCTTCGAAGAACTGCAATCGTGTCATTTGCCTTCGTGGTGCCTAGTCTTTTTGGTGTCCCACTTCTAGCCAGTGCCAGCTATTTCATGCAGGTTGTTGGAATGGCTTCGAGTACTAGCATCATCGTCCTTATTTTGGGAATCGTGCTGGGCCTCTTGGCGAATGGAGTTGGTGTCTGGCTTATGAGTCGTTTTGGAAGACGACGCCTCATGCTTATTACGTTGGCAATTTCGACTGCCCTGTGGACCAGTATGGGAATCGCTGGCTGTTGGTCCGGTAATATCGTTGTCTGGTGAGTAAACTAAGTGCATATTCTAGTGTTCATGGCTAACTCTTATGGTATTTAGGTATACCGCTGCTTGTATGATGGCAGTTGTTGTAGTTTGTGGAATGGGAGCATGGCCGGCGTCTTTCGCTGTGGCTGGTGAAGCCTCTAACCTGCGTCTCCGTGCGAAAACACAGGGTGTCGGCGTGTTGTGCTACATGCTTGCTAACGTGGTCTTCAACCTTGTCCTTCCATATATCTACAATCCGGACGCAGGAGATCTGAAGGGCAAGACCGGATTTGTGTATGGTGGATTGTGCTTGCTGGCCTTCTCCGTGACATGGCTGGTTGTTCCCGACATGAAGGGTCGTTCTGCCCTGGAGATCGATGCCATGTTTGAAAGCAACCTTCCTTGCCGGCAGTTCAAAAATTGGTCTGCTGATATTACAGAGCTTAAAGAGGGCTCTGTATGATTCCGTGGGAAGGGGTTAAACAATCTTGTCCGAAGAATTTTCTTTTGTCACTGGGGTAATACATCATTTTTCTTATTTCTGAGAAGAACTACTTAATATACGTCTTAATAGTAAAGTTTCTGCTTCATCTGTTGGATAGTTGCCCTTCGACAGCTGCACATGCTACATCCAAACAAAATCATACAGGTCTGCCACACATGGCCGTAATACACTCAGGACCGCGCTTGTATAAGCCGCCTCAGCCTGCGATAACACGACCAGGCGTTTTCATGAATAACCGGCTGACTGGCTTTTACAGACAAGACCACGCATCTCTCATTCATCAAAAACCATAGCCTCTCGCGGGCATCCTCTGAAACGGCGACTCCCACTGTTACCACCCATAGATTGGCATGCGGAGCGTATTTGATCCAGGTCCGGGCATCAGTCACGGAAAGTTGAGATTTCAGTTCCTCCACCAGCCTCGCTAGATTCTGCGTTTCTCCCCCGAGTGGCAGCCGGTCGTCGAGCAGATACTGGAGTATATCGACCCTACTCACTATGAAGCTTTTTGGAACCATTGTATTCTTCCTGCCCTACAAGAATGTGCTGCCAACCATTCGTTAGAACCTTTTAAGCCTATAATGCTTTAATTTACCAGCCCTCTAATCGGACCATGGCCGCACTTAGCACTGATTACCAAGGACAAGCCAGGTTCTTACAGTTCAGACACCATGACATGTTCCGGGCCACATCTCAATAATCGCAGAAGGAAGTAACAGTGCTACTACCCCGTATATTTTCACGAAAAACGCAACGTACACTCTGGATTCGCTCCAAAAGGAATAACGGTATCAACAACGACTCGTCAACGGCGTTTAACAGATTACAGCTTATTAAAAATTCGCAGCAGAACTGGATGTTATAGTACTTCCAGCCATGACTCTGATGCAGCTCAAGATTGCGGGAGAAGCAAATGTAAAGACCGAATTTGTATTGCGGTAAAGAATTACCATAGTTAACGCCTTCTAATCGTGGACGGCCCTTTATAATTATCTCGCAATCAAACTACCCATTAACCAATAATACCTTCACCAGTACTCTTTTCGTTCAGCTAAACATTTAAGTTTCAGTCGAAAGCCATTGCGAAGCTCTAAGGAAGGAGTTAGCCTAAATAGCCTTACATTTAGTTCAGAAAATCCTCCATTATGCTAGGTTACAATCAAAGCGTGAAACGCCAGGGTATTTAAGGAAAGAAAGTAAGACATCACTGTCTATTTTAGGAATCGAGGACGTTGGTATAGAAAGATTAGAAATTTGACGATGGACTGAAGTACTCCATATATCCATGCAAAAAATAGAAGAGAAGGGACTCAATAAAAGCGACCGTGCGACCTCCGACGTAGACCAAAATAATGTTAGGGGTGAGTCGTTCTCCGACTCTGAAAACCGAACGCGCAAATAATCGATCGCCCTTATACCCTAGAAACCCAGTATGGGATATATCACTGCAGAGGATTGATTTAGCCATGAGAAGTCGAGATCGTTGCAGAAAGCGGCTGTCCTGTCGATGGGAAGATATAGAGAACACGTTAGGGTACAATATAGTTGCTATGGTAATGTGGGAGAGTGTGGTGATGATTCGGGGGGGGGGGAGGGATTGTCTGATGTATTGCCAGCACTGGATAATTGGCTCCGTATGGGACGGATGCTAACTTACCATATATGTATATATTTTATATATTTTTATTGCATATTGTTCAGCAATAGTCTCATTTTGTGGAGAATTATCTTATCGGTGTTTGCTACTAGTCTGTAAAGGGCAGCCAAGATGGGTAGATAGCTAATGATAGACGTATGATAGACATTCTTCAAGTGGAGCCGGATGAGGCCTCGCCGAATAAGCACAGCACACGCAACTATCCTTAAATTCGATTCGCGTAGAACCATTTTCCCAACGAAACGGAGAAGATTTCCCCGTGGGTGTGAGAGCGGCTGGTTTAGTACCAGTCAATCATCTGTGAATTCACAAGTAAAAGCCATGTTTAGTGTGTGATTGTAGAAAATACGCGACGATATTCGTTGAGCTCGCGTAAGCTCTTTATGCTTATCTATCACTCGCCTAATTTCGACTTTTATTTCTCTCTTTCACACGACGATCTTTGCATTATGCCTCGATTCATGCTCATATTAAAGCAGCCTTATTTCCCACCCGAATAAAATCGGAGACAAGAGGCACACTCCACGACAATGCCGTCGAAACTCTACGTAGTACGGCACGCCCAGGTATGTCTAACACGAAGTTAATGATTCTCTGATTCACGCTCACCGTTGAAAGGGCTACCATAACCTAGGGCATCAGTATTGGAGCCTTCCTGACCCACTTCTAACAGAAGAAGGGAGACGACAATGCTTGAAGTTGAAACTCAGTTTCCCTTCAAATTCTGAGATTGATTTGATTGTTACCTCACCCATGCGTCGTGCCATTTACACGGGGCTGGATACATTCGGCTTCGTGCTTAATGACCACCCGGGGCGTCAATTAATTGCGCTTCCAAGTCTCCAGGAACTGAGTGATTTTCCTTGTGATGTGGGCAGCGAAATCCATGATCTCCAGAATGAAGTGAATCAAGGGAACCTGCCAGTAGATTTGACCTTTGTTGAGAAAGGCTGGAGAAATAAAGTAAAGTTCTCGATCATGGACTGTATAGACCCGTGCTAATGGTTAGGGAATCAGACTGGAATATACGAGCCCACAGTTCAGAAGATACGAGACCGTGCTCTATATATCAGGCGCTGGTTGAAGGCACGACCAGAGAAAGAAATTGTTGTTGTCAGCCACGGTGGATTCTTGCATTTCCTAACAGACGACTGGGAGGATGGATGTAAGTACGAAGGTGTGTTGCATGAAGATTTTTATCTTAAAAGAATTCCTAGATCTTGAAATACCAGGGCTAAACGATCTATAGCAACCGGCTGGGCCAACACTGAGTGCCGAACTTACGAGTTCCTCCCGGACGGTAACGATTCAGAATTGGAAGATGCCATGATACAAGAAACAGTGGAGTCACGTCAATGCCGTGGGAAATTTGGTCCGCCGCCTACGCGTGCTTCGCAAAAGGAGTTATGCGGTCTGATACTACAAGGTTGGGCAGATCAAGGGTACGCTATTCGCGAAGGTAATTCAGTTGAAGATGAGATCAAGCTTAGATAGATATTTGTATACACTCCGAATTGTATCCCCTTCTAGGCATAAATGCTCCTGGCTTCAGTTCCTATAAATGGGAACTAGCATTACGTGGCTGGTCAAAAAGGAAGTAGTTTTGTTGGATATCTACCAGGTACAGCAAGATGGATTTCTCAGCAGCATTATAATTTTAACTAAGCACGATCAAACAATGCTGAATGGAATGGATAGCACAGTCAAATAATATCGGACATCCATTTATTCGCCCGAGATTAGTTAGTGGCCAATATTTAAGCTTAATTAACCATTCCTAGTTGTTAGGGCTGCCATTACAATTTCTTTTTCAAGTTCTGGGCCCCAATTACTAGCCTTGCCGTCTACGACGAGACTTACTCAAAGCTGTTAGCAAGTCTGCACTTTAATTCATGTTCATCTGCTATACACCTTTCAATTTTTGTCCCAACCCTCTGTTGTTCCTCCATCTCACCCAAACTCTGCCTTTTCGGATAATGGGCCTAAGAGTGCTGGTCTGTTTGTTCTTTTCTAAGCCAGTTTTTCAGTCTAATCGGTATGGACTAAGTCGGATGGAAAAACTGTACAGAACTTCTTGAGTTAGCCAAATAACGTAGTCTCTCGTAATTGTCTCGGGACGGGGCGACCTCTTAATACAGCCTTACTAAGCGCGCGTCTCGGGCTGACATTCCAAATTCTTCGCAGGAAGCCCGCACTGCCTGTGACAAGATCCGCGGATTGATTGCGGCAACATACCACGAGATGTCGCACCAGGCCCACAATATCCCATGGAGCCTTCTGGCCTCAAATCTGTACTGGACAACTCATTCTCGTGGAGCTTATAATTTCACAAACCTCCGCCCGAGGATGAAACCTAATCAAGGCAGAGAGATCACTTATTTCATCAAAGCGTTCCTACGGACCATCGACGAGCATTCGGTATGCGAGCGCAAGAAATACCCTTCTACATATGATCCGGCAGATCCAGCAGATATTATTCTAGACTCAGTCACCGTTCAGAAAATTACGCCTACCGTGCGCAGATGGCGTAGCTATGGCTTCGAGGACAGATGTCCTAGTGGCATTTGCCGAGTAACCCAAGAGGAGTGCCAATGCATACCAATCCCAGATGAAGAGAGACGGGCGTCTGCGTTCCTCCGACCTTATGGTCACAGATATTGTTACCAGTTCTTCCATATGAATTCCGAGGCGTTCTTTAATGTCGAAGTGGTGAAGACTTTGCTGTTATACGGGGAGATGGACACTATTCTCCGCGCGTGTGCTCTTCCCGGAGTATGTCTGGAGCGATGGTGGAGTGATAGAGAATGTCAGTGTGCGGTAAGCCTACAAAGCAAAAAAAAAGCTTTCCCTCGTGTTTGGTTTCGATATGTCCTTCCACAAGGATACGGCGTCCTCCAGCCTTGTTTACATTCTCAAGCACTGTGGATCCCGTGTACTGACCAAAAAAGAACCCTGATCTAGGATGGGACCAAGTATGTATTAAGGCCCTTAGGGCCTATATATGTCTGAACACGATCTCCTGTATTCCAAAGATATGGGATGACGCTTCAGGCAAAACCGCGGAAACAGACTACCGAAACAGCAAGTTCTATCAGTATACGCTGAGAACATGCACAGGAACGGGCGCTGCATCAGACGTGAGCGCGTATCCTCATCGGCAGTTCTTTGGAATACGCGACGACCAGTTTCGGGGCGAGTTCCTTGACCCTAAAATTAGAAAGAGCCATTGGCTCCGTTGGGTGGACCCCAAACATGACAATACTTTCCGTCGTCCAGTCAAACATTATGGGAAGGTCCCCATCAGCGAATTCCTCACTTTGGAGAATGCAACGATAGAAGGTCACCAGCCAGGTCTATCCGACGTGGTGCTTGTTCGGGACTACCTGTATCAAATGGGACTTCCAGCGGAGCTGGTGTTACATGTCATGGAGCTCGCTGGATATGAGCCGTTGGGGAGATTGAGCGAGCCACATGATCCTTTCCACCCATCAAACCGTGAAGAACTAGGTCGGTACCTCAAATATTGCTGGCGACTGCTAGTCCACTGTGACATGATGGCTAATGCTCTTGGCATGAAACTTCCATGGGAGGAACTACTCGGTGACTGTATCGTTGACTTTTGGGCTGATGAGGGCTGTGGGCGTGGAAGGTTCTTTTGGGCACCACTGAACGAATATTCTGACCCATTGCCCAAAGTTTTTGTCAAGCCTTGATCGGTGCGCTCGAGATATAGAGGTGAAACGCACACTTTTCTTGGGACCAGAACGAACAACCTCCTCCCTCGTCTACAAATTCGGAAAGAAATATTCTATCTCGGTTTAGACTGCTCCATTCTCGAGAGACTCCCCTTCTCTGTCCTCTCTACTATCACGCGTAATATATGACGTCTCTCCTGGCTTTTCCTCGCGTAAGATAGCTGATGTTACTTTTTCCTACCAATTTTATGCTATGAAAGAGTATCAGCCGTCGCGGTAGTCAGTAGCAGGAGGCGAGAATGAAGATCTGGTGCTTTTGGCATAAGACTACGTTTGGCATTGGAACTACTCCTAGTGGCAAATGCGGTGCGAGGAGTCCTTGCCACTAATCGTAATCTACCCCCTGGCTTTATTTGAGAAGAGTTTCGTTGATTATACCTCGAAAGAAGAGAGCCCCGGAGCTAGTCCTAAGGCTTTGCAAGAAGTTTAAACAGAACCTTAGAAAGTCCTTTCAGAAGAGCGGCAGTTAAAGCATATCTATCTGGGTCTTTTGTCTGGTTACTGCATTTAGATGTCTACACAGAGAGAAAAAGAAACTAGATTAGGTTTAATTTGTCGTGCCAGTGCCGGATTCTTCATTGGTATTCCTTATATGAGCAATAGAGCCCGTTATTAATTAGATGTTGAGAGAGACTATTACATATTGGAATCCCCCCTGTCCACTATCACTAACTCGGGCCACAACCTTCAAGGCATAGAAGATAGAAGCGGCAGTCAAATCACAATGTTATCCTTCAAGAATGGCCGCTCTAACGTTCCATCCACGAGCTTACTGCACATGCTCCACAAGGGTAGCCTCCTGCTTCTCCACACTAGTAGGAGGCACATTGCTATCTCCGAAAAGCAAATCCATCTGCTCAAGGGTCTTGCCCTTGGTCTCCGGGAAGAAGAAGAAGTAACAGATCATTGCAATGATGTTAAACACGAAGAAGACATAGAAGTACCGGAAGCCAATGTTGGTCAGAGCTGTGGGGGAGAACTGAGCGAACACAAGGTTGATGGTCCAGTTGGTGAATGTCGTGAGGGAGTTACCCTGGTTGCGAATATCCACAGGGAAGATCTCCGCGGGGTAAACCCAAGAGATGATGCCGATGAAGGTGTAGAAGAAGCTGAAGACAAAGTTCATGGCGACCATGGCACGGAGTTGGTTGTTGTTGCTCTCGTCATAGTGCTGGGACATGGCAGCATTGCAAACTAGTGCTAGACCCATGCCGGCAGAGCCAATAATGAGAGGCTTGATTCGCCCGACCCGTTCCAGAGCCCACAGACCACCGGTGCAGTAGACGATGGACAAGGCGCCGGAGATACCGATGATCATGAGAGTAGTGTGTGTATCGAAGCCCAACGACGCATAAATACGCGTACCGTAGTAGTTGATCACGTTGATTCCACTGAGAGGGCCAAATGCTTGAACAGCACAGCCCAGAATTAGACGACGGCGCCAACTGGGCTTGGTCAGAATCGAGGACCAGTTGATCTTGGTGGATGCACGCTCCGCCTCGATGGTATCACGGATTTCCTGGAACTCAAGCTCAATGTATTGATCTTTCTCAGGAGTTCCGTCACCGTGGAGCCTCTGGAGGGTCGATAGGGCTTCGTCATGACGGTCCTTCTCCATCAACCAGCGAGGAGACTCGTTCAGGAACCACACGCCACAGGCAAGGATGATACCTGGAATGCACTGGAACGCCAGAGGAAATCGCCCTAAAGAATGACTGTTAATACCAAAAAATCAATTCTCCATCAGTTGGGACGAATTCGTACATTGGAAGGCGGTTTCAATGAAGGAGCATCCGTATCCTAGCCACTGGGCCACGAGATATCCCCAACTCAACATCCACTGCAGCAGACCAGACATCATACCACGGGAAGAGGCCTCAGCCATTTCGCCGGCATACATTGGGACAACGGAAGTGAGCATGCCCACGGCAACACCGGCAATGAATCGTCCAATGATGAGCATCACCATGTTGACCGCACCGGCCTGGAGAGCACATCCGAAGACCGAGACACATGCTCCAGCAAAGACGCTGAGCTTTCGGCCCAGGCGATCACCAGTGAAGACGTTGATAATAGTTCCCAAAATTGCGCCTCCTTGGAATGCAGAGACAACACCACCAGTAGTGGTGTCATTGGGGTTGGAGAAGTACGTGATGAACTCGGGCTGGCCAATAGTAGAAGTGATGATACCACTGTCATAGCCGAAGAGGAAACCTTCAGTAATCAAGATGTTAGAGGTGACCCAAAAGGAAAAAACGAGACAAAGAAAGAGATCTTATGGTAATATCGTACCTCCAATGGCCAAGAAAACGGCCGACAACAAGGTAGTGAACTTCATGACTAAGACTCAGATTCACGGATTCTGAACCAGATGCGAATGAAAAATTTCACCCAGACTTTCTCCCCATGGGGCACATTATATACTCCACATGAGCGATTACTCCAGAGTCAAGCGGGGACACAGAAACGAGGCATTCAAAGTTTAGTTTAGCGTTCAGTTGGGGTTTCCGCGGCTCGGGCAAGGTGCGGAAATGCCGACGTAACGGCAGGGGTGCTAAATTATGACAAGGTTTAGCCAGTCCATCTCCACCTCTCGGTGTAGATCAATGCCGACTGAAAACTCGAACCTTTGCCTGCATGTATTTCGACGGTCCCGATGTAGGAGTCGGCACCGGCTCTTGGGGGGCGGGCCAATTAGTCAGTTCGAGGGTGCTTCGTGTGAAGCCACCGAGTGTTGGCCAATCAAAAGAACGGTTGAGTCTTCCCCCACCCCCACCAGTCGCTTCATCGGGTGCGATTGCCGAAGCGAGGCCAAAGGTGAAGCGTTGAGGAGAGAAAATCGTTCCACGGGTGTCAATTTCGGCGAAGACCGGTATACAATGTTTCATTATTCCGTTTGCCGTGCGTGGACCGCCGAGGTCATACTCAGACACAGCTACGAACATGTAGCCTGGATGTGGAGCCGATATGTATACATGAACTTAAAGTCAAAAAAGAGGGATTTTTGTGAAAGGACGAATTTTCATTCTAGAGAGCCTTCCTTGGCCTATTACATTCAATATTGTAACTATTCTTTCTATTAAGACGATTGAATGACAAGCTTGTAATTGCCATGTTGAACTTGCAAATTTTCACCATCCAGCACGGTCTTCAAACCTCCCTCTCTGGTAACTTCCACCTTTTGTACATTCATGGGAATCTTTACGGTGGCAGATGTTCCAAAGGGAACACGAAGGTCCAGAGTCACCACCTTCTTAGCATCACGCTGGAATTTCACCTCAATCAACCCGTACGGACTATCCACGGCGCCCTCAACGAAGTCAAACTCTGCTTCATATGGAGGGTTAATCTCAAAGGTCCGATAGGCATTGTCCACGGGCTTCAAGCCAAGGACGGCGGCATAGAACCATTCATAGATGGTGCCGAGCATGTCGTGACACTTGCTGCGGCACTCATCCTGCCAGAACTCTAAGAGCGTGGTCTCGCCACGGCGAAGGAAGCGCATGTATGAGGGATGCTCTTCTTGTCGGGCCATTTGAAGGACCAGGTCTGGCCGCTTAGCGTCTGCAAGGGTGTTGAACAGGAAGCGCAGACCGATTTCACCGGCACGCATCCTTCCGTCAGAGCAATCGTCGACGAACGCGGCCATGACATCCGTCTGGTGTTCGGCAGGAACCAGACCAAATTGCAAAGCCATTGCTTGGCCGATGGCAGTGCGATCGCGCTCGGGGTAGTTGTCCAACGAAGTATAATAGGCATATGGACGTGATGAATCGTCCGTCACAAGGAGGTGCTGATTGTAGACCTTGTAAATTCGAGATGCCCATGCATTGAACTTCTCAGCCTCATCCATCTTGCCCAGCTCCCGGGCCATCATCTCAACGCACTGAAGGCATCGATAGTAGATTGCAGTCTCGATGTTAGCCTGGTGATTACCAAAGGCAATATCACGACCCCAATCACCCAGACCATGCTCGATCAAACCACCACGGCGCTCTTTCGTCTTCATGTATTCCATGTATCGTACTGCAGCTGGATAAACCTTGGCAATGACGTGAGTGGAACCGTAGTATTTCAGCAGGATATCTGGCAAGAAGCACAAAGCACAGCCCCAGGTGATCGTATCATGAAGGGGGCCACACATATAGCGGATCTCGGGAGCCATGGTTGGCACGAGACCGTTGGGCTCCTGGGTATCAAGGATGTCATCCAAAATCTTTGTGTAGAGAGACTCCATGTCGCGAATGTATTGTGTTGCAGGTGCGAGTAGATGGGTGACCTCCAGCCAGCCGAACTTCTCGATTTGTGGGCAATCGGTGTGGTAACTGAAGAGGTTACTGTTGAATGTCCAATAGCAAGCATTGAGAAGTGCATTGACGTCTTCCTTGTCGGTATTCATAGTGCCCAGTCGCCTGGCAGCAGAAGAAATATGGCGACCCACAACGGAGTGAACAATGGGAAGGCCTTCACCTGCAGTCAATGAAACACCCTCAACCTGGATGTACCGAGCGCTGGTGAAGCTAAAGTCGGGCTCCCACATCTCAGGCTCTCCAGTGCCAGCGAGATATATCCTGGAGAACACTCCTGTCTCGAATTGTTTGAAAAGAGGGTCGGGCATGAGCACGGTGCCATCTTCATTAACTGTCTCAGAGTATCGCACGATCACCTCGGAGCCCGAGGCACCCTCAAGCACCAACTGAACCATAGTTGATGCATTCTGACCAAGATCAAAGCACACAACCCCATCTTCGGGGCTGTAGGTCTTCACAGGCTGGAAGGTTTCATGCAGCACCACCGGTGGCTGTGTCTGGTAAAAGATGTGACCTCTGGGACCGGTCAAAGGCTTAGCTGGAGCCCAATTGCTATCATCGAATGTCGGCATATCCCAGTTAGTGGGGTAAAGCCGACGATCGTGATTCTCCGATGCATAGATATTGGCAAGAGTAGTTGCGCTTTTCCGCACTTTCCAAGTGGGATCGGAGATGAGTGTGTCATGACTTCCATCATCGTAGAAGAGATGCAGTTCACAGAAGAAGCAAAGCTCGTTGCCATATCTGACGTATGTGTTGTCTTCATACATTGGCCAGAAGAAACGATCCTCGCCCTGGTCACCGGCATAGAATCCGTTGCCTACATGGGCACCCAACGCGTTCTCGCCAGCGCTGAGATGAGAGGTCACATCATAAGATGTAAATTGAACTCGCCGGTGATAGTTGGTCCAACCAGGATCCAGGCGATGATCAGATGCGGGCTGCCCATTGACACTCATATTGAAGTGGCCCAAACCAGAAGCAAAGAGGATAGCGCGAGTGGGCTGCTTTGCTAATTGGAATGACTTTCGTAGATAGATGGGTTTGTCGCCTCCATCTCCAATCCAGACAGCCTTCCATCTGTTTGCTTCATCTTCAAACCATGTACGGAAGATGAGGCTGGAGTGTGGCATGTATGTTTGGTTCATGCTATAAGGGGGGCAACAGACGGGATCTAGGATAGCCCGTGAAGAAATGCTGGATTGGGCCATAGTGGACTTGTTGTTCATTGTCCCAAACTCTGACCTGCCAGAAGTAACTGCAGGTAGACTTGAAGCCACCGGACGGCTTGCACAATATGTTGCGTTGTTCATTGCTTTCCACGCGACCAGAGTCCCACGCGAGACGAGACACGTCTGGGTCGGCTGCTTCAAGAAGCTTTGACTCCGTTGCCAGGATGATACGGTAGGCAATTTGGACAGAACTCTCGACATTGCTTTCCAGTGCCCAGTAGAAGCGCAGCTCATCGGCATCAATCCCGAGAACCTCATGGAATCCATGAATGCCACAGCGTGTGAACTGCATCATGAACAGGGGGTGCACCTTGAATCCTTGACACGGATTTCAAATTGAGTGACTGGACAAAGTTCAGCTTCCAGAAACGTGCAAGTGACAGAGCCTATGCCAGGCCTCAAATTTCCAAAGGACCGCTTCACGACCAGACGGTCGAGCGACTTCGGCATATCCGTAGAGTGGAGTCCTCGGGCGATTTGCGCCCGAATGTTCGCTTTGCCGACAAAATTGCGGCAAGCGGGGAACGCGGCGACTAACCAATCGGAGCTCGAGAACGCCGCTAGCGTGGTTTTAGGGTAACTTTGACTAAAATCACACGATTGGCCCACTCTACGGCATACCCCGGCTTGACGAGGTCAGACATGCGGGTGAGCTCGTGTATCTGCCGTTATTTTGTCCCGACGATATCCCCGGAATTTCCCCACACTCACCCTACATGTGGTGGTTCGTATCAAGTGTTAGGTACCATAGTTAGCCTAACTCGGAGCGGTAAACGGAAGGGTCACACCGTGGAGGATAGACTTCAACTTGGCCAACGTATGGCATTTCCGAAACCCCGAACATCCTCGGAAGAAAATTGTACAGAGTGTGCCGTAATTCGCTTGGTTAGCTTGGCGAGTAGCATGCAGATAGAGATTCTCGGTGATGAATATGATGGCGTAAAAGCTAGCTAACCCACGGCTGTCCACCTTCGGGTAGACGACTTGGGTTATTTATTGTGTTAGGAGCTGCCATTGACTCGGGGCTAAGCCAAGCTATACTCTATAAAAGACCCCGGCTCGCGATATCCAGCTTAACATTGACAACAATATCTATATCCTCGTCGGATATCCTGGTAAATATCGGCCTGCACTCCTACTTGGTGATTTGGATCTCATTTCAGCTGCAATGAGTTGGAGATCTGCCTTCCTCATCTCCTGCATCGGCATAGGGGGGCCTTGGGTGTTCCCACCCGTCACTCACAGGACGACAAGTACATTGACTGGAAGACATTCAAGGCGTACGGTGTCAATCTTGGTGGCTGGCTTGTCCAGGAGTCAACAATCGACACTACCTGGTGGGATACATACTCCGGAGGAGCTTCGGACGAGTGGGGTCTCTGCGAGAATCTTGGCTCGCAATGTGGCCCTGTGCTGGAAAAGCGCTACGCAACCTGGATTACCACATCAGATATCGATGATGCAGCCAGTGCAGGAGTGACTCTGCTGCGCATTCCGACAACATATGCGGCTTGGATCAAATATCCAGGCTCTCAACTGTACTCGGGCAACCAGAAGGCATATCTCAAGGAGATTGCTACCTATGCTATCCAGAAGTATGGCATGCATATCATTCTCGATGTCCACGGTCTACCAGGAGGCATCAATGGTTTGACTATTGGAGAGGCTGCAGGTCATTGGAACTGGTTCCACAACGAAACCAACTTTGACTATTCGATGCAAGTCGTCAAAGCCGCCATTTCATTCATTCAAAACTCGGGCCATCCCGAGTCTTTCACTTTTGAGCCCATGAATGAGCCTGCTGATAATGAAGACCTCTCCACATTCGGTACTCCTGCTGCTCTCTCTGATTCCGGTGCTGCCTGGGTTCTCAAGTATATCCAAGCCGTCCTAGACCATGTCGCTAGTGTCAACAAAAAGATCCCTGTCATGTTCCAGGGCAGCTTCAAGGGCGAGGAATACTGGTCTAGCAACTTCTCAAGCAGCGCAAATCTGGTCTTCGATGTGCACAACTACTACTTTGCGGGTCGTAACACAACATCTGCAAACGTGCCGTCATACATCTGCTCAGATGCTAAGGAGACTCCTGGAGATGGGAAGTTCCCTACATTCGTTGGTGAATGGTCGATTCAAGCACTGTACAACAACAGCTTCGCCCTACGGGAGCGCAACCTCAATGTGGGACTTTCGGCCTTCCACAAATACTCACACGGTGGTGCCTACTGGACCTGGAAGTTCTCTGGAAATGCTACCGTGGATGGGCAAGGTACACAGGCGGACTACTGGAACTACAAAGGCTTTGTTGACAGAGGTTATGTTCATCCAAAGTCGAGCGACCTGAAGTTTTGCTGATAGCAGAGAGCGCGTTCCGGCGAGTCAATGATGGACATAGCTGCGGGCGAGATATTGTACCGATAGAAGTGTGATTTATAAGAATAGGAATCATTTCGGACAAAATCAACATAAGTATCGAAATATTGCAATGCAGACAAACCTGTCTGGAAGGTTTGTTTTGTTATTAGCAGCATTGAAAGTTGTGTTGCGATATTATCCAAGAAGGTCTAGGAAGACGAGACCAAAGACTGAGAAGCTGAAAGCTGCTTGACCTGGCCTCTAAAACTCTTCTCTCACCGGGAAGCCTTCTTCGCGTAATAGAATGACGCAAATTGGGACGGGGCTGCCAAGAGCTCTTGGGGACTAGCATATTCCACCAGTCGGCCTTGCTTCATCAGTGCAACTCTATCATAGTTCTCCACGTAGCGCAGTCGGTGAATGACAGAAATTATAGTGTGAGAAGTAAATTCTCGCTCAATGATTTCTTGCATTGTGGCTTCGGTCTCCCAGTCCACACTGAATCGTAAGAATGGTCGCATTAGCATAATCACAGGCATGGACCGGGGAAGATGGGATACTTACCTGCTCATTGCCTCATCCAGAACTAGGACTGAACTCTTCATAACCAGCGCTCGGGCAAGCGCAAGCATCTGTCGCTCACCCATGGACCAATTAGAAATTGACAGGGGCTGATCTAACTCCCCGCCGCCAGGACAGTCTTCGCGTACTTTCTTCCATAGCCCCACAGCCTCGAGTGCCCGTATGAGAATTGAGTCAGGAACTGGATTATCCTCCAGTTGGCGGTCCAAGTTGAATCGCAGTGTTCCGGGCATGAAGAAAGGTTCCTGTGGTACAACGTTGATTCGAGAGCGTACCGTACTGCAGGGCAGTCTGGAGAGGTCTACTCCATCCAGAGTAATGCTGCCCTCTTGCAGATCAATCATCTGCAACAATCCTAGGATAAGTGATGTTTTTCCACTACCAGATGGGCCACAGACGGCAATTTTCTGACCGGGCTTAATAGCTAGGGACAGCTCCTTCAATACCGACGGGGAGTCAGGTCTAAGACGTCAGGTTAGCTTGGAAACGTAAATATTTCTCCAATTAACATACCCGTATGAAGCTGTCACGCGGTCGAAGGTCAAGTCTCCTCGTTCAGGCCATTGAGGTGGAACAGTCGAGAGCTCACCCTCCTGTTTTTCCTCGGATGGAGTACTCTCAACAAAATCCTGGATACGAGCAACCGCTCCGATGGAAGTTTCAAGAACAGTCCAGGATTTGATAAACTGCATCAGATCCTGATTGAACGCGAGAATCAAGTTGAGGGCAACACCGATCGAGCCCGCACTGAATTGGCTTCGGAGAGAGACGACTAATGACACGAGAACAACGGCAAGTCCCATCACTATACAGTCCAGCACCAATTGAAGCCACTGCCGGATGCAGAACAGCATGTAAAATGGCTTTTGTGACTGGTTCAGTAGTTCCTGGAGACGAGTTTGGAAAGGAACCTGCCACCGCATTGCCCGAATGACGTTGATGCCTTGCATGGTTTCCACGAAGTGTGTGAACAGCGGGGATTTCGCCTCGATATCGAGTAGTCGCACTTGACGGGAGGTCCGCAAGTAGTAGCTTTGCACAAAGAAGAGGATGATACCGAGCGCGGGAACCGTTATCGCGAGGTATTTACCCAAGATACAGAGTAAAACCAACTGAACGACGCAGTTTGCAAATGCTTGACAGAAACATTAAAAAAGACAATCACTGTCGAAAAAGGCAGGTGATAACTTACACATGTTCGCATTGATTGCCTGAACTGGAAGGTCCATGTCGATAAGTTCCAAGTCCTGACTGAACCTACGCAAATATTAGTGCCATTCCTTCTCGAAGTGGTGAGAGTCGCTACTCACCTATTAGTCGTTAAGCCTGCATCAGTCTTCTGGAAGAAGCTAAATGGTGCACTATATAAATTTGTAGTGTAAGTTATTTTTCGTGTATCAAGTTTTAAGATACCAATTAGAATTATACTTTAAAGTGGCTTTGAGCAGGTGGGAATGCAGAGTGCGGCCCGTGTTGCTGATAATGGGAACGAAAAGGGCCCTATCAATTTGACATAAGGTTAACGGTTAACCACCGAGGAAAGAAAGATGGTAGGGGTCACTTGCCAGCAAGAAAAGATCAGACAAAATATCGATATCCCAATGAGCAAGGCGTAAATCCCAATATACTTTGCAGGTGACTGGTTGGGATTCTTCTCGTTCGCATCTGACCACTGGTCCAACCAAATTGCTGTTCAAACGTTAATAAATGACCGCATAATAGAAAGAACTAGTTCACAAACATGAAAACTTATCCGTGAATCCGTAGATACAGATAGTCGCGACCAATGTAAACATGATAGTCCATCCGGCGGATTTGAAGTAATACGAATAAACGGACCATTTCCCATCGCGACGGGCCTGGTTTAACTCGACAGCCGATTCCTCCTCTGCGGTGCTCAATACCTTGTCAAGATGGCCCGCAGGTGTTTGCTTCGCTGCTACGGTCACTTCTTCGTTGGAAGAATCGTCGCTGTCACTGTGGTGGTCTTGGGGCAACTCGGGCTCAATTTCCTGGAAAGAACCAATCTTGCGCACTGTGCCATTCTCGAGGATGACTATCTTGTCGGCGTGGGGTAACAGGCGGTTGTTGTGTGTCGCGAGGATAGCTGTCCTACCGGATTCACGGAAGTGACCATCTGATGCTAGCAGGCGGGTTGTGATAGCAACGACAGACTTGTTGTCGAGGCCACTAAAGACATCATCAAGCACAAGTGTCGGGGCTCGAGAATAGACGGCTCGAGCTAATGACTGTGATACATGAGTATATTTGCGGCAAATACCCTCCGGTATTGATCACGGTTGAGATAGATACTCACAATTCTTTGTTTCTGTCCACCGCTCAATGTTATACCGGAACTTCCAGCCTTGGACATGTCGCCACCAGCAATGTTTTCAAAGTCAGTTTCCAAGGCACAAGCCCAGACCACAAAGTTATACCATTTCGGATCATATTCAGCCGGACCGATGATATTTTGACGAATAGTGTCATTCATGATCCAAGGAGTCTGAGGACAATAAGCGACGCTTGTTGAGAATGGCGATAAGGAACCTTCTCTGAGAGTTGTTTCACCCAAGGAACTCTCCAAGAGTGTACTCTTGCCGCTCCCGACCGGCCCAATAATCGCAGTGATTTGCCCCTTTTCAACGGTGAAATTAATGCCATGAAGAAATTGAGGCCCAGTTGATGTCCATGAGAAACCGGCATTTTGGAACTCGATCACGGATCTTGGGGATGCCGTGGAAGATGGTCGCGAGGAGAGCTCCAGTCCGTCTTCGGTAGTCACATTATCAACTGATGTCTCCATCGATGCCTTGGTGCAATACTGTTCAATGCGGCTGAAGCAAGACACAGCCTCCCATAGTGATGGGAGTGTCTGAATGAAAATGAGTAGTGGGTCCGTCATCAGTGAGATTAACGACAGCGATGTGAACATTCGATTAGCCAAAAGAGATTGGCCCCCGCGAACCGATTGAATGATTGCATATATCGCAAAGGTGGCGAAAGGTGCAAAAGTCACGGGCATATTTGCTGTTGCAACGTAAGTGTTGGACTCTCGCCTTCAGAGGTCATGTGAAAGACATACATAGAACTACCTGCCAGATGAGCAAGACACGGAATTTCTGTGAGACTTTCAATTCCACCTGGCGGAGTGTGGACACGCAAGCATAGAGCTTGTCTCCAAGACCTAGCATCTTGACAGATTTCATATCGTTCAACATGCTGGAGGTGGTATCCAGGCGCATCTGAACTCGTTCAATCCATCGTTTCTGGCCCGTGCCGGACCTTTGGGAAATTGGAATGGTCGCAATCACCACAACTAGATTTCATTAGCGTTCGGTCAAAGGGGTTTATGTGAGGAGCCCTACTGATTGAAATGACTGCAGGGATCAAGGAGGCAACACCTAGCTGGCGAGCCAGAAGGAAGACACCTATGGTCACATCGACGGGACCCGCCCATGCCTCATGGATACTCCAGAAGTGCCTTACAATGCGTTCCACATCTGTACCCATAAGTGTGATGGACGACTCTGTTTTGAATTCACCGGCATGCATCTTGTTTGTCTGCCGGTAGATTAACGAAATGAGACCTGCTCGGATAGTCGTGTTGAACCGGAATGTCTGGCGCCAGTATACAGCAGTGGATATCTAGAGAAAGCATTCAGTCAGGTGAAGAGATAGGGGTTACGACTGTGTCAACTTACCGCCATCCCTAGATAGGTCAATACAAAGGCGCCCACTAGTGCAGGTCCATAATAGCTATTTTCCGAAGTTGGTGTATCGCTGATGAAGTCTAGAGTTGCAGAAATGAGAAATGGCTGGCAGAACGTGAATGCCGTCAGACACAGTCGAGGCACCACTGCACTGACGAACGGCCACAGATATGCACGGAATGTCGCGCGAACCAATTTGTACTTTCGGGCCTTTTGACCTGAGAGGAACGAATTTAGTTAATGGCCATTCATCTTGGACATGATGACCACTTACTCTTCGCCCAGGCTTGGTGAAGCCGGTTCTCTGCCGACTGTCCTTGCAGAGTACGATCCACTTCGGGCATATCATGGAGAGCAAGGATGGAGCTGAATCCACTCTGGAAGAGCGGAAGAACCCAGATAAAAAAGCTACGAACCCAGAAGCTGGAAGTGTACTCTTTGCTTGACTGCTGGTACGCCAGGCGTAGAACTTGAGTCTTGTGAATTGACTCGATGCATAGTACGCCAGCTGTAGCGATAGTAACTAACGTCCACAATATAGCTTGCAATTTGACGACTGGTGAAAGTAGCCATAGGGTACGTGCTCGAGGCAGAGCGAGAAGGGTAGCGACAAAGAAGTAAAGCACCATAATATCCGATGGTCGGACGGAGCGCTGATCTTCTAGCCATGATAGTAGTGCAGCTGCAGCCACTGCAAATAGCTGGAGAAGGCTCGCTGCCAACGATGCGTTTGTGTATAGCAATGACGTTTCTTGTTGGTAAGCTAGGTGTAGGATTTGGAAAGTTAATGATACGGCAAGGGCTCCCTAGTCATCTGAATTAACACTACAGGGGGTCCCAGGCCCATGTTTCACGATCAGGGTTGTCCTACCAGTTTCCACGCCGCAAGTCGATGCGACGTGACTTTGATCGGCGCGCGGATCAGTGATGGCAAACGGCAGGCTGCCAATAGCAGAAACGTGCTCGCTGGTACAACGGCGAAGATCGCATCTTCAAAAAGCAAGGTAAAGTCAAATGGGCGACACTCTTCGAGTATTCGTGGTCCTAGTACGTTGTCGCTACCCAGTGGACAGGACATGGCAGCGAGATGGTAAAGGAATTCTCAGAGTGATAGGGAATTCGATCGCAAGCAGCTTCAAAAAGGCTTTCTCATCGCAAGCAGCTTCAAAAAGGCTTTCTCATCGCAAGGCTGGCTACTACATGGCACGCAGAACATCTCAGCTCCGACGGGCCCCCGGTCTGGGCATCTATCGTGGGATTGGCTTCATCGAGCGGGGTGGGCTTGTCACAGTCTGGGGCAGAGCGCCGATTGGTGCTATTTCGACGTAACCTTGTGGCGGGGCACGGGCCAGCAACCGTTGTCGAAGCCAGCCAATGGGGATCGCTTGTCGATATAGCGTCATCCCATCGTTTAAGTCGGCTTAACCGTGGATAAGTATTTAGCTGCCTGTTGATGAGGCTCCGAGATTTGGGTCATTGGTCTCTATTGGATCTGAATTGAAGGAAATGAAAATGTTGACGCCTAACTCGAGACGGCCGTACACCAAAAGGGGTTTGCTGTAGATATCAAAGATTCAGTGTCAGAGGGGAGTAAGACGGATAAATTAACCAGATGCAGATTTTTGAACGGTAAAAGGCCCTAGCGACGAAGAGGATATGCATCGGACAAAGCCTGTCGGATAAGAGGACTATATCTGAAACGGATCGAGCAGCTATGATGCTGCCCACCTATGCTTCCTAGAAGGCGCATTGTGCAGGTTGTATCAGTCCTCTTCGCTACGAAATAATACTCGGAATCGAAGAAATCATAGAGTCTGCCCTCTTCTGCAAGGTATTCGCCGTTAAAGGGTCGCTATGCTCATCGAGGAAGCGAACAGCGGGTTCTCCACTAAACTTAGCAATATAGGCGGCAGTGACACTGAGACCAAGAAAAATAAAGATTCGACACAAATTAAGCTCTTATTAAAGTCCAGAAAATAAAAATAATGTTATGATTTCCACATCTCACCCGCCCAACTATCCCAAACCACCCTCCCAAACGGCAAAGCAAAGCCAAGCCCGCAACCCCCCACCACAAAATGCTTGTGAATGCTTAGCAGCAACCGGAAATCGCATCGGACGACCGGTCACCCGGGAGCGATCAAGAAGGAGTGTGGACTTTGCATTCACAATATTCTACACATCATTGGCTGCACCAACTCAATTAGAAACAACCCACGGAACGAATGCGGGGAGATGGATGACGATCCATCGCCTTCCCGGGGCACGACTGGCCCGTAGATCTTCAGGGTCGTATAGATCACCGGTTCGTTTGCCTTGTTTCAATGATTTGGGTTCAGGGGATTTTGGGTGTGGTGAGCGATTTGGGTATATTAAGTAGCTTTGCTGCCCTGTTTCTTCTGTTCTTTGGACTGGGACTACTTGACATTCAACGCACGAGATATACCATAATTACCAACCACCGACACCACAACCATGCATGCTCCATGGTCGATCGCTCTCATCATGCTGGGCAGCCAGTTAGTTGTCGCCAGCAGCAGTAACGACAACTCCTGCGGTACCTGTAACGTGGGGTATACCTGTCAGGGTGGTACATGTATCCTGGACACGGCCCGATTGACAGGCAATCCTCTGCCGAATATCACCTCCGATAACCCCGGTGGTCCAATCAAAACAACCGGAATGTCTACTAGTACGGAGAGCACCAGCACGGGCGAAGCAAAGACGACCAGTACCGCGATGGGCGGTTCGACATCGAGCGCTGGTGAAGCAAAGTCTACTTCCAAGACCGAGTCACACTCATCCTCTCCGTCGATGACCTCGCAGGTGGCGTCAAGCTCTTCGGCTGCTTCGTCTTCTTCGGCTAGAGCTGCGGCATCGACTAGCGCCGGCGCCGCTAGTACGCTCTCTACGGATTTGGATTCGTGGGTTGCGTGGGGATTCGCCTGGGCTATTGGATTGCCGCTTGTGGCTTGAATGCCGGAGCTTGAATAATCGGGACAGATTGTATAACGATGTGTATTAAATGACGGACTGTGGCCAGAGATCTGGGAAATCTAGAATCTTTCAATTTATGACTCACGGTCTTGCTGAAACTGCGTGGAACTACATTCAAGACGTATACATCGAGAGGGCAATGGCTATGGAAGGCGCTGATGAAAGCTGCCGAAGTACAGATTGGGATGAATTTCAAGTGCTCATTTTCAGAAGAGAAATATCGAAACTAGAAATAAGGTTGCAAAGAAAATGAATGTAAACTGCCAATATTGGGATATATGTATGACAAAAATGCAAAAAGCCAACCCAAGCCAGAGGGCTTGAAAAATTAAAGACGCCCATGAACCCATGACATGGGGGGTCTTGTATCTAAAGGAAAGGATATGAACATTGCCGGTGTAGGTGGGTAGTAGAAGGAAAGCGTAGCTGAAAAATATGTTCAAGAAATTCGACCGTCATGCAACACCTAGGTCCGTGCCTTTTTAATACGGATGTTCATGTCGATGCTGCTGCTGGTCCTGCGTAGCTTGCACCACGGCCGCGGGAGGAGGCGAGTCGACGCGTCCCTGCTCCATCAGATCATCACGGTCGTGACTGACACTAGCACGGTGACGGAAGAAGCGATTCCGAGTCGACGAGGTGCCGCTCGTGAAGCTAGGGGCTTCCGTCGAAGGGCGGCCATTTGAGGGGCCGCTCAGATTAGAAGGACGCCGGTGGCGCGAGGAAATTCGAGACGAGCCATGGCTCCGGCGCTCTTCTTGTTCCTCCTCCACGGCCTCTTGAATGCGGCGCTCCTGAGTCTCCCGGTTGGCAGTGCGGACGACATCATCGACGCGGACGCCGCGATCCTCAAATACATCGCCCATGATATCGTTCGAGGACATGTTGGACATGCCGAGAGAGAAGTCGACATGCTTGCGCGATGTGGACTGACCGCGGGCGCGGGCTGCCGCAGTGTTCATGCCCTTGCGCAAGATAGAGTGCTGGCGAACTGCACTGCTGGTGCCGGTGTTTTCGGCCAGAGATCCCGACTCCTTTCCAATGGGTACTTCTTCGATCTCCTGAGCGTCGTCGTCCTTCTTCGGGGTGGGCGCCATCATAGGCTGACCGTAGTTGACGTGGAAGGGGATGTCGACATTGGCACCCTGGAGGTTCATGCGTGGGCCCTCGATGCCGATCTCTTGGAGAGCGATCATGAGCATGCAAATGAACTTGTTGCGGCGCTGCAGACGCAGACCTTCATTTTGCCAGTTGGATTTGTAGAAGAAGACGACGTTGAGAGTGAGGGAGAAGTTTTCGGTAACGGCACGCAACTCGGTCAGAATATTGCTCTGGAAATCGCGCTTTTCGCTGCGCACGAACTCCAAGAGGCGTTGGCGGAGACCGTCGATCTGATCGATGGTGGTCCCGTACTTGATAATGATAGGGATTGCTTCGGCAAGGGCGCCAGAACGACGCTGGTTGAGAATGAACAGGCCATTCAGATAGCTGTTAGGCGCCTGAACGACATGACCCTGCATCTTCTTGAATTCCGTATATAGAAGAGTAATTTCTTTGACGAAGAAATCATCACCCAGACCGGCATCGCCGGTGTTACCGTAGACAGTAACACGGTCACCGACATCAAAGGGGTGCTTGACAAAGACGAAGATGACGGACTGGAGGAATTCCTGGGCCGTAGCAGAAAACAGCCAGGAAAGGGCCAAGATACTTGATCCAGCCGAGGTAAGAACACCAGCAGCTGAGGTCGAGATCAGAGACAGGAAAACGATGAGGACGATGACAATGACGAAGAACATGAAGATCTCGTCCAACTTGGACACGACCGAGTCGAGATCCTTCAAAGAAGCAGTGATCGACTTGCGCTCACGGCCAATGTCCACACAGACAGACTCGAGCTCTTCCATCGAGATATCACCGTTCATGTCACGGTCAAACATGGAAAAGGCCGCCTCGGCCTCCTCGCTGTTGTCAAAGGCCTCCTTGAGGTCGCCAGAGAATACGGTCTCGAATCCATCCCGCACGAAAGTGCGATACAAACGACGAGCCAGAACCTGGCAACCTGATGTAGTGCGGAGTAGAGTGCGAATGACCTGGTAGGGATCAGTGCTGGTGTGGACCTTGCGGCCCGTGAAATCAGCGGCGACAGCTCCAGCCATATCGGCTACCTTATTACCGGCCTTGTTCAAAGCACCCTTCGCAGCTTTGTGGGCAATTCCGGCGTAGTGCAAAGGCGTTTTGACGCCACTTGGGGTCCCGTCGGTGCTCTTCTCTTGGAAAGCCTCGTCGGTCTCCTCGATGCGGTCACGGGACCAGGCGTACAGCTTAACCAGGCTACCAATCTGGAACTTGTTGATCTCGATGCGGTCGGCATAGGTACGCAGGTGGAAGCTGATGGCAATAAGCTGGATGATGATTTTCTCAATGAGATTGAGAATGGTCCAAACGAAGATCGTGATGATGATCTTATTGACCGTGTTCTCCCAGCTGCGGGTACCCTTGTTACCATCGACGTGGTGGTTCTTCATAGTTGGCAGGAAGGAAATCTCCACGCCCAACCACCAGAAGAAGAGAGCTGCATGAAGTTCGAGCTGATAAGCCATGTCGCGCCACTTCTTCGCATTATTGGTGAAGATACTGGCCAGGACACCAACTGCCGGAGGGATACATTTTCCAACAATCTAAGTGAACGGTCGCGTTAGCAATTCTGCCCTATGGTAAGGATCGAGATGCAAGTTCATATGCAAGTCGCCTTCTTCCACACGATACTTACTCGTCCAGCCCAGAGAGTCAACCACACAATTTCCAACCAGATCGAGAACCACATCAGTTCCACGCCACCAACACTTGCGTTCGTGAACTTCAGAGCTCCGACGAGCAAAGGAATCAGAAGAATCAGCACCACGGGCAGAATGTAGGTCAGGTACCGGACCATGAAGCTGGACTGATGGATTTTCTTCACAAATGCCGACAGCTTCGTATTGGGGCTCTCGGGGGGTTTGTAAACGGCTGCCTTTTCGTGAAGCGGGTTTGTCGCCTCGTCGAACTCGTCCACGGCTTCACTGCGACGGGATCGCGACCGACTGATCGAGTTCCGCTCACCTTCGCCATGTTCACCCTGGGTCGATCGCGAAGCCACGCGCTCGGCCTGCAACAGCATCAAATCATCTTCCAGTCGAGTGGATTGTTCGCGACGCGCCGAGGGTGTGCTCATGGGAGGGGGATGGTCGTCGGGGTACGAGGTATCGACTTTTAAACGGTTGACCCGTTCTTCAGTCTGGCTATCGTGGACGTACGTGCCATCATCGGAGGTGGGTGTCACCTCGTCGGAATTGATGCGTTTGCCATCTTGCTTTTCCTGCAGATGGAAAGTCTTGCGCTCGTCCAAAGGACTGGACATGATGGCACCAGGCCGATCGAAAGAATGTGGGGTGCGGTCGGAGCCTCGCCCAAATCTACCGGTAGAGTGATGGAGCGAGAGGAATTAGGGATGTAGTAGGTGATTAGATTGGCTGGTGAGTGTGAGATGATCCAGTCAACTAGGTGTAGAGAATCGAGATAAGCGGGAAATAGGTAGTGAATGAGGGGGTAGATAGCAAGAGATGGACGGAGTTTGTCAAGTCGCGGGGGAGGAGGAGAAACGAATGCAGAGCAAGAAGCTCGGTAGAGACTGTCGAGAAGCGGAGTAGCGGAGAAAGAAATCAAAAGGAAAGATGCCAGAAAAGAAAAGCGAAGATCATCCAGTCAGGAAATCCGAAAGTCAAGTAACAACTGGGATTGAGCAGTGAAACGAAGTGGGCCGGTGGGTCAACGAGGGCGACTTTGGCTGGGCTTTCCTCGGGATACTTGCAATCTAAAAGTATCCAAACTTGTCTAATTTCAGGGTCGAGATGCGATCTTTAATTTCTAATCTTGAACTTATTTTTATTTCTGGTATAAGTCTATAGTTGGAGGGCTTATGAGAAACATTCAAATGATCCATAGGATTGTACGGAGTAGACTTATCACAATGCTTGCTAATAACCAACAACAACAAAGATATTTCGCTGCTGCCACGTTACAGCGTCATAGCGTCGTAGCTCAAAGTTCATACTGTTCAGTGTTCATAATTCAGGCTGTATACTCCGTAATTCATCCAGAGTCGATAATTGGTGCTCTATTGTTCGTGCTCGGGCAATGCCCCTGTCACCAAGCACATGAAAGATCCAACAGAGCAACAATACATAATTAATGCACGTTATTCACTTGTTCCGTTCTTCTTTTGTGCTTCCTTGACCCTAATCTCCACAGGCCCACCAATCGCCGACGCCATCCTCCACCAACCACCCACTCCCGTTAAGCCATCGGCTCCATTCGGCTCCACCGGGTGGCGCAAAGGGCAAAAGTCTAGCTAAACCAAGACTTATCTTGACCTATGAGGGTCTATAATCAGCCCGAGCGCCCGGGAGACAGAGCTCCAACCCTTCTCAGATTCGCAGATGCTCAGATCTTTTTCTCCGCTACGCCTACGCCGCTGTCGCCACCGTGCGTCAACCCCTGCATCGGTCCTTGGATTGACCCCGAGGCCCTGACTGTACAACCCTTGAAGTATGGTTGGTGATACAATCCATGCCAAACACAGAGACTGTGTGGAATTAGGATACTTGTGGCCGGCGGTGTCATCGCTGGCTAAGTTTGGGTCATGATATCACCCATGATGAGTCTCGACCTTCCACGGTCGGAGTGGGTCAACAGACTGGATGCCTATGAAGATTCCTGCGTACAAATCTAAGCATGATTCAAGGTGGGAGTTCTACTTAGTACACTTAGAGGTATTATAATCCCGCTGACTACACTACCTAGCACAACGATATCCGGGCTTAGAGTGTAAAGGTATTGCTTCGGAAAAGGAATGCTATATTTCCCCGGCACTGCTAATAATGGACAATCCCACCCCCTACAGACTAGCCAAACATAATTTCCAATTGATCTCGCCGATCGGAGCGGGTCTGTTGGATCAGTGCGCGCAACAGAGGCCTCTGATAGAGCAATCGTGCCCAGACCAGCTGGGGTCAAATGTATGCAAGCTGCGGTGTACGTGTGCATGTGCGTGTGTGCTCTGGACTCGTCCCGTCTCCAATTTTATCCAGTCCATTCGGCCCTCTAATAAAGCAGGATCGTCGGGCGGATCGTCGTGAGACATTCGTTGACAGCGCCAAGTGCCAAGAACGCTCTACCCGAAGCGTCGTTCACCGCAGATTATTTGGTCTAGACGGGACGCTCTTTGGTCACTTTCTTGAATTGGAAGTCTTCAGCAAAGTAGCAATCAAATATGGTTTACATCTACCGCCTCCATCTTTTTATAGCTTGACCGACACCTTATGATAATGGTGGGCGGTGTCTTAGATAGCGGTAGAGATGAGGTCGTGGAGCCCCCTGCCGTGATGTTGAGACCATTATTAGGTAGACCACTAAAAATAACGACGCCATTGCTCATTGTGAAGCGATACCTATGCGTGTGAGCTTAGAGGTTATGTTATTTTGGAAAGCCAGGTTGCTGAGTAGCAACCGTACATGGATCTCTTTGATCGGAGGTGTCTGTCTGCGATATATATTTCCGGAATGCCCACCATTGAAGCAATAAAATCCAGAGTACTTACATGAGACTGAAGGTGAGAAGATTGAGTATCCTCGAACCGTAGCTACTCTGCGTGAGCTCTGGTACTGATGGCTGAGATAGTATTTAGCTATAGTCTTATAATGACCAGGGCATTCTCACCCCTGTAGTAGTAATAGCCGTTCTTTGAATTCGATCTTAAATTTAAACTACCATTTCGATTGACGAGGGACAAAAAAGATAAATCGAGGGATATTACTAGGGATCTCTGAAAAGATAGTTGAAAAGACATTCAGAAATAAAGGAGGTTAAATGGTATTTAGCTAGGTCTGTATTTTTAGCTCTTATTTCAAGAATTTAAACTACCACTGTACATGCATAGGGGCTTAATGGGCATACAGATATCGAACGTACTATATGAGGCTCCTTCCTAATTAGGGATGGAGTCATAGTGCCACGAGAGTTTCTTGTAGTGTCATGACTACTATCCTATATATGACTCACCCCCCGAGGTGACAGCATCTGAATGTAAGAAGCGAAAAGTACCAGACGATCTGGAGAATCACCAACAAGATGAGGATGAAGACGAAGACTTCAATGATTAGCCAGTGCTACCGTCCTAAGAGGAGATTCCCAACGCTTTAGAATTCGATCCCGGCTTTGTCGAGCTGACCCGGTCTATGCTCCTCGATCTAAGAGTGCGTTCACAAGAAGCATTCGGATTTCTAGGTAAGGAAAAAGCGATTACTTATGTGTGAAGTTAGTTCCTCGCGAGGATTAACGTTGGTATTCTTACTAGAATCCTGGTAGCCACAGTTCCCCTGCCGGCCCAGATATTCTTCACAAGCCCGTAATACGTGAGAATGCCGTCGCAAAAATGGCGGACAGCTTCTGTGAAGTCCTCAGTATCAAGTCCCATCTAACTAATAAAACTACTCGGAGAAATAAGTGAAGCAGCAGAAGAAAAATCAATTTTGCCTGAACAACCAGCAGAACCGTGCCATGCAATCTTCTACTATACCGCGCATATAACCATGAAAACATTGCAGTGCGCCGGCCATGCCATGCCCATTCAGCAAAACCACAGCTCCTACTTTTCCAAACTAACACACCTAAGAAACACAAATGAAATGCATAAACAGACAAGAATGCAGTGGTTGTCAAGTATGAATCTGCAAAATCAAGCAAGCATGAACTAGGACGTGAAAGTAAACTAGACCAGAACCCCGGGCGGGGTCTTGTTGCTGGACCTCTGACAAGGAATAGTCAGTCCATGGCTCCGCCCCCGTGCCTTTAGCATGTGTGAGGAGTCAACGTAATAAAAAAGAAATTTGAGATAAAGGAGGGGAAAGACGATAAACATTGGAATCCGGAACACCTTGCTCCAACAAGAAGATGAATTTGACAGCATAGACATAAGAGACATGATAAGTGCGTGTTGCTTTGGTACGCCAGGTCCACTGGACATAACGCGGGGGAATAAATGAAAAGATCAAGAGTTTACACGAAAGTAAAAGGTGGGGAGATGGAGAGATGCAAAGTTATGCGGGTAAAAAGTCAGGTCATAAAATCAGGTACAGCAATGCCAGCCAGTTTACCGTTTGAAGGCGGACATGGTGGATCGGTACCGGTCCGGTGCGCGAGGAGTCTGCTCGGCATCTAGACTTGGGGACGGGTGTAGAGGACGAGGTGTGGCTTCAGCGTCCGGTGTGGGACTAGTATCGGTATCCCCGCCTGACCCCGCCTCGGTATTTGACCCGTTGTCGGAGATCTTCACCTCTGGGGTGATGGGAGTAACGCCCAATCCGGCATTAACAGCCTTGGTAAGATCTCCCGGTGGAGTGGTTTGGCCTTGCTTCAACCCTTCCAAGCTGGACTTGGAAACAACGGGATGAGATGTCGGCCCAGAATAGATCGAGGTATCGTAATGCGCGAGAGAAGGTCGACGACGAGAAGGTGACAATTGATGCTCGGAAGGCGAATCGCGAGGACTGAGCGGTTCGTCATACTCAGATTCCTCGGGAATGCTCATGCCTTCAAACCGTTCTTCAAGACTCGTGCTCGCGGGGGATCCCAAAGGACCTTCGTCGGTGTCAGATTCGCCGGCCTTGCGTAGCGCTTCGCGCTCCTTCTTAAGAAGCTCTTCACTTCCACTGACGACACTGCCGCGGCTATTGGTACGCATCATCTCGATACCAAGCTTGGAGCCAGGACGACGATTGCGAGTCGGTGGGCTCCGACGTGATTGCGAATGACCCAGCTCTTCATCCTCGTCGTCCCCGGACTCAGCACATTCGTACCGCTTCTTCTCCAAGGACTCCCGTTTAGCGCGGATGGCTTCACTAGACCGTTGTTTCCGCGGCGTCAACGTACCACTAGCATCCATGGCGGCAGGTGCAGAAATCGCATGGAGAAGATGCGGGACGGGAACAGCCTTGGGATCAGGACTGCCGGGATGCGCATCTTCGGAGATGCCAAGTCCACCCTGGCCCTGATCCCAGTCATCATGGTTCCGGCTGATAATCACGGGGACCTCATCCGGTTTGATAGATTCCATATCGCCGAACACACTGCTACTCACCGAGTCATCACGGCTAGACCCTCTATACGAGCTAGGAGGGTGTGGCACAAACCCAGACGAAGCCGAGCTAGGACTGTCATCATTTGACAATGGGTTCGTGCGACCGCCGGTTGCCATTGACACGTTGAGCGGTTGGGAGGAAGGGTTGTAGTCCTTTGGCGGTGGCTTCCACATGCACCACTTGCACAGGGCCTCGGTCAGCTTGGACAGTGTGGGAGGTTTCTCAATGAGCGCATCGAAGTAGTGCATCTCAGGAAGGTCCTTCAAATAGCCAGTCACCGCAACGATGGGAGTATGTCTGTTGGCACTGCGAGTCTCGCGCACCATCCGTGCAAAGTCGGCCCCGTTGACTTGTGGAAGCTTGAACTCGGTCATGATAATGTCAAACTGGACTTCACTGAGAGCATATCTCATGGCTTCGGCACCATTGGTGACAGTGATGGTTCGACAACGGAGCTTTTCGAACAGGCGCTCCATCACGAGACGGGAGACGGGGTGATCCTCACAGATCAGAATATCCAGCGGGCGGAAGAATGGGCCATCCTGAATATTGAATTGGGAGAGACGGCGAGAGCTTTGACGGCGGCGCTGGACCTTGAGCAAGGCCTTAGTCCGGGGGTCCTCGTTATCAGACGACGAAGGTGAGATGTCGAAGAGCTGACTACGGCGCTTGTGGTGAGATGGCACAAAGGGCTCCTTGGTCAATCCAGGGAACTCGCCTCCATCTTGCGATCCGATAGTCTGTGATCGAGCACGGCTCGCGGGGGCACTTCCATGGCGTTGGCTGGAGGGGTGCTTGTCTGGTGAATGTGCAGGAATTCGATTGGCCTTGACGGGCGACGATGCAACCGAGCCAAGGCGAAGGTTTGGCATGCGCGATTGATCAACCGAGGACGGCTGGAATGTGCCACTTGACTGATGCGAGGCAGTTGAGGAGGATCCGGAAGTCTTGCGTCGTTCGTGGTTGCTGCCAGTGCTGAACTGAACCAACAACGGAGACGATGGCTGAGAAGGTCGGCTAGGCGATGAATTTGCCTGGCTAAGACCAGAAGGCGACGAAGGTCGGTTGTTCCCCTTGGTCTGCGACAGAGTACGTTGCAGGGACATGGGCAGAGGGCTGCCTTCCAAAGAAGGCTGCGAGGCTGTCAAGGGTGTTTGGGCAGCTGATGACGACGAAGCAGATTGCCGATGCTGTGCTTGCATGGCCTCCTGGCGCATCTTCTGGATAACATCTTTATTCGCCTTCTCAAGCATGGGAAGGTTCTTAAAGTTGAAGCTGCCAAAGTCATCGGCCAATGCTGGCTCGCTCAATCTCCGGCTCCGTGAATCCCGAGCATCGCGAACATGGGGTGGGATGTGCAAAGGCATCAACGGGCGCTTCATCGAATTGACCTGAGAACGCACTTTAAAGAGCGCATCGTGGGGCCTGTCGGGATATGATCCGGAAGCTGATTGACCCTGGGGCGAAGGCTCATCTTCCATCTCTTCTGCGAAAGCTTGCAAGGTCGCACCACGAGCATCAAAGTACTCTGTATCCTCAGGGTTTTCAAGGTTGGGCACGAACTGCGCTTTGTCCTCTAACAGAGTATCCCAGTTGATATCAGCGAACCAGGGATGATGACGGATCTCGGCACCGCCATTGGGGAACTTCTCGTCCACATTGGCGCCGATACGCTCACGCGGGTTCAATGTCATGAGCTTGTTCATGAGATCCAAGGCTTCGGGAGTGGTGTACTCCTCTGGATCATCTGGCCAGTTGATATTTCTTTGAAGGATGTTCTCGAATACTTCATCGGGAGTCGGGGCATTGAAAGGAGGGTAGCCGAAGATGAACTCGAACATGATGCAACCCAACGACCACCAATCACTAATCTCGTCTTGGCCAATGCCATTGATTGTTTCGGGAGCCAGATAGTCTGGAGTTCCAACAAAGCGGCGGTCATGGTCCTCCGGATCGAACAGTGCCATGACAGGCGGAAGCATACTCTGCTGCGGCGGCGTGTTGTACATCAGGGGATTGCTAAATGTTGGCTGCAGGGGATACAAGTGAGGAGACTCGCCTGCATCGCTCTGCGGCTCCTCCTCTTCCTCCGCCAGACTTGTAGACAGCACGTTTGGCGACGCTACATGGTGTTCATTTCCAGTATCATTGAGAGAAAAGGTTCTGAACATGCCATTCAAGCTGTCACTACCAGCACTATCACTGCGATAGCCAGATGCTCGGCGAGAGCTCTGTCTACTGAGGCCACTCTGATTCAAACTGAAGTACGACGGCTGTACATTCGCAGCATTTTCCGGAGTGATCAACGGTGTAGAGCCAGGAGAGGAGGCAGCCTGGAAATCAAATGACGCCGATCGAGAAGAGGCGATGGAAATAGCCCGAGGGAAAGGACCTTGCTTGAGGAGGTCAGGAGCGGGCTCATTGGGACTCTTCAAAACACGCTTCTGACGGCCAACGAGACCCATGCGGGAAAGACCAAAGTCTGTTAATTTCAAGTGTCCGGTATGGTCAATCAAAAGGTTATCCGGTTTGAGATCACGATGAACAATCCCACGGTTGTGCAGGTGCTCGACTCCGAGTACCACCTCCGCAATGTACTTTTTAGCCCAATCTTCGGGGAGACCTCCCAAGATCTTGACAAGCGAGGCACAATCACCTCCATTCAAATACTCCATAACCAAGTAGAGATATTCTTTGCTTGAAAACGTCCAATAAAGCTTGGCGACAAAGTCGCTTTCGCCCTGCCACATCATAATTGCTCGTTCGGCTTTTACGTTGGTGACCTGATTCTTGGCAATCATGTCGGCCTTCTTGAGCACCTTGATAGCGAAATATTCACCCGTAGACTTTTTCTTAGACAGATAAACACTACCAAAGGCGCCTTTGCTGATAGGCTTGATAATCTCAAAGTCTTTGATAGATGGTGGCGCAGGACGAGGTTGCTGGCTAACGGAGGATAGACGTGGTGATGGGGGTGGTTTGACCACGTCTGACGATGTGGCCGAGGATTGGCGACGGTGATGAAGATGGTGATGAGCCAGTTCACTAGCATAAGTAGAGGGAGAGACGATAGGGGAAGGAAGACTGTCTGCGCCATGAGACAGTCGAGGCTTCGGCATCCTCAGAGGGGAATGGGGGCCAGAGACTCGAGCAGGAGAAGGCTGCCGACGGGGCGAACTCGACAGGCCTGGAAGCACCAGGCTTCTACGTTTGCGGTCAAAGCTCCGCTCAGAGGAAGGTGAATCTGTTCGCATAGCGCTGGCGAAAGCAGACGTTGACGGCATGCTGCTATCGCTACTATCACCGGCATCAATGTCAGCCAGCGAAAGACCCCGTCGGGCGGGTTGTGATGTGCCTAACAGGCCAGCGGCACTCTTATGGGATCGGGGAGTCGGGCATTCCAAGGGGCTATTAGACCCAGTAGATACCGCGACAGAGGACGATCGGACCTCGCCTTGCGCAAGCAGTGCACGATCAGGAGAATTGCGCATAGACATTGTGAGAGCGGACGTTACAGGCTTGCGTGGGGTGGGAGCTGCAGGGAACGATTGCGCTGCCAGCGGTTCTTGACTCGGGACGTACATCAACTCGTCTCTATCGCCGGTGGTGCTGACATCGGCATCACTGGCAAAAGCGGCGTCCTGCGACATCTCTTCGTCAGAGGAGCAAGACGAATCACTGAGTTGACCAGCGGCAATCCGCTCTGCCTTGCTCAATGCAGCCGTGATACACTCCTCAACTAGGACAGTGTATTCAATCCGAATGCGCTCTGCGTATTCAACGATCTTGCGATGGCGAACAACGGCATCTACTTTAGCCTTTGCAATCTCCTCTGTGTCACCGGCCAAGGCAGCTAGGCCCTGTTCCTGCTCTAATGTGTTGGAGCTAGGGGACGACCACTGAAGCACCTGAGAAATTCGAGATTCAGATTGCGGTGACAATGTCCTGAATTCTTCTCCATTCTCCGGGCGCTGCGATTCTTTGATCATGGGCATACTGATCTCCAACGCAGTGTCGCAGAGATCCAGCACCAGCTCGACAATGCGAGCCAGCGGGCGTCGAACAGTGAATGCTCGAGGGCGTCCTGGCGTGATGACGCCCGAGGCGGAATGATCGCGAGAGCGAGGTGGCGTCCCGGGCGCCGAGCTCACACCAGAGGTGGGAGCTGATGAAGGTGCCGAGCTGACAGGGGACGGCCCGATGGGCAAGCCCTTATACTCTGGCTGGACGAGGGGAAGAATGTTGCCATCGCTGCCGATCAACGGCCTTCCTTGCCGAGCCTCCAATGCATCCAGCACCCTCACGATAGCGTGACGGTGTTCATTGAGGTTCTCCTGCGCAACTTGTACATCCATCTCCGCCCGATGTTCCTGCAAGCAAAGATCGGAGTGTTTCTCGAACCACCATGGGGTGATTTGGCGTTCGCAAATACGACATAGAACCGGAGTCGGGGCTGGGTGTTTTGAGGGATCCGGTTCGTTGGCTGCGGCCTCTGCGAGCTCGGTCAGATAGTTCGCGAGTACTTCTGCGCCGACGCCGAGTGACTCTACAAGCTGAGGTGGCAGGTCGATAGTCACTTCGCGGGGTTCAGTGAGCGGTCGGAGCATCCACATGGACTGTCGGAAAGAAGTATAGTTGTTAGCATTCCACATAGGGTTCCAATTCAGTCTTGGGTAGAAGTGACGCCTACATGTCCGGCCTCATCATCCGTGCGGTCATACACCATGATACCTTGACCCTCCATGGTCAACACATCATGGTTATCCTCGCCTTCGGCCTGCGAAGGCTCCATCTTCTCATCCGTCGTCTTCTCCCCGGAAGGCTTCCCTTCTCGCTCAGTATCGGTCCCCGACTCGATCGGACGCGGTTCGGGCGCGTATCGAAGCACCGAGTCCGGCCCCATCTGCACGGAGAAGCGAATGAATCGACTACGCGAGTCATCCTCCTTCATCGACTCGATCGCATCGCGAAAGACATTTTTATTGCCAACCAGCATCTCCGAGATCATGCGGCCCTCGACCGATTCGGGGGGAGAGCCAACGACTTGTCTCCAGGACGGGCTCACCCACTTGATACGACCCTCTAGGTCGAGGTCCACGATGATGTTCAGAGTCTGTTCGGCAGCTTCCTTCAAGTCTTCCCGCTCCTCGCGCATGTCTTCACTGAGCGTCCGTGTCATGACCGGGTAGATGTTCCGAGCCTCCTGCCGCAAGGCCGTGACGGCCGGCGGCGCGAGGAATTGGGGGGTTGAAGAGCCATTGTCCGCCATGCTGACTTGAACGGGTCAACAGGTGTACCGGGCCGCCAAAAGCGAAAGCGTTCGAAAGAAAGGTATGCGACTGGATATCACGAGAGAGCGGTTCAAAATGAGTCGATAGATAGCTGGTTTTATCGGGTGGTTATCGAGATGAGCCAAGCAGAACCGTCTGCTGGTGGGCAGAGCGGGTGGCTCTTGAAGAGACGAAGCTATGGATTCATCCGTGACTTCAACAGGCCATGGCGCGCGAGCAGAAAGAATCGCAAATCGATTAATTCCACTGCTGAATGCTCAAGGCTCACCAATCCGGCGTGGTGAAGCAGGATGAGGGCGACGTTGAAACGCGAGTCGAGAGGACGGAGGATAACGGAAGCCGATGTGTATGCGGGGAATGGGCGCGACAGGCGACGCGCAAGATCATCGACGTCAACCCCAGTGGAGGTTGACCCAAGGGCCTCAAGATAGGAGGGTATTTGGCAAAGTCAAGGGGATAATGGAGTCAAGAGTGTCGGCCTGGAGATCAAGGATCACATAAAAAAACGAGGAGGGTGTCCGAGAGCAGACTACTTAGAGGGAGGGGGTAAGGAGGAGCGGTGGTGGACGTGAGAGAAGGCGGACGATGATTGGGCGGCGGAAGACCAACTTGAGGCACTTGACGGGAGGTCGCCCAACAGGCCTCGTCTCTCGTCCAGTCCTGCACCACCCTATTTCCACCTTTTTTTTCCCTGTACCCACTTGGGCTACTGGGAATTTGAAAATTAGATCTACTAATAGCTCTGTGATAACGGCTGTAGTAATAATGTTGGTTCTCTCCAGCCTTTTTCGATGTTCTATTGTTGGCTCTATATTTAGCCTCGTATATTGTACAGCGTGTGTCAATGCTGTGTAGTCCACTACCATTAAATAAGAGATATGACAGTAATAACCATGCTAATAAATGACATTCCCTACTGGTGTTACGAAAAAAGCTACGAGAAGGGGGGAACCCTAATCATAAACTCTGGGGATGAGCGCCCTTGCTCATGACGTTGATTGATCCAATCTGATCCTCCGTTCCATGACCTCCCGCCTGCAGATGGCGGACGTGCTTTGTCAGAGACTAGTCCTCGATGGCTTCGAGTCTGGATTCCGACGATTTGGAGTCTCCTTAGCACGGTACTTTTGTTGAAGATGATATGTTTAGAGTCGATAGGAGGTATCTCCGTATGTATTCCGTAGTCCTGTACTTTGGGTTCGGAACCATCCGACGTATGCAATCCCTGTATACGACTGTACCCCCTGTCCAAGCTGGAAAGACGAGATAGAAAGGGAAATAGAATACAGTACATATACAAATAGCGAAGAAAAAGAAATCACCCAACTATCCAGTCTGCATTGATTATCCTGTTAAAGACATAGCGACTCGGAACTAAGAAATGCCGTTCCTCCCGAGTTACCCGCCAGTTGGACACCCAGATGGCCCTTAATCCCTTCATGCCGTGCAGCCCATTGGGATGTCATTCCGGCACTCCTCTGCCCACACTAACTTGGAAAAAAAGAAAAGACCAAGGAAAAAGTATCCCTCCCATGATCCCATCACCGCTCCGAAACTCACTGGACGCCACCGCCGACTCCTGGCGTTTTTTCTGACCCCCCCACACACACGAGACTGGCTACCCTCTCGAGGCACGAGGTGCATTTTGCCCTTGGGATCTGTGGACCGTGCAGACGGATTGCATTGACTATGCCAACAATGTCTCCGCTCGGCTCGGGATCATGATTAATTGGTCATCTTGGAGTTGGGAGCGGACAAGAAAGCATGTCAGAGACATCCAGCACGGAGACTGGTTGTGGATCCGACTGCTCCGTTACACTGGCCGGATACTGGCACGACAAGCACGAGATGTGTTTTATCCTCTGGGCTTTTGACTGGTTCGTCGTGATTCAGATCCGTTTGGGATTGGGGTACCAGTACTTGGGGTTCCTGGAAGACCGACCGTTGCTGACCGATCAGTAGTATGGAGGGAGGGGGGAATACAGACACAATACGGGAAAGGATCTCCGGCATCCCAGGGAAATTCCTCCTGTCCCTCCCCCCCCTCCTGGTATGGGATTTCATGATGAGCACATCCGAATGCTAATTCAGGAATGTTTCGAGCAGGGTTTCAGTGGACCGTGGTCGATCCGCGTCTCCACCGTTTCTTCATCCTGTCCGATCCCCCGGTTTGCGGGGTATGAGGATCACCTGATGATTTCATCTCAAAATTGGGAAGCACAATCCAACGTGGAAAATCTGATTTCAGACACCCCATATCATTCAGATCTTCTAGCGTTGCCATGATGATCTCATCTTCACTAATACCCGCCATCCTGGCCCTAGTTCAACGTGCTCCTACCTCCCCCCGTGAACCCCCAAAGAGATAGCTCCGAGCTGGTGTTCCTCGCTTCTCCATTATGACTGGCTGTACCCCAGAGTGACCACCTTGGGACTTAACAATGATACTCCCCGAGTAAACTTTATGCTTCTCTCTTGCCCTCCCACGCACCTCCCCATGCACCGTCAGCCAGTGGCCCAATCAGATAAACTCGCCCCAGGCCGTCTTGCATGACTCCGCTTGTGATCAGCAGAGGGACGGTGGGTTGCTGATGCCTTTTTTTTTCGTGGGGCCGTGGAATGCATTAGCGGGCCTCGCAGCTGTACGGGCCAAGTCTGCTCGAAGATCGATTACGTACCGAGTGTGAATAACGCCAATGTTGAGACGTGAGGGTAAATCGCACCTGTCAACGGCGGGCCAGCAGTATATTCCGTGCACGAGGGACGGCAGTGACAATCCTGCTCGTGGTTACGGTCGGTGCAACAGTCAGATATGGCGCCATGGCTATGAGTAACACAGCTGATAAGCTAGATGACGGACTATCAACCATAACGGCCTTCCGTGTGTTCTGGCCGGTTCACGCTCTGATAGGATAGAAGTCGTCTCATTGTGAACCCAACATAATGGTCCGTGGGCCCTTACCAGGAGAGGCACACTGCCGCCATGAGAGGCATTCCCTAATCGTATCAAGGGGAACATACTCATCCTAGACAACAGCCAAGACTTTCTTGAGCCGGTCAGGTGACCACGCTCATGAAGGCTGGGGTAGTCTCGCAGGATGTAGTTGGCTTATTGTTGTCTATAGCAGATTCATCAAGGCATCTGTGAACCATAGTTCCATTATCTACTATGGGCTGATCGGCAATGGTAGGTGGAGAGTAGTACCTAGTTTAATGAGGTCTGGATCTACCTGAACCCCGAGAATCGGTCCAACCAAACATCCTTGACTTTCTTAAGGTTATACGGTTGTTGGAAGGTCTACCTAATTTTCATTTTAGAGGACATTCTCAAAAGCCTTTTGCCTTCTTGATGGCTCGTGTGCCATCTTTTAATTTATTAACGTCCAGTGTATGGCTTGAAGGACGCTTACAGGACCTACCTCTGCTTTTGCAGGTTGTAAACGCAGTGATATATTGGGGAAGTGGAACTAGGTGCAACTGACGGGAGGCTCCCAAATTTGTTAAAGCCATCAATAAGATGGCCCGGCTGATCACAATAGAGTAGTATTCAGAATCCACGCCTAACTCTGAGATTCTGCTTAAGTTCATCACCTTTGTCAAATTGTGTCAACGCAAATGGTGTAGGCCAGTGGAGGAAAGTGTCATGACGTACCTCAGGCCACAAGGCAGGAATATCCTGCCTCAGGTGTAAGTAAAAAAGTGGGACTGGCTGCCACATTTATCAGGTGTCGACTACAACATCTTGCTTTGTAATATCAGCTGGCCATCCATTTTCACCGGTTCAGCCACTTTGCTCTAGCCCTATATGGATGCTTTCATCCAAAAAAGACCCGTGCAGTCTGGCCCATTGATTGAGCATCGATGAAATGGCCTCCGAAGCCCCAGGTGAGGATCCTGCCGCCAGGCGCACGCGTCCTGGGAGAAAGTATACCTCACGAGCGTGTGAAGAATGTCGTCGTCGCAGAGCAAAGGTAATGTCAATCCCCGATCTATTCCAGATTTCTCCTCGGTTGGAATCAATGGAATCAGTCTAATGGAGTGCTTAGTGTGATGGGGTTCGGCCAACTTGCTCCCGTTGTCTGGATAGAGGCGTGCGTTGCCAGTATTCCACTGCCGAAGATGGGAGGCAACCAGCCCCAAAGTCCTATGTGGTGATGCTGAGGAACCGGATTCAACTGCTTGAGCGTGTCCTTCAGGCTCATGGTATTGATGCGGATGCTTCGATTGCTCAGTTGTCGGCTGCCAGTGATTCTCCAGGACAACCACCTGATTCTACAGGGACAGCTGCTTCAAATGTGGACGATTTATGCTTGACCTTTGACGGTGCACTGACACTGGACGAGTCTTTGAATTTTGATCAAGATGGAGAAGTCAGATACTTTGGTCCATCCAGCGGGCGTTTGCTGTTTCGCTCGCCAGGAAATGGTAAGAGATCTCGACCGACGTTGTCGAATGGTGCGCTGATCAAATGCAGATTCACCTAGCGAGGAAGCATGCAAAATTGATGCATACTGTACTGGATATTACACTGCGGATTCAGAATCCCCCGCAATTCCAGTGCAAGAACACGATCCCCAACCTCTCCTTGAAAAGGATAGTCCAAACGATAACCTAGTCTCTGAAGAACTTCAGGCACATCTCATCGATCTCTACTTTGAATGGGAGCAGCCGTGGTTCCAGGTGGTGAATGAGAAACTTTTCCGGGAGAGTTTGATATGTGGCGGACGATATTCAAGTCCCTTACTGTTGACTTGCATTCTCGCTTTGGGATCAAGATATTGCGACCGTCTCGAGGTCCGATCTGATCCATCTGATTCAAATACAGCAGGCAAGAGATTCATTGAGAGGGCTGAAAAGTTGGTTCAGAATGATTTGAGATGGCCGAAGATTACGACGATTCAGTCTCTGGCCATCATGGGTTCAGTCTATATAGTAAGCAAGATCGAACGAATTGTTTCAATTACGGCCAATGACTAAACGCCTTCAGGCAATGGGATCAGACGCCGCGGGATGGCTTCACCAAGGAATGGCCAACCGTCTCGCTCTCGATATGGGCTTCAATATGGACCCAGCAGTTCTTGCGGGAGCCGTTGCTCTCCCAGCCATCGAGATTGAGTTGCGAAGGCAGATATACTGGGCTCTATACTGCCATGACAAGCTATCTGCTAGCTATACAGGACGAGTCTGCACATTATTGGTGAGTACCTCTGCCAGATTTTTCAAGTGTATCCTGTTTTGGTTCTCATCTGTTCAAAAGGAGTCTCAAGGCGCAGTGAAAAAGCCTTTCCTACAATGCGTCTCTGACGTACATCTCCCATCTGCCGATGGGAATTTACGAGGTGCATCCCAAAAGAACGTTGTACAATTACATAGAGCCATGATCGACCTTTGCCGAATTCTTGAGAAGATTCTCCTATCTCTGTGAGTCAGTCCATACCCTGTAATGCATCGGTGATGTCTATCTGACTCTTTCACCCAGTTGGTCCCCCAAGCCCCTAATTCACGCCCATCACCGATCCGCCTTTTTCGACTCCTGCGTGCTCGAACTCAAAACTTGGTACTACGATCTACCCTCCGAACTAAAGATCGAGCGACCATCGGGTCCATCACGATTCGCTCATGCATATATCCTCTACATGAACTATCACACCGCATTCCTTCTACTCTGTGGCCCCTTCCTCAGCGGCAACCCATCTCCAAAGAACGAAGAAAACAAAAAGTCCCCTGACCAAAACGACAAAACACCCGAGAACCCAACCGCCCAAAAGGCACTAACCGCCTGCAGCGCCTCAGTACGATCAATGATCGGCATCGCGCAGAAATACAGACAAACATTCGGCAGCTTCAAGCTTAGCCCGATAACAGCCACGTACTGCACTTTATCCGCGGCATTGATCATCATCGAGAAATGCTGTTCGCTGGAGAACTACGCTAAACCAGCCAGTCTCCCTGAAGAAGGTGCGCGGACGCTATCGCCTCATGCGGCGGCTGGCCTGTGTTTCCAGGTTTTGCGGGAACTTTCTACTTCGTGGAATATTGCGAAGCGGATAGGGAGAAATCTCGAGAAGGTTTACTGTGATCGCTTTGGACAGCATATTCCGTCTCCGCCGTACGATTATAAACCGCCGCCGTGTCCGGTTGCATGTCAGCCTATGGATTCTGATGAGGCGTTGGAATCGGGTATCGTTCCTATGCAGGCGTTTGATGCGTTCTTCGATCCGAAGAGCCTTCCGGTTGGGGACCCCCTTGCAATTTATCCTGAAAATCCGGTGGCTGCTTATGATAGTGCGTTGGGTCAACCCGCCGTGCCTACGTTTGATGGAGTGAATATGGACGTGCTTCAGAATCTACCAAATTCCGCGGAGTTATTTGCCAGTGGTCATGGCTTTGCTTTCTCGCCTGACTGCCTGCCGAGTGATTACAACATGTTCGAAACTTTGAACCAAATGTACTTAGAAGAGACGTGGTGATAAAAAGAATTTAAAAATTCATTCACTCAACGATACAATTCCTCATTCACATCCTCGTACGAAACTCTGGCCTCCATCGCTAAATACAGAAGCAAGAGCCTGATCCTGTAATCTCGTCATGCCCATGGCTCGATTATATCGGCTGCAATCTTCTCTGCGAGCATATCTAGCAGAAGTCAGAATGACAGATCATGTACCAAAATATTGAGACATACTTACAGACAACTGACTGAGGGTGTCCAGGTGGAAGAAATGGAAATGCGCCCGCATCAACCACCCGAAGCCCCGTGACACCAAATACCCTCGCCCGATGATCGACGACAGCCATGCTATCATTTCGAGTTCCCATTTTGCATGTACAGGATGCGTGATATATAGTCATGAGCGTATTCTTGATGACATTTAGGATCTCCTCATCACTTTGGTACTCAAGCCCTGGGAAGTACTCCGGTCCAATCAATATGGGCTTCATGGCTGGACTTCGAAACATGTCGCGCATCCGTCTATATGCCGTCACGGCAAGTTTTTGATCTATCTCTGTATCCAGCCAATTTGGATTGATAGTTGGGAGATCTGCCGCGTTCGCAGAGCGAAGGGTCACGTTGCCGCGAGACGTAGGAGCAACGATGCTCGCAATGATCGAGGCATACTCACCATGCTGGGGCTGTTGGAAGAACGGATCTGAGAAATTTCCAACAAACGCAGAAGCTGCCAAATACTAAACCGAAGTCAGTTCAATTCAAAATAAACGGCGTTCGTATATCTCACCTCGATCTCTGGCCAATCTTCTGGAAACCAAGAGAGAACCTCTTCTTCCTGATCAGTCAAATTATATCTAGATATATCTGGAAGCTTTTCAAACGCAAGATAGTCTGTCGATGGGTTCGTCAACATCCCTTCATGGGACCCAAGATAGGCTGCAATCTGGCTAGCCAGCCGAGCTCGACTCTGAACCATCCCCGAGAATGAGGCCACAGCAACTTGATGGGAAGGACCAAAGAAGATATGGTCCCACATATTCTGGCCAACTCCGGGTAGAGTCACGATTGGTTTGATTCCATGCTCGTGAAGAACCCTAGCAGGACCAATCCCGGACAGCATAAGTAGCTGTGGAGAGTGGAAGGCACCTGCAGACAGAATGACCTCGCGCCTGGCCCATAATGTGTAATCCCACACTCCATGGACTCTTACACCATGAGCTCGATTCCACCAGTCGAAAAGAATCTTTTTGGCCAGAGTCTTCTCATAGATAGAGAGTGTTTTCATGTTTTGCGGAGATTGAAGGAACGCCGTTTCCGAGCTACTTCGTGATTCATCTGTCGGACGAATGGTCATTGAGCAGAACTGATGTCCCATGAGTGAACCGCTGTTAAAGTCCCCAATCTCTTGCATTCCGATCGCGGTCAAGGCCCGGCGGACCCAGCTGGAGAAAGGCATTGCGTATCGAGGATAAGAAACATGCAGTGGCTCGCCGGAACCATCAAATGCTGACTCGTTGTACGGTGTCCTAACGCATTCGGATCGAGATGTTGGCGCGGTGAAGGATACTGTTTGTTTGAAGTATTTCCAAGTGTTCTCGAAGGTATAGCTGGGGTCATCCACGAGTTCAGCCCATCGATCCATTGCGCCTTTGGAGGGACTGTGAGAATGATCAGCACCTGCGAGGCTCCGGTTAAATAGAAGACCAACCGCTGGTATATCATAAAGTTCAACGCTGATCTGGGAGGCATTCAATCAGCAAGCTGTGCTGGCGAAGGCAAGGAAAATATCACGTACGATCCTCCTAGACACTTCCCTCGGGGATAGTGGATATCCCGATAGTTTGCACCAGGGACTTTCTCTGCGACAAACTTCCAGTCCACCGAGGATGCCGTCGAAATGCTGGCCCCAATTCCAATTGTCGCGGCACCTGGAAGCTTCGAGATGGGATGTAGCCACTCGTAGTAGCCTCCAGCCTCCACCAACGCAACTTGATATCCGGTTTGGGCCAGGCGTGATGCGACTGTGATGCCCGCGGTGCCGCCTCCAATGACCACATAGTCGTAGGTTGCATCCCAAGGAGGTGGTGGCCATCCATTGAAGAAATTGTAAGGCCGAGTCCGGAGAGACAATGGTGCTAACCCATAAAGGGCTACAAAAATGGTTGATCCAAGAAGCCGTAACGCAGTAAAGAACAGCATTATGACTCGACTCTGTCTGAATGGAAGAAATGCATGATCGCAGACTCGGGAGGAGTAGTGAAAATGAACATTCATGACAGGTCCATCGTAGGGCAGTCTCGAATAGGCCGTTCCTGCCGCGACTCAATATCGAAACAGCAAACATGACGCGTGCATGACTTCCAATTAGGCAAGCACAAGCTGGGAGGTTCTAGCTGATATTTTCGTGAAGCGGACTTGTCCAAGCAAACTTCGAACGCCGTCCATCGAGCTGATCTGGTGCAGCTGTTCGTATAACTTTTCTTCTCTTCTTTCTTCCTCTCTACAGCCAAAGGCAGTACCTTTGACAGTCAACACTTTCACCCACTCTAATTCTCCTTTCCCTTGACACATCCTCTTACCTTCCCTACCAACAGTAGGTGTTTCCTGTTTCGAGCCCAACTGAACCCTCGTCGACCGTTCACTGACCTGTCAGCTTTCACTAAGAACCACATCATGGTTTCTCTCCCAATCAAGAAGCGCAAGAAGAACCATTTCTTCGCGCAGTACCCGGACTTCATCCATAACCCCCTCGCTAGCTTCAGTGATGATTTCAAGCGTCTCGCCCTAGAGCGAAACTGGTCGTACGGGAGCAAAACCTGGAAGCAGAAATGGGTTCTCTGCACAAAGGCCGAGTACCAGGACCTTATTGGCACCGATCTCACCAATTTCGAGAAGTGGCAGACAATCTGCTTTAAGCTCGATATCAGGGGCGTGTATTCAATCCGCCAGGCGAAGAAGGTGGGTCGTCCTCTTGATTGGTTGGAGATCATAATCTTATTTACTTTTTTATTGTGAGCACAGGCCCTATCCCAGGTTCACATCAACCTCATCGACCTCCTCGAAACTTGGGACGCCTATAGAGGCCCCAAGAAGTTCAGCAGCACTCGCGAGTTGGCTCACTACTCGGTGTCAACCAGCAAGATTTACCCCCGCGAAGCTGCCAAGGTCGACCCGGCCCTGCGAGTGCTTCTGAAGCACTTGATGTGATCCCGATGTCTTGTTTTGATGACTGTATTTGAGACGGTACAGATCCAGTCGCTACACGATATCATCGTCGTGCGCACATTCGAAGGGTGTTTGGGGGGAGCACATGGTTCTCCCTATCGCCAGGTCTAGATAGCAATGCGTCCGTCGGAATGAACAAGCTTCCTTGAGCCTTGATTGTATCGATATCAATAGACTTTGACTAGGGACTACCTTTCTTGCGAGCTCCTTTCGTGGAGCACTGCATGTGGATGCTGATTGTGTTTTTACAGGGAGCCCGCTGCCAAGCGTTTTTCGGGATGATGGCCATCACGCAACTATCGCCATCCCTCTCACGAGGACGTTTTTCCTCTTCGCGGCGGTCCCGAGGAATAGACTTTAGCGGCGCAAAGACGAGGGCTCATGGGGAACGCCGCCAACCCGAGGCGCTCGTTTCTGAAACCTACTCAGATGAAGCCATGCCGCTATGGGGAAGGTGCAAGCAAGCGATAACGAGTCGCCAATCAGCGAGCTTCGGATCTCTCAAGCTTTTAGCGGGGTCCCACTTACACGCTTATTGAAGGTTAGTTAACTTTCTGGTTGACCATGTGGCTGACGAGTGAACAGGATGACATCGCTCGCTAAGTGGGCAGACAATTCCTACCAGTACCAATGAGGAATGCTACCGAATACTAACCTTGATTGCGACGAATGAGGCGTATGGGATGGGAAATGGCACGCGGGCTGTCAGACGAGTGCGAAAATGTCCGTCGGTTTGCCGTGATTATTTATCTTGTTTGCTTTTTCTGCTGAAGTTTTTTTTTGCTTTTTTCCCCGTTCTCCTATATCTATACCTGGATCTCCCTCGTCCTTTGACTATTATACCCCATCATAACCGACAATCATGGCGGATATGAGCACCAGCGAAGTCGCCGAAGGCAGTCAGCTACGCCAGCGCCATCATGAAGGTCGCAAAATCGAAATTGTTGGCCCAGATGGCCAGCACAGAAAAGTCGCGGTCGCCGACCTGACCCAGGACGACTCCGAACTGGCCACCAGGTTTGGCTATAACCCGGTCTTCAAGAGAGAATTTGGATACTTGTCGACCTTCTCGTTCGCGGTCAGCATTAGTGGTCTTTTTGCGACTGTCATGACCACCATGTCATACCCATTGCTCGCCGGTGGTAGTAGTGCGGTTGTGTGGTGTTGGTTCGTCTCTGGATTTGGCTGCATGTGCATTGCAGTAAGTATAGCCGAGAAAATGAGCTTGAAACAAAATAACTGATAGAAGCTCTAGTGCTCCGTTGCCGAACTGGTCTCTGCTTATCCTACCTCTGGAGGACTGTAAGTCTTGCGCGTTATCATCCAACAGGAATTCAGGATCTAACATACTCCTAGATACTTCACTATCTCTCGCCTCGCTCCCAATAGCTGGGTCCCCTCCATCAGCTGGTACAATCGTTCTCATAATTGGTCTTGGGCTTTCACGGTACTAATTTTGGCACAGGGTTACTGGTTGGCTCAACCTTCTCGGCCAGGTGGCTGGCGTTGCGTCCTCCGAGTATGGAGCCGCCCAGATGCTCCTCGCGGCCGTCTCCATGAGCCGGGACTTCAACTACGAAATCACAACCAACACTACCGTCGGGGTGATGGCGGCGCTTACCGTCATTACTGGTGTAGTCAACTCTCTTTCCACTTACTGGATGGAGAAGATGACCAAGACCTATGTCATTTTCCACATCTGTGTTCTGGTCGCTTGCTCGATCGCTCTTCTGGTCATGACAAAGGACAAGCACGATGCCAAATACGTCTTCACCGAAGTCAAGTCTGAGAGTGGCTGGACACCTCTTGGCTTCAGTTGGCTATTTGGCTTCTTGTCTGTCAGCTGGACTATGACCGACTACGATGCGACTGCTCACATTACTGAGGAGATTAACAACCCCGAGCTCAAGGCTCCCTGGGCTATTTCTTCTGCTATGCTGTTCACCTATGTTGCTGGTTTCCTGTTCAACATTGTGCTCTGCTTCTGTATGGGCGACCCTGACGAAATTCTCGTGTCGCCTATGGCTCAGCCTGTTGCTCAGATCTTCTACAACAGCCTCGGCAAGGGCGGTGGTATGTTCTTCACTATTGCGGGTCTAATTATCATCAAGTTCGTGACTTTCACTGCCATGCAGGCCCTCGGCCGCACTGTCTTTGCCTTCTCCCGCGATCGTCTGATGCCTTTCTCCAACGTCTGGATTAAGATTGCCCCTTGGACTGGAACCCCCTCTACGCTGTGTGGATGTCCGTCTTCTTCTGCATTGCCATCAACTTGATTGGTCTTGGATCTTACACTGCCATTGCTGGTGTGTTCACGGTCTGTGCTATTGCCCTGGACTGGAGCTACTGCATCCCCATTCTGTGCAAGCTCTTCTTTGGCAAATTCCAACCCGGTCCCTGGCATATGGGTCCCTTCAGCACCATCGTCAACATTTGGGCTTGCCTCTGGACCTTGTTCGTCAGCGTCATTTTTGTTCTCCCCACTGCTATGCCGGTCACTGCGGAAGGCGTACGTATCAATCTTCTCTCTGTCTATTTCTGGTATGCTAATTTGATTACAGATGAACTACGCCTGTGTCTACCTCGTGGCCGTTCTGCTGTTTGCCATGATTTACTGGTACATTCGTGGCCGTGCAGTCTACACTGGCCCCGTCACCGAGGCCATTTCGGATGACATCTCTGAGAGCGAGATCGTGGAGTCCGAAAAGACTGCCAAAGGCCCCGCCGCGTAATCATGCCACTAACAGCCACACTTCTCTCCCATCGCGACAATCACCATAATTCCAATCTACCGCGCTATCCAGCTCACGCCAGCAATCACCCAGTGCAACAACTTCACTCGCCACGTTATTGCCCTTCTCCGTTTCACAGCCCGGAAATCATCCCTGTATTCGCCAACTTCCAATACTTATGCAACCACTTTGTCGACCTAATCCACCACCCATGCGACATCACACCGTCACAGCATCAGCTCACCACCCTCTCTGGTAATCGGTAACTTCGCCAATCAGCCCCGAGAACAACAACACCCTAAGCGACAATCTCCTAGCACCAAAGTATAATGGACCCATGCGACACGATTTTGGAACGAGTAGCGGTGTATATTCTAGGGGTAATTCAAGCGTTTATTGTATGTGTCACTCGTGCTTGTACATAGCTGACCACACAGATGGACCTTACTTGACTCTATCTGATTGCAAATACCTTGTGCATTATTTACGCACATAATATCTTCAACAAGAACTATCCTTAGCCGCGTCGCTATGATTTAAAATTAAATGCGACATCCCAATTTTTGGCCCAACGCGACCTGACGACACTCGATATGCCATATCTTTCGAATGCCCTGGATCAACTTCCCGCAATGCAGTGCCCAAAAACGACTGCAAAACATATCTGGAAAGCCCCTGAATTGGCGGGAAACGACTTATCTCGATGCCCACCGCCCTTTAACTAGTAGTACGTCTTCGGGTCAAATTCATCAGACTTGTCGACAAAAGCCCATCCCTCAATACCTCTGCCACCAATCCTCAAAACTCCTCAAGTTCTCCATCAACGGCACGATGATCAAGTCGAATACCTTTTCCTGCATGGCTTCGTTCTCCAAATTCGTATCCTGACTGCCGTGCCAAAACAGACACTGCTCCACGATCCTTGCATATTCCGGCCCACTGCGTTCCATTACGGATGGTAGAACGCGAGCCGCAGTCTTGAGGTTTGTGACTACTTCTTGGGGGTCTTCATCTGCAGGGGTTCTCAGCGTCTCAAGTGTTTGGCATAGTGACAGCTCTACCAGAACCAGACCTAGTGGGAAGAGTATCTGGCTTCGGATGAGTGCGGCTTTCATGGCGTCAGTCTGGCTGTTGAAGTCTTCAACATTGCTTTCTACATTCCACGGAATGCAGGGGCTACCAAGACCGGTCGAGGGCTCGTAGGTGAACATGATATCTCGGGCTCTCCAGTGTTCTCGGAGCCAGCTTCCGTGGAACTGAAGGACACTACATGCCAGGTTCGCTGCCAATCGCAAGCGGTCTCGCTGGCTGAACAGAATCCCGTCACTGCTCTGACTGGCTGAGAAGGTAACCGAAGCCGTGATAAGATCTGCAAGTGACTTTGATTCTAGGTACCCCGCAACTTGTCGCACGTAGTAGATATTATGTCGGTGACTCTCATCTGAAACCCATCCCAGGGCCGCCTGAGAAATCTTTTCGGTCTTTGTATCTGACAGTATCTGGCAAATATCTGTGATTGGTGGCGGGACATTGGTTTCGTTGGCATTCTTCGTGACCAATTCATGGCTTTTTAATGCCAAGTCGGAGGAGAACTGAACCCGCGTTCTGGTTTTAGTCTGCTCCAAGCTCATTGATTTGGTATGATCCACTAATTGACAGACATATCGCACTCCCATGCTAGAGGTTGTCATGTCGGTCTCAGTCTCAATCTCATGACCGTGCTCCCAGAAAGAGGATTTCATAACCTCATTAGAAGCTAAGATCATGCGGAATCTGGGGTTCCCACGACCTTCCACCAACGGGTCAAGAGTATCTAGCGATGGGCCATTGAGCACAAAGTGGACAGCATGCTGATTTTTGCAGGGGCATCTCCAGCATTTACCCCTTATGATTGCTTTGTGTAGACTAGAAGCAGATCGTCGGGACTTCCGGTAGCGCGTCAGCGTGTGGTTTGATAGTCTCCGTTTTCGGGCTGTTTCTCGATACTCGGACTGTTCGACCAGTGTTTTGAGTAATGTGTTGGCGGTGTTGATTCGGTTGAGTAGATCAGCGTAGATACTCTTTGAGAAGATGTCCCGGAATTTCTTAACTTCTCTTTCAATATTCGATGAGTTGTTCCAGCATTTCTACAAGTTCCAGTGTTCATGATCAGCGCTCATTTGACACGCTAGCGGCAAATTAAGCCTCGTATCAGAAATAATAGGCCGATCAATATCAACGTACCTCTGCGGTTGCAGGCATCTTCTTGTCCCAACCCAACTTCTGCGACAACTCTTCCAGTAGAGCATACATCTCCGTCATGGTCCTTTCAAACGGGATATAGTTTCTCTCCATTTTCGCTTTTAATTTTGACTGCAAAGTGGGTTCCTTCCAAAAAGTCCCCGAGGGATCGTTGATCAGATCCTCCACTTCATTTTGGTATCCAACGACTCCATCAAGGGATCGCTCAAGAGTGTTAACAAAGATCGCCTGCTGTGTCCCAAGACTGGACAGGTAGCCGTCCAGCTCCCTGCGGTATCGCTTAGCGCGAAACCCCTTGAGTGTCTCGAGACCTTGCACATAATTGTCAAGTTGGTTGAGAAGGAGAGGGAGGACCGCAAGCACAAGTCCTGTGGCTTCCATTTGAGGCGTTCTTCAAGTTCTCCTTTGATGAGCCAGAGGGAGAGTACAATGTCATCCTTCCTCTTTGCTACGCAGAAGATGAGCCTCAGCTAGTATCAGTCACGCTTCTACCCCGCAGCACCCCTGTCATTTTATCTCGTACCTCAAAATGCCCACCAGGCGACTGCCCAATGATCACAAAATTATCATGCTGAATTCACCATCATTGTCCTGTCTGAGAATTCTGAGTTTCTAGTCTGTATGCCAGTAGATCTAAACTCACGCTCTCGGACTATAAAACTCCCATTCAAGCGTGGCCTTACTGAGTTCGTTTCCACAGCTCAGCGCGAAAGCCCCGCCATCGCCTTATCTTTCCACCTACAAAGATTCGCAATATGAGCACAATATCGTCTGTTGCCATATCTTGCCTTACGAAACTCAAAGCCATTGCTTCCTCCGATGATTTGCAAATATACAGTGCTGAGATCCCGCACGCACTTTGGCAAGATGAGCTGGGTCGTCTACGGGTCTGGGCAGCTAATATAGGTGCTCACCAGACTGGTCAGGCCTCTCTAGATCATCGCCTTCGAGACGCATCTCATATCAAAGAACAAACCCTCCGAGTTCTTCGGAGGTTGCAAAGGTTGTTACAGGATCTTCGGGACGGGCTTCACCCGGGAAGTGGATCCGAGGATATGTCAGATTCGGGGGATGAACACGGTGGAACATCAGAGGTGCAGATGATCTACCAAGAGGTTCATGATACGATCGGTAATCTCTTTCAACTATCGATGATCATTCGGAAGTAGGTCACCTTGGCCGGTCGTGAGAACGCTGAATGTAATACTGATATTCCCGAATAGACCCGCTCAGCACGATCGACTTCGGGGAACAAAGCGGTCCGATGCTGCTGGCTTCGAGCCATTCGATATGCAACACGTGTTGAACAAGTATCCTCAAGCAGAACCTAGTGTTCTAGAACGACTTGGGTTAGCCATTTCTCAGCGGAGAGCTATTCTTCGGTACCGCGAGCGACATCACCTCAAATTAGGGAAAGGCCTGGAACGAGCGATCGAAGACCGATCGGACGCAGTGTCCACGAAAATGTCAGATACAGTCGCAACAAATTTTGTTGAACAGCCTCCAACCCATGTCGGGTTTGATTCTCAATCACTCGTCTCTCAAACTTCATATGCACAGACGCTGCTGAACGGAGAGGAAGGGATGGTGCTGCCTCCGCTGCCTGCTGAATCTGAAGATGGAACTCCCTTTGAGTGTCCATACTGTTTCGTTATAATCAGCATCTCGGGCGATAATCAATGGGCCCGCCATGTCTTCGATGATCTCATGCCATACATCTGTGTGTTTCCCGATTGCTCAACACCATATCGACTGTATGAGAGTCGGCGCGAATGGTTTTTCCATCTGCAAAACCAGCATTCTGTGCCCATCGATTCCGGAGGCCAGCTTAACTGCCCTCTTTGCTCGTCGTCAGTCACAACTGGGAAGCCATTCGAAAAACACGTTGCCAGGCACTTGGAGGAACTCGCTCTATTTGCTCTACCGCGCTCTCAGCCACAAGTTAACCCCAATTTATCAGATGAAGAATTCATCGGAGACAATAGGGCTCGCGCGGACTCTGATTCCAATCATGGCTCATTATATCGAGTTCGGGAGTATACAAATGAGCAGTCCCCATTGACTGAAGAAACTCTTCGGGCGAGTGACACTCAAGAAGAGGATGGTGACCTATTCGACATGGGCTACGAAGGAGACACAAATTCCTACGAAGACGACGAAGATAAGAAAGACCTGTCTTTGGACCAATCGAATGATAGTGGCCAACCGCTACCCAAGACAAGAAGATTTCTCCCGCGATCCGAGACAAGAAAACTTTTCTCGCTACCTAATAAAAGAGTTCTCAAAGTGCGCAAGGTATGGTGCGTCGTACAATTTGCGGTTTATTGTACAAACTGCAAACCAGCCAGTCTCATTGAGAAAGGTACCCGCCTATTGGCCGGGGTGGAAGAACGAGTTGACCAAGGCAAATATTCAATATCCAGCTTCCACATTCAACATTCAGCATGTGGGCAGTGGATTGAGATTCAGTCAGATCAGCATGTTCCAAGCACCAGTCTGATTGAGTTCGGCGATGGTAGGTATGAATTGATAAATAGGATTTCTGTAGAATCACCCAGCCGAGGATTTGAGAATGAGGCGTCTCAACTACCAGACCTGGATAACGGTTGGGTGGTGTCATTAGGCCGTCCAGAATCGTCTACACGAAAGGTGAAGCGCACAAGGCCTATCGAATTTACAGACCCGATGGGGAGGCATTTTGAGTTCCCTCTTGAGCACTGCTCCACCTGGGAGGTATGAGCTGCGTTCTCCCTAAAACAGACCAGACCCATACTGACATGTCTTTGAATCTCTCAATGAAGGGGCTAGAAGAAGTCATCCGAACGAGTCTTTGCCATGCCCCTGACATGCTGGCACAATTCGAAGCCGGGAAGTATGACATTATCAATGAAGCCGGCTCTGTGGTCTTCCCCGGTAGATGGAAGGAGATTGTTGAGCCTGGCATACGCATCACAATGCGTATCTGGCCTTCTCGACAATATGCAATCGAATCACGACTTGAAGAGGGGAAACCGTATCAACTTTCAGAAGATCCTCTGACTATCAATTCCTTTTTGGAAAGAGCTAGATATTCGAGACTAGCCGATACCCGCTTTGGGGTGAGTGATTGGACAGCCGCCATTCCAGATATGGAAGATGAAGGATGACCAAGCTCCGTATCCGGGTGGAGCAGACGCCTGTAACATATGGCCAGAATTGGGAAACAAACAACAACGAGATGGCCTAAATACGATACGAAGCGTGGAAGAGTCCCTTCAACGACCAATCAATGTGAATCCCCTTTTAGAGCTGGCCTTCCCAAAGCTTTTCCCTGGCAGCCTGGGCTTGGGTGCTTTAGAAACCTAGCTGACTCTCACTATGCCCCATCCGTGGGACTTGATGTGGTTCATAAATTGTAATGGCTACTTATTGACTTGAATAACCTATAATTACTGTTCATCTGACTCAAACCGTGCAGGCCCCCTGGACTTTCATTTCATTTTCAGGGTAGAAAGTCAGGTACCGTGCCATTACCAAAGTCAACTCATCGCTGGGTATACGGTGGAAGAAGGTAGGTTCAGGACACAGCTCTCAGAACGCTCAGAGCGTGTCTATTGGCATACCCATCGACATGGAGAGTTGGTCAGGCCAGGTATATGGAGTCTCACATTCTGTCGCTCTAGGAAGTTGAAGGTGTCTCCTTCCACTAGTGAGGTTCAAGCCTGGGGGATAGTCGAGATTTTCCCATCGGGCTTCTTTCTGTTGATTGTTTGGATCAAACATTTCAATCCGACGTGGATCATTAGACCGCAACTTAACGAGCAATTGCTGCAGTATTTGTATAGCTGAAGTTATTCCCTGTAGAGAGAACTCCGCTAGCGCTTCGCGAACCTGAAAAGGAATAGGACCAAAGAATTCTCGTGTCTGTATGGTTGTAGGCCACCGACTAGCATTTAAGCCAGCAATAAGTTCGGAGTAATGTTCGAGGAGTACTCCCTGACAATGTGATACTGAAGTCATCAGATCCTCTCTTTCACAGTCAGTCGTGTCCGCAGATGCGATCAGGGCCCTTGCTGATGCAAGAAAGCCTGGACAGCGAGCTATTTCATGAAAGGAATATTCGATCAACTCTCCGAGTCGAGAAAATTTGCCTCGCCGTCTTTCCTCGTTGATCATGTCGGGAATTATTGATCTCCATTCCTCACCCTCTAGGAAGCACTTCTCGCCACGGGTCAGCGCTTCATACACAAGAAACCCCCGGAATGATAAGAGAAGCGTCCGACCAAGACCGTCAGCATGAGCCTGGGGCCCACGTATCTGATAAAGATTCGAGATACCCCGTGAATGTAACATCCATGACTCTTGTCCAGTTGAAGATGTCAGTTCATATACTCCGAGAAGAATCGCAGCACCAAGAGTATTATCTGCGGTCGCCAAAGCCGGATTTCTCAAGGTACGTGCTAAGTGGTTCAATGCCTGGCCGTACATCTCCCGACTAGCGAGGCCCAGTCGGTCATCCCCGAGTGAGCGACCGATATGAAGAGCACCAAGGCTACGTAGACACAAATCCAGTGCCTTTCCAGCCGTATCCCTGTAGTTATGAACTACATCAAACCAATTCGTACCAACACGGGTGCTGTAGCCGTAGAACAGGCCTAGAAAATTGGCCTCCACGAAACCACAGAATGCTTCACGGTACTGTTCAGCTATGGCCACACTGGCTAAGCTTGGCGCCACTGCTCCATCGATGGATGACCCACCAGCAAACACGTGTGGGTGCTGATCAGGAGTTGATTCGATTCCTGCTTTGTAGCTTCCAACGGCGCGAGGATTCGTATAGAAGTTGATTTTCAGGTCCCTAGTGTACCCGGGGCATGATGAACCTTTCTTCTCACACCGGTCGCACCCTGGGCGTCTTTCATCGCACTATACATTCACATCAATCGTCGGGTAATTGGTTTGTGTATCGTACGAAACGTATTTACCTTGATTCGTCTTCGGACGCAGGCTAGACAGCCTTTACTGCGCGGTACACCCACCATTACAGGTCAAAACGAGTGTAGATATATAATAGCGAAACACGAACCACGAATTTGGTTTCAGCCTCGTGTAAGATAAGGCTTAATCCTGGATAGTCGAATGCGTGGGGAAAAGGGGGTTGAGGCGGCTACAAAGCAGAAACAAAACTCATTGCACTATTCTCGGGCCCATGCATGCTAAACCTCTTGGCGGGCGGGGTATGCCCCCAAGCACCAAATAATGTCTAGCGACTCTGTGTAGTCAATTTGATAGCAATTGAAGACTCCTACTGTACCATTGTTTTGGAGGGCCTTTGATTGCACGCATTGAGAATGATGGTGGGCTTTGACCCTGAGGCGGCCTCTAAAATAATGTGAGTAGGAATCCACATCAGAACAAGTCCAATCGCTTGAGACTCCAATATCATACTTGGCTATACCTACTAAGGTCACCTGATATCCTTTAATATTAGCTTAAGTTGGGCTAATTTAAGTTAAATCTTCTCGCATAGTGTTCAATCTAAAATCATTTTATATTTAGGCGATTTCGATGCCTATAAGGAGGCCCTTTAGAAAGAGATTGGGGAAGAAAGGGGTAGTAGGACTGCCCTTCTCCTCTGGTTCCTTTCTTCATGATTGTTGTAAACAGCATGTTGGCCTAGTATATTTGAATCAATTCTGCCTCAGCGCCTCACAATATCGATGGCATGATGAACCTAAATACTGCTTTTGTCCGTGGTAGGCCCCCTTGAACTTCTACGATTTGAAAGAGGGACCTGCCCTCGGCCACGTCACCATATGACTCTACAACGCTCGCGTTCATTAAGGTGACCGTAGTCCACTAACATCACACCAGTGTATATGCCAACCCCTCTGATCTGAAACTTCCTGCCTGCTTCAGCTTCTGCGCACTCTTCCCAACATCCTTATCCCTATGAACCGTCTACCTTCTCTATAGTGCTAGATGTAAAGAGGAAATTCATGCTAATCGCGCTTTGTTATAGATATTAACTAATATCTAGTCTAACACGATGAATTACGTCATCTTGTTCGGAATCTTGCGACATTAGCTTCTTACGCTCAGCACACTGAGGCGGTGCATCTAAGCACTTCGGTAGATGGCGATCCCAACCTAAGTGTCTTCCCTCTAGACTCAGCACATTCCTTGCAATGCGCAGTAGTTAGCCTGGTTCTCGCTTGAACTGTGTTCCCACATGGAACATCTGCAAGCCCTGCATATACGAGGTGTTAGAGCTCTCGGGGCCGATTTCTTCCCCCCGGGCATCTGCATTCTTGGCTGCCTGTCCCTCTCGGGGTTCAGCGTCCTGATTGGAGGGTAGGATCCAAAAGACACGCTTCCGGGACCCCTTTCTCAGCTGGGTGGGGGATTTCCGGTGGTGCTCAAATGTAGTGATCAACCCCCTGGAAGTGCGCGCTGCGTCTGTATATTAGTCGTATTATTGTCTCATGCCAAGAGCAAGGCTGACAGTGGAGCCGTAGGGGAGGCTGTGATTCCCAGGAGTGGAGTGGAACCCTAATGATACATACCTTTGCTAAGAGCAACTTATACTAACAAAATTTGAGATCCTGGAGATCATGGGGATCTCTACTGCTGGCTCGGATTCAACTTAATGCAACTAGTGCAAAAAGAAAGGCAAACCACTCGTGAATAATCAGCGTTGATTAGTCGTCGATCCGAGGGATGTGCAGCCCTTGCTTCTTGCTTCAGGGTCCCGAGGAGGCTCAGGTTTCTGAGGCGTTGGGCACTAATCCGTATAGAAGACATCGTTTTCCGTGTCCTGATCCTCTTCACTTTGGCTAAGATGAACCCTCTCCGATAGGTCTACAGCATATAACCAAACGGAAAGCATGCCCGCCTCACCTATCTCAAGACTACCTTCACGTCAATATTTCATCCACAAAGACCATGACCCCAACATGAATGCACATTTGCTGAGCGCACCCTCTGTGGAGCGGACAGCGGAGCCGGGCCAGCAGCGATTAGTGTCATCTGACTCGATCGAGAAAATTGGAGAGAAACTAAAGACAAGACGATCGATCGGGACATGGATTTCAGATTGGTTTGTCTGGGAAATGTTTGCCATCTTCGTGTCAACTAGCCTGGTGGTCGCCATCTTTATTATTTTGGCCCGATTCGATAACCAGCCTCAGCCTACCTGGAAATACGTATCGCTGAACTCGCTCATTTCCTGGTTGAGCACCCTTTCGAAAACATGCATTTTATTCGCCGTCAGCGAGACCTTGGGCCAATTGAAATGGGTGTGGTTCGCCAACAAGCCACGGCCGATACCGGATCTTCGCACTTTTGATGCGGCCAGTCGAGGTTATTATGGCAGTGCAGAGCTGATATGGCGTCACTATAGGAGCATGTTCCACGGATGTTCATTTACCTACGGATAATAGAAGAACAATATAGTTATGCTGAGGCCGTTATACGGGTGTACAAGTCTCCGTGACTACGCCAATATAGACAACATCGCTGTTAGCTATGGATTTGGGTACGGCATCGCTCAACGCCGCGCTGCGGGTGATTCGATGATATTTGACGAGCCGGGCTCGAACTGGTCTATCCCTCTTTATTCTTGCGCAACTGGCGTGAAAGCCACAATTAAGTGTGTGTCCTTCGAATTCAATGGGACTAATGATTTGAACGGATTGAAGGGTATCGGAATCAGAGTAAAACATACCCCGATCGCCTTTCCATGCCACTGTGGGGAGTTGAGAACGCTAGCATGCTGCTTAACGATGTCCAGCCGCTCCGGGGGCTGGTCTCTCCAAAGTCTGCCGGTCAACTGGGGCTATCAACCGTCCGCCAGGAACACCTGTGGCCACCGGATATCGCTCGGGTGGGTATGAAGATCCATATTTCGGCCATCACGTCGCCTTTTGAACCCTAACGCCACGTTGCCGCCATGTGGCTGACCAGTGCCGACATGCGACAGGGTCCCAGGTGCAACGGTACCCTGTGGCGCGTATGCACAGGGCATCAAGGTCGGGTGCCGGCTATTGCGCAATTCTGGAAGCAATTGAGAACATGCCTAGACATCAGCTGCACCACTTATAGTCATCACTCCGCGGAGAATATGGCCCAACTTGTTCCTACCAGAGGAGTTATGGCAGGAGTTAATAAGGTTGACGTGATGGACGCGAGGCAGGAAGAACCGGGGCGATCGAGCCGACTGGCCGAGACCCGATAGCCGATAGGATTTGTTCGATGCAGACTAGAATAGTAAGCCCCTCGAAGAGGTATCCTTTTTTAATAATTGCGGAGACTGATTTCCTGTCGAGTCTGGGGTGGGGCTTGGTAAATGCGGAGAAGCTGCGGCTCCACATTTGCGACCGGTGGATATTGAGGTTGATGCTATTAGAGACATGAGAATAGCTGTAATCAAGGGCAAGATGTGTAGATAGAATAAAAGTATTGCATTTTTAGAGGCGTAAATAAGAATAATATGACATGACTCGTACTAGAGACCCTGATTGCAATAATTAAACCTGACTGGTCGTTACTATGGCTTAGTCCCCCATTGCGTGCTATGGCGAAATCAGCGGGCGCCGCTTGCGTGCTGGACATCTGCCCAGAAACAGCCGACCCGAGTTGGTTAAAGTTAACTAGTCAAGTTTAGCTACTTCAAGATCGCGTTGCACGAAGATTCATAAGCTGATCTTTTTGCCCCGAGTCTCGCATCTGAAATCTCGGTAATTCTCTTTTCTTCCTCTCTATCTATCTGGTCGAGTTCCCGTACGCTCCCAGCTGGCTGTGCGACGGATTCTCTTTCATTTCATCATGGCACGCCTTAACGGGACACGACTCGGTGCTTTCCGTGCATACTTTTTCGGTTTCTTTGTCTGTACGGCTGGTTTCTTGTTTGGTTATGACACGGGCATTGTCGGTGAGTTCTCATCTCCATCATTGTGTATAGCTCGAGTAGCTCGGCCGTCTTGAGTATTAGCTAGTTCAGTCCAGTTACTAACTCATCACCCATTCCTACAGGTGGAATTCTTACATTCCAATCCTACAAGGATGACTTCAGATACACCGACAAGACCACCGTGAGCGCCGTCATGGTCAGCTTGCAGAATGTCGGCGCCTTCCTCGCCGCACTATTCATCTTCCCCATCTCCGAGCGCTACGGCCGCAAAAAGACCGTCCAGGTCGCCATGTCTATTTTCTGCGTCGGTGTCATCTTGCAAGTTGTGCCGTCGCATTCCCTGGTGTGCTTCTATATTGGCCGTTTCGTCTCGGGTCTGGGTCTTGGTGGAGGTACAGCCGTTGTGCCGTCGTATAACGCGGAGATGGCACCCAAGGAGATTCGTGGTATGCTGGGATCTGGTGTCCAGTGGCTCTTTGCGCTTGGTGTTATGATTAGTTACTGGATTGATTATGCGGTTCAGCAGACTTTGCCCGTCTCCTCAAAGCAGTGGCAGATCCCAGTCGGTCTGCAGCTGGTCCCGGCGACTGTCCTGGCTCTTGGTTTATTCACTCAGCCTGAGAGTGTGCGTTGGCTGGCCAAGAAGGAGCGTTACGAAGAGGCATGGCAGAGTCTGACTTGGATGCGTGCTAGTGAGGGTAAGCATATCTTCTGTTTCTATAGAATCTGGACTGTCGTGCTAATTCTGTGATTCACTTCAGGCCCTGAGGTTAGAGCCGAGTTCAACGAAATCCGCACTGGCCTGATCGAAGAGCTCCGTGCCACCGATGGCCTCAAGAAGCGTGAGCTCCTCGAGCCTGCGAACCGCTACCGTCTAGCCCTCGCCGTATTCATCTTCTGTGGCCAGCAGTGCACAGGCATGACCGCGCTCGCCTACTTCGGCCCGCAATTCTTCAAGCTCCTAGTCGGCAACGACAGCAGCCGAAATTTGCTAATTACTGGTCTCTTCGGTGCCGAGAAGTTTGTCACTGTCGGTACCTACATCCTCTTCTTCTCCGAGAGGTGGGGACGGAAACCTACGCTTTGGATCTCAGCGCTGCTTATGTCGGTGTGCTTCGTCATTGTCACGGTGGTCAATAATACTACGCCGAAGCCCCAGCAGGAGGTTACTTCTGCGGGTATTGCGACGGTGGCGATGATCTTCCTTACCAATTCGATCTACCAGTTTAGCTGGGGACCGTTGCCGTGGCCCTATACCACCGAGGTACGTCTTTCTGCATATCACATCCCACCCCATTTATCCAGTACATATACAACTAACACTGTACTCGCAGATCTTCCCCTCCCGCATCCGAGAAGTCGGCACCTCCGTCGCCGTCGCCACACAATGGCTCTTCAACTTCCTCTTCTCCCTCGTAACCCCCTACATGCAAGACTCCTGGGGAAGCTACACCTTCCTCTTCTACGCAGCACTAGACGTGATCATGGCCATTATCGTCTGGTTCTTCGTGAAGGAAACCAAGGGTAAAAGTCTGGAGGAGATGGAGACGATTTTCAATAGCAAGGCTGCGTTTGATGTCGAGGTTGCGAGGCATGAGGGCCAGGAACTTCCGGCGGATAATGTTTCTGCGTTGGATGTTCATCATAAGGGGGATGGGAGTGCGAAGGGGTCTGATTCGTCGGACAAAGATGCTAGTTGAGGGGTCTTTTTAATGTGTTTTTAGTGTTTTGGTTGGATTTTTATGATACCTGCTCCCGATGGGGCTTATGATGGTGTGATTTTGGGCTGCATTTGCTATTGAGATAGGCTGAATGGCATTATCTGCCCGACTCTTTATGATCGAGAGTTCGTGCTTGACCAATTATGTTTCACTATGCATGTAAATTCGAACCACCGTGAATAGGGCTTTAAATAATAATGATGATGATGATGTGACCAACCCCTCCTGAGAGTTTTTCGAAACGGAATAAGGTTGAGCAATGGCATAAGTAAATAAAGAGGCAATAAATTCAATATACGGCGTATCAATGACATTGCCCAAGGATCTTGATACCTGGGATATTATTACAGTATAGACAATACTTTTCCTCATCACTCCCCAGCTCGACTTACAGCGCCTTCTTACCCTCCGTCTGGCGCTGCGACTCAACCACGTAACCGACAGCGCGGGCAATACCCTCGTCCACGGGAACGATAGGCAGATACGCGAGACGGTACTTCGCCTTCTCAATGGAGAAGTACCGTGTCATGCAGGAGTACCGCACAACACGGCGGGTCAGACGCGGCGTCTTACCGAACAGACCCAGCACGCTCTCCGCCACTCCACCGACAACCTCCAACAGGCCCTCCGGCAGTGCCCAGACCTGATCGGGCTCGACAATCCGGCCGATCAGCGCCCACATGGCGCGCGTCACATCCCAGAAGTAGACGGGCGAGTCGTTGGTGATGTTGAAGGCCTCGCCATCCACGCGCTCGTGCTCCAAGGGTCCGCCCTGGCCGGACTCGTACCGGTCGTAGGTTGCCAGCAGTCGGTGGCCGGCGAGCATGTGTGCGTAAGCGATGTTGCCGACGTAGGTAAAGTCGAAGAGGTTGTCGTTGTCGCCGAGCTGCATCTTCAGGACGGTCTGCGAGGCTTGAGAGCCGTGCTCGAGGATCTTGTATGTCACTGTCGTGTCCTTCTCACCGTAGATACCGGCAGGACGGATGGCGCAGGTCACCATGTTTGTGGGGGACTGGCGGTTGTAGTTGAGGACGATCTCTTCGGCATCAGCCTGCGGGGGACATCGATGTTAGCGATTGGTTTTGCTTAGTTTATGGTTTAGTTGATAGCGCAATGCCTTGATGCTCACCTTGGTCTCAGAGTAGTACTCCTTCTGCAGGCGACCACGGATAAGGGGCCACTCTTCGTCGACGTTCTTCAGGTCGCTCTGCGTATCGTGCACCACCGAGCTGGAGCTAGTGTAGACGAACGCCTTGCACTTGCCGCCCCAGTCGCCGTGCTCGCCACCCGCAACCTGTAGTAGCGTGCGGGTTCCCTCCACATTGACCTTGTGCAGGAGCTTCTTGTTACCGTCAAGGACAGACGGGGTCGCAGTATGGATAACCAGGTCCGGCTTGACAGCGTTGAACACCTTCATCATCGACTCGACGGAGGTAATGTCGCCATCGTAATAAGTCGCGCCGGGAAGACGGTTGTGCGTCGTGCGCAGGTCAACCACCGAGACCGTAGCCTTGTATTCGGGGTAGCGCGAGCCCAGGGTCGGGTACTCGAAGCGCGCATCGTTCTGGGGCTTTGGCAGCGCGCTGCTGGGATCCGTCTCCGAGGGGAAGTTCAGCAGGTGATCGACAATGTGCCACCCCAGGAAGCCGCAGCCACCGACCACCAGCACGTTGCCCAATTCCAGATTGCGCCGTTGGGAAGACATTGTGGAGGTAGTGTGAGATGGTGAACTAATTGATTGGGAGATTAGATGCGGTATGGGGTTGAAAAGGGGACGGGGGAGCTTCGGGGGCCAGATCAGCTGACACGTGCGATAAGATTTCCCCGTTATCAGGCCCATTCGAATTTATCCGGAGGGAAAAGACTTCCCCGTCCATGAATCGAACCCCCAACTTTGAGATTCCCTATATACTTCACCAAAATGCTCCATCGCTATCCCACGATGCCGAAGTACATACTCCCTTGGGACCACACCCGCTACACAATCCCCCTCTACAACACCATAATATCTTTAAAATATCTTATTTTAGACATAGAATAGAAGATATAGAAGAAATCTATTTATTAAATTAAAAAATAAGAAATAAAAGAAGAAATCAGCGAGCGAGGGGGATTAGCTCGCTCGCCCACTCTCCCCCCTTAGGGTGTGCCCGGCCATCCGTGGAGATATACTCGACATCGGATACCAGTCAACCGTTTTCCCCTCAATTTTCCTTCACAGGGGCACACCCTTGGCCAACCAGGTGGCGCAAACCTGGCTGACCAACTAGGCCATATGAGGGGGGAGATTACCTGGAAGAACTGGAAGTTGGTGATAACTCTCGTTTATTGTCAATATTGAATACTGCAACGACAATACATACTCCGTCCTTGTTTTGCTCTTTTTGGCACTTGGCGTGAGCCGCACAGCGACAAATGATTTAAGCTAATGCTGGCTAAAATGCTAGATAGATAATGCTACACATAGTATCCTGCTCATCTCCAGGAATCGTATCTCTGACAACCCGATGACCCTTGAGCCATAACATAGCCATCTGCTATTCACCTTTCTATCCTCCGTCATAGGTTCCTGTTAAGCGGATAGCTCCATCAGCACGGCTGTCCACCTTCAAGACTATAACCTGCGTGTGTGTGCGGGTCAGGCAAACTTACTCCAGAGTTGCCGCAACTGAGCGGCGGAGCTTGCGACTATACTGTCGCTGCTCCTCCTTGGACCCCCAGCAAAGTGCACTTGCCTCCGGATTCACCGTCATGAGAGGATTGACGGGCGGCTTATCCTCCTCTAGAGAACTGATTATGCCGTCAACATGACGGCTCATCTCATCTGCCTGGAGAGGGAGGTAGATGAGCACGTTCTGTGGCGAGACACGAACATGATACAGCGGAGTCTCGAGGATAACTCGCGGCTGTTCTGCAGGATGATTGGGGCTGATGAAGATGTTGATCTTCAAAACACCTCCATCATACTGGGTCATCGGCCTCCCATGATAGATGAGGCGCCACAGGAACGGGTTGTCATCCACGAGCTCGAGGACGACCATCCCCTCCGTTCGCTGGGTAAGCTGACGCGTGATTTGCTGAGACTGTGCGCGAAGGCTTGCTGCGAGTGGATGGTCCTTTTGGTCCATGTCCTTCCCTTGGACTGGCCATTTTTTCGTCTCCTCCATGATGCGCAATTCGAGAACTGCCAGGCGCTTTTTCATGTCTTCGTAATCCCAGGAGCCCCCCATGATATTGTCTGCGCATTCAAATGCCATCAAAGGGAAGGAGTGGCGGGCTCGTGCTTTCTTATCGTTAAGGCCATGCTCGATGGCCATCTTGTACGATTCCAGATACCACAGGAACCGCCTCTTGTAGGTATCGAGGAATGGGTGGAATGGCGCTTCCGGCACACTGGAGTTCGATTGGTAAATCCCTGCCCCTAGATAAACGCCCTGGCCTGGCCTCGTGCTCGGTTGTGTGGTTTTGATGTCAAAGGCTTTTTCCAGAGGGACGATGACCGTTAGCCGAAGGTTCTCGTGGTGGATCTGAGAGCTCCGGTTAGCAATCGGAGTCACCTCTATTCATTAGGAGTTTTCAATTCCCCGGGCGATATCGAATTTTGTTAGTTTCTGGGGACATGTCATCCTACCTTGGCGTTGTACAGTTCACTCTGTTCCTCGTCATCATCGTTCTCAAAGCCTGGCTCCAGATTGTAGGGCTTAGCGGCCAAGAGACTCTGGATGGATCGGAGGACCGTTTCTAGTCCCAGCACCGGGGACCACTGTTCGTTGGATTCACCTGACCAAGTGCTGTATATATGATCAATCACTGTGATGACTAGCTACCATTCAAACCGGGGTGGTGATAAAATCCTTACCCTAGAATCGATCTGCTCAATCATCATAGGTTAGGATTCTGGACATTATCCCATGGGTAGGTAGGGAAGACTTACAGACAGACCTTTCCACTTGCATAGAGATTTGGACCGAAACGTGTTCGTCCGTTGTTGGTAGTCTGCAGGGTAACAGTGGGCGGTTTTTCGGGATATTCTGTGGCGATGTCAATGGTGTTCTATCTTGAGATGCGGGAGCTCAAGCCCAACCGATTTGTACTCACCAGGAGGGATCCTGATCAAGAACTAGAAATGAAGCTAGTCAGTCAAGCACTTTGAAGTTTCATCTTCATCCGTATCAAGACTCACCTGGTAGAAACCCTGGGCGTATGGGGTATCTGGCGGCCCGATGATGAGAGCGTTGAGCTCACGGGTGTTCTGTTCCTTGTAGGAGATGTCGATGGCTGGAGCTTCCGTTAACTCGTTGTCTATGAATAGAGCTGACGATGACAACATACCGAGATCATCGCTTCGGGCGAACTGTCTCAGCTCCTATATTCGGTCGCATGAGTTGGCCATCTTGTCTTAAGCTCTCAAGCTTCGGCTCTACTTACGCGCATGACGCGGAGGGCACACTGGTCCACCATTTTGCAAACCTGCGTACCCGCGGAGAGGATGTTGGAGTAATCGGAGCAAATAATGGGGAACGGAGATGAGGAAGTATAGTTTGACGAGGGCGGTAGGTGGAGGAGGAAAAACTAAAGGGAAGACTGTCCAAAGAGGCAGCTACCCGGGGTATGGATGATGAGGTTGGGAGTTTTCCATTTCGGCCCTTTTAGAGCTTCGGACTGTGCTTCGGGTAGGCTACTTTAATAAGTAGACAGGTATAGATCTCTAGATGGTTCATGAAATTGACATTATCTTCAATGGTCCTTGCTGTAGGGGTTGATCTTTAGGAAAGCCAAGCCCATTCCCTATTCTCCAATAACAGTGCTTTGAAAAGCGTCGAGAGGGGCAGTATGTAGTAAGTTGTTGCTGGCATTATTGCTGGCAATTCTGACTATTTTTACTCTACCGCCTGGTTGACCGCCTTGGTACTGGGTTGAGGCCTTAAACCATGGCTTCTCTGATCGAGACTAGTAGCCTTGCGATATTAATATCAATCAAGACTAGATTGGTTTTATATGTAGCTATTACAAGGAGTATTTATTCAATGTTTGTCTTTATAGCCAGCAGAATACTAGAATGGCATTAAGGTTGTAGAATGTGGAAACTAACAATATAGTCAGTGTATCGCTTCCCAGCGTGTCCATCTCCTCCTCCGTAAACTCTAGGCATTTACAGTTTGCTATGACCCTGGGATTCTTTGGGCGACAGTGGATCGTGGCTGGAATAGTGGACCCCGTCGAAGAACAAAATAGATGAAGAACCTGATCAAGTCGACGGCCATTTGATTCTATGATAGCGAAGATATCTTTGTGTTTTCCATCTCCATCTGGAACCTGTACGCCGTTCTTTATGCAGAGGCTGAAACCCCAGGGCCGCCGTGAGACTGATACTATAAAAAGCCTAAACGAGAGGAGCCATGGACAGTGCCGGGATGGTTCAAGCGGGTCCAGGTACGACCGGGAGTTGACAGGAAAGACGCCCCCTTACTATACATAGATACGAAGGGCCACGAGACAAAAACAAACAACTAGCTTAAGACAAAGATACATATCCATCAAAAATCCAGAAAATAAGTCATAATTAAATCCTTTCCAAGTATATAAACTCGAGTCCTAGAATGATGACAGGGCGGTGTAGCTCCACGTGACCTGGGCCCTGATTTGGGGGAGCACCAAAAAAAGCGTGGGCCCGTAGTCAAAGTGTATGCCCGCTAATTAGGGGAGAGAGAGAGGGGGCAACAAATGCCCAACCCAAACCTTTCTCCATTCTCTCCTTCACCCCCCAAACGCCCACCTCTTTCACCACCCCCTCTCCCCCTCAACTCGGACTCGACTTCAACTTCCTCAGGGCCATCTTACCCTCCGTTAACCCGATTTCTCGTGATTCTTCTCCCTCCCATGGTTGTGACTTCGGTCGCCTGCGCCGGCTCCTCTCGCAAGCTCCCAGCCTCCTCCTCCTCCACCACCACCCCCGCGTCGTCGTTCGGACCTGTGCGCGCCTAGGATCCTGCTTCCCTGGCTTCAATCTTATCTCTATCCTTCCCCGCGATTTCTCCGGTCGGTCGCGCGCGCTGTCACTCCTTTGTTCAATTCATACCCCTCGCCTTTTTCCCCGCGTGTCGTCCCTATATGGCGTGAGGGTGAGTGAGAGTTCCTGGACCCTGGACTCGAGGTCCACCTTCCCACTCTTCACACAGAACCAAGAGGCCCATAGGTGGCCTGCTCTAACCAATTCCCTCCGTGATTTAATAGCACGAGCTAGATCCTTTCGAGAGATCCTTCCCGCGACTTCGTGGTGTTTACCGAGACACATCAACATCACCGAACCTCCCCGTCCCTAACTTGTCACCCGTCACCTCCTCACATAACGTGCATGCTCTACCTGCGGTGCTACCACGCCTGAACCTCATTCATCCTTCATTTGTGAAGGGGGACCGTCATGCCCCCCGGTGGACTTCCGGCTAGCCTGGTCGCAGGCAAGCCCACTCCGACTGTGAACACCTCCTACGGAAGTAGCTATCAGAAAAACACACCCACTTCCCCTGAGGATAGTCTCATCCCATTTGATTCACCCTCCACCCGCACAGCTGGAAATCACAGTCCTTTGAGCCCAGAAGACCGTTCCCCGCGGGGCCTTGAACCTGATCAACCAGGTTTCCGGGACCGATCCAATGTGAGGGACAGATCGCGCCCTAATGGGCGACCCCACAACAAGTCTCCAGGCTCGTCCCGTCTCTGCCAAAAGTGCAATGAGCCCTTGACTGGGCAGTTTGTGCGCGCGTTGGGTGGTACATTCCATCTGGAGTGTTTCAAGTGCGAGGTACGTGGTGATCCTGCACAGACAAAGCCCATCCTTCTCCCTACTCCCTCTTTCCATCTATCTGGAGAGACCCTTTGAAACTGACAACAACTATTTCATAGGATTGTGGTGAAATCGTCGCCTCGAAGTTCTTCCCCGTTGACTCGGACAATGGATCATGCCAATTCCCCCTCTGCGAGACGGACTATTTCCGACGATTGAACCTTCTATGCCACGATTGTGGCGGTGCTCTCCGTGGCTCCTACATTACAGCATTAGATCGCAAATACCACATTGAGCATTTCACTTGTTCAGTGTGTCCTACGGTATTCGGTGCCCAGGACTCCTACTACGAACATGAGGGCAAAGTTTACTGTCATTTCCATTACTCGACTCAATTTGCACAGCGATGCCATGGATGTCATACCGCAATTCTCAAACAGTTTGTTGAGATTTTCCGTAATGGCCAAAACCAACATTGGCACCCCGAGTGTTACATGATCCACAAATTTTGGAATGTCCGACTATCACCCGCTGGCCAAACATGGGAACCGCCCCCTGTCGACGCCGATGCTACACCCGAGGAGCGCGAAAACATTCGCCGAGAAGAGGATTCCATGGAGGAGAAAGTCTACAATATTTGGAGTACTCTCTCCACGTTTGAGGAATCTTCCGCCGCGTGCATCTCTGACATGCTGCTACACGTCAGCAATGGAGCATACATCGACGGTGTGATCGTCGCCAAGCGATTCATTGCGCATGTGGAAATCCTTTTGTGCTGCCGTCGACGAACTAGCATTGTACATCAAGTCTCATGGCGTCAAGGGTAGGTCTCGCTCATTGATGTCATTGTTTGCTCTCTCGGTCTCGGTCTCTGGCTAACCCACATCATCTAGATCTATCGTATGGTCGAGAGGCAAAACTCCTCTGCAAGAAGATTGTCGCATTCTTCGCCCTCCTATCCAAGACGCAAGAGACCGGTGTTCGCAAGCTCGGGGTCACCCAGGAGCTGCTCTCGTTGGTGACTGGCCTGGCTCATTACCTTAAGCTTCTCATTCGTATCGGTCTCCAGGGTGCTTTGAAGCTTGAGCGGGAAAAGTCGGCACCGGACGGTCTGCACAACTTCCTCGCACACCTAGCAGACCAAGAATCCCTCGCTCCGCCAGAAGATGAGAACGCGCCCATTGATCTGAATGCCGGTGTCGAGGGTCTAGCCGATCAACTTTCAGATTGCTGCATCTCATGCAAGGAGCCCATTGACGACGAGTGTGTCCGCCACGGAGAAAACCGCTGGCATCTGAAACCCCCTCATCTGGCATGCTGCTCGTGTGAGAAGGAATTGACTTTTGATCTTGTGGATGCATTGTGGCATGAAGGCGAAAAGCGCACGTACTGCTCAGCATGCGCTGATCATCATAATCTCGGTCCGAATGCACAGGCCGGCTTCATCCAGGTCACCAAGTTGCAGCAGTTCGTCTTCCTGTTACGAGTTGCTCTTGCACGCCTTCTAGCCGTTCTCCGTGCTGGAGGAACACTTCCTTCTGCATCTGGTAAGTTGTTTTTTTTTCCTCTGTAAAGGTCCAGCATCCAAAGTTCCTAACTTTTTCATCTCTTAATCCAGCAGATCCCAACGTTGAAGGCAGTGAGGACAAGGATGGGTACCGCGTGCACCCCGGTGATGTTCGCCGGTCCAATACTATTTCCCAGTCTCGTGGCGGTGCTCGTGGTGGCTTCGAGGAGTCGTCTCTGGAGCAGACTGTCGGTGAGATGCGTCGCTTGCGTTCTCTTCGCAATGAGCGCACTCTTTCTACGACATATAAGAAAGCTCGCGCATCTCGAATTATCGATGGCCCCGAGGGCCGGAGTGTCCGACCTGGGTCTTCTGGTAACGATGGCAGTGACCCTCGTGGACCCGGCTTCCAGATCGTTGAGGAACGAGATGCGAATGGCGAAACTGTGAAGGATCTGACATTCGGTGCTCAAGATGCCCTCACTTTGGATGACATTCCTCGTATCGTTGCAGCTGAACAGGCCAAGGAGCAGCGCCCCAACGCCTATCGACATGCCGGCTCTAAGCTTGTGGGAACCATGGAAGGAATGCCCACCTACAAGCCAGGACACGCTCGTGAGATGTCAAAGAACCAGCTGGATATGCTTGTGGACTCTTCGACTCGTAGCAAACGTTACTTTTCCGAGCTCACGGCATTGGAATATTTCATCGTCCGCCATGTTGCCGTCTTGTCGATGGAGCCGTTGCTAGACGGGCAGTTCAGCATGGAAGAGCTGCTCTCTCTAATCGAATCTCGCAAGCCTACCATCTGGAACATCTTTGGCCGTGCCTTCAAGGATGAGAAGAAGAAGGGCAAGAAGAAGGGAGTCTTTGGTGTTTCACTCGACTACTTGGTTGACAAGGAGGGTACCGAGTCTGGACACGGTGTCGGCCCTGGTGCCCTGCGGATTCCAGCACTCGTAGACGATTCCGTCTCCGCTATGCGCCAGATGGACATGTCGGTTGAGGGTGTCTTCCGGAAGAATGGCAACATTCGTCGTCTCAAGGAACTCGCCGAGTTGATCGATACCAAGTATGACCAGGTCGACATGACAAAGGAGGGTCCAGTGCAGATCGCTGCGCTTCTGAAGAAGTTCCTTCGCGAAATGCCTGATCCATTGATGACTTTCAAATTGCACCGTCTTTTCGTTGCTTCACAGAGTAAGTTAATGCCGGTGCATTGTGTGTGGGAGTGGAAAAACTGACAAAAGTTTGACAGAACTGTCGGACTCTGAGAAGCAGAAGCGAGTGCTGCATTTGGCTTGCTGTCTCCTACCCAAGGCTCATCGCGATACGATGGAGGTCCTGTTCACGTTCCTCAACTGGACATCATCCTTCTCGCACATTGATGAGGAATCGGGCAGCAAGATGGACATTCACAACCTGGCTACCGTCATAACACCCAACATTCTTTACCCGAACACGAAGAACGGCACCGTGGACGAGAGTTTCCTAGCAATTGAAGCGGTCAACGCGCTGATCACGTATAACGACACCATGTGTGAGGTAAGTGGCTCTCTTCTTCTCGTGTTTTCCACAGGAAAAGATTCATAATTAACTTTTATTTTGTACCAGATTCCGGAGGACTTGCAAGCTGTTCTGAGTGATCCTACACTTTTCAAGGAGAACTCTGAAGTCACGTCCAAGGACATCTTGAAGCGGTATGGTGACATTACGCGGGGAAGCTTCTCAACGAGACCGGACAACAGCGGGGATACCTTTACCATCAACAACCATCGGAATCCGAGCACCCCGACATCAGCTCGAATTGAGACCGATCCTTCTCAGGACACTGCCTGGCAGATGCAGAGCTCAGTTCGCCATGTTCCAGGGCCTAGTGGGCACTCCCACTCAGCAAGTGCCCAGCCCCAAGCTGGTCTTGACTTTGCGCCACCTCAGCCACCTCAGGCTGCCTATCACCGTGAACGAAGCCATAGCAATGGCAGCCAAGCTGGTACAGACGGGCAGCAAGGTCTCCCCTACCGCCCACGGCCCGGTCCTGGCGCTATGGGTGTTACTGGGTAGAATTTGCCAGTCTTTGTCCTTTCCTCCCTTGCACAGCTGTCATCAATACACCATAAATTGATGACTTTTATTTGCATCTCACAACCTAGCGCCATCTGTGACAGCCCAAGGTGTACTTTTTTACCCTCTCTCATTTTTACGGGGGCGTGTTGAGCGTTTTTCGTTTTCCGGTCGATTTTTCCTTTCTCATCACTGCCTTGCCCTATGTCCATTCATTTCGTCTCGACTGACAGGTTTGGTTGACGGAGTTATCTCATCTTCACATTCTACATCATTCAAAATTCTCACCCAAAAGTGAATCATTATCCCTCATTGGTCCCGATCCCTTTGGTGTACCTATTGCCTACATACCCTACCCATCCTTTTCCCCTTAGTTCATGGGTGCTACCACGCGTTTCGTCCACTACAGTTCCCTTTTTTTTTTTTTTTCTTTTCTTTCCCTACATACCCATCCATACCTGACCTACCCACTTTGTCGGAATCATGTATGTTTCTCCTTGCTTTCGTTCACTACGGGCGTGCTTTTCTACAGTCTATGCCTTTTTCATATCATCTCTTTTCGCTTCTCTTGAACCCAGGCTCCAGGTTTTACCTTGGTTCATCCCTTTCTGCGTTTCTTTCTTTTCTCTTTAGCTTTTTTTTTTACCTTTCTTCTCCCAGATCTGCTGATCTAGCATCGGTCCATGGAGTCCTCTTGTGAATTTCGCTTCTTTTTTTTACCTTTCAGACGTCTTTGCGATCTGACCTGATTGCAATCAATGATACCTGCTCTGAGTCTTGTGTCTCGCTGTAGCTATTCCTTTTCACACTGGGTTCTTTGCATGATAGCTCTAGCTTTTGTTTTGATATGGTATCTTGGCGCCATTTTTTGGATATCAGCCTTAGCTTAAATTAAATGGCTTCCATTGCTCAACGTAGGTACCGATTTCCAAGGCTTCCGTCTAGGCTCAGGATAACACAATAAATAGGTATCTTCTAAGTTGGAATGTACTTTGGCAACTATATATCTTTCCGGCATCCACATTATATATCCTGAAAAAGTACCTACCTCAGAAATCCATCTACGTCTTAGGATACAATAGCTGTAGCCAGATACCTAGTCACGTCAATATATATATATACATATGTTCAGCGGTGCATCCCGTTGATACATGGACCCTACGGTGCCTACCTGATGATAGGTAATCATGGAGATAGATCTGCCATGCGGGCGCATCGAGGGTTTGAAATGCCGTCACTGTAACCGTAGTTTAACGGTTATTTCCTGAATACGGTATTCAAAAAGATTCTGAAATTTTGACAGTATTTTAGTTAGAGACTATATCTATGCGAAATACTGCGGAGGAGATCAAATACCGTAGTTCGCCCCAATACCGTACCCTCAACAGCATGCATAGAGCTACAATCTCACTTACTATATCTACTCTTAAATTCTGCATTGAGATTGGAAGTCATGGCTTGCCGGCATGGTACTCGTGAACTGAAACGCTCACGGGTATCGAGCCTTTGTCTCTACCTAGCTATGCAGGGAAGACTGGAATTTCAGCACGAAAGTCTGTATCTGTATTGCATCACACATAGAACAGCTTGGAAAGAATAAACTGTGAAGTCCCAGACGACTTCCATGATCAAAGATAATGCCGAAAAATGCATGGGAACACCTATTATGACACCGACCCAATAAGATCAAGCAAGAAAAACAATACAACACCATGGATTCAACCTCATGCTTGTAATTGGCAGTACTCCACGCTCAAAATCAACTTCAAGTAGAATCAAAACACCTCGGCCCTTATATCAAAATGCGTCAGCAGTGACAATGCATTTGATATCCTCTATACACGCTTTCGTAGTGCTCTCGTCCCGCGAGTAGAAGATTCCATTGTGGATGCTGGGGCGGTAGTCTTCCGGGCGGTGGACGCGGTGGCGGAAGTTGCGGTCTTCTTGACGGCCAGGGATGCAGTGTGGGCCCGGGGCACAGCAGGTTTCTTGGTCGTTGACGCAGTCCCTGCCGTTGCCTTCCTGGCACCGGTGCCAGTACGGGTGGGTTTCGTGACAGTTGTGCCCGAGGATGTGGTGGACGAGAAACTGTTCTTACGCTCGCCTTGACGAGTCGCCGGCCGCGGGAGGGGAGACCTGACGGATCTGGGTCCAGTGGCCGAGCGTGCCGTTGTCTTCTTGGCTTGCGTGGAGGCTTGGTTATCTCTGACGTTGGACGTAGTAGCACCGCGCGGACGAGTGGCAGGTCCAGCAGCCCGCAGAGGGCTGGAGGGCTTTAGTGGTGAGGTAGGTCGGGACAGGTATGACGGCTGTCCCTTTTCGGGGGAGGCGCGGAATGGTGATTGTGGGTAGGTTCGAGAGTTGAGGGACTTGGGGGACAGGATTCGGTGGTCGTGACCTCGCACTTCTTGCGATACGACGCGTGATGCACCGCCCGCAGCGGGAGCCTTCCCGCGGCGCTTGGGGTTCTTCAGTCCTTCGGGGGTGCCAGCAGCCGGTGCATTCTCTTTGTCAGAGTAGTGGCCCTCGTTACTGTGCGAACATGTCAGTATTCGGACTCGATTGTGGGGAGACGGCAATGATCCTACCTGTTGCGTCGAGTCCGGCCATCGCGCGTGCTGGAGGGTGAAAGTGCTTGGTCAATGGACATAGGTGCGCGCGAGACCTTTGATGGGGAGATTCTACGAATGGGCGAGGTCGCTTGAGCCGGGGCTGTGTACTTCTCGAGAAGCTCGCCCATGTTGGCCTTGCGGAGAGAGACGGGAATACGGTTGACGCGTCGTTCAAGGCGAGAACGAAGATCATTTGCTTGAAGAGCATATTGTGCACGAAGCTTGCGGGCGCGCTCAGTGACTGCAGCTTGGTTAGTACGAGCTTGTATTCCAGAACCTCTCCCTTGGACGTACTTTCGAGCTGGAGGTTGTCAATTAGTGCCTGCTTTTGGCTCTGGGTGAGACGCAGCTTCTTGACCGGTCTTCCCGTGGGCGTAGCATCGGGCGCATCAACAAACTCGGGAGCTTTGCGTTTCAAGGTAGCCATTGTGGGGGATTGAGTTGGGGTTGAATATCGGATTAGAGAACAAGAGAGGTTCATCGAGTAGTGTGGAGGCGCGGAGCAATAACAAACAACAGCCCGGGCGGAGACACCTGGCAGAATCCATAGCTTCACCTCATCGTCATCACCGCCGTCCCTGGCCATTGCCTATCTCTGTCAATCCCCCCAATACCCTTTCCCACTCCCTCTCGTCATATACCGCCATCATGTCGCTCGAAGCTACGATGATCATGTTCGTTGTTGCTCCCCATCCGAGCTTAGACTGCTCCGCTAACCCCCTCATGCAGTGTCGACAACAGCGAAAGCAGTCGCAATGGAGACTACACGTGAGATCCCTCGTCCTTTCGCCATCTTCGACATCGTCTAACCTATGGAACCCACAGATCAACCCGGTGGCAAGCTCAAGTTGATGCTGTCAGCATCATCCACAGCGTCAAGATGCGCGCACACCCCCAGTCGGCCGTCGGTCTGATGAGCATGGGCGGCAAGGGTCCCGAAGTGCTATCCACCTTCACCACGGATTTCGGTAGCATTCTGGCTGGTCTACACAACACGAAGATTCACGGAACGTCGCACCTGAGCTCTAGTATTCAAGTCGCCGGTGTAAGTGAACAGGATCTACAACAGCGCTAGGCTCGGTCGTCCAAATTACTAATTAAGCTATGATCTAGTTGGCCCTCAAGCACCGATCCGAAAAGTCCCAACGGCAACGAATCATCGTGTTCTCGTGCTCCCCGATCGACGAGGATGAGAAGACTCTGGTCAAGCTGGCCAAGAAGATGAAGAAGAACAACGTCTCTATCGACGTGGTGGCATTCGGTGACCTCGAGTCCGACCAAACCAAGAAGCTGGAGGCCTTTGTGGATAATGTGACGAGCGGTGATAACTCTTACCTCGCTATCATCCCACCAGGACCTCATCTCCTGAGCGAGGAGCTCCAAGCAACCCCCATCCTGGCTGGCGAGAATGCTACCACCGGTGGTGCGGCTGCCGGTGGTGGTGGTGACGAGGCGGGTGGTTTCAACTTTGAGGACGCCGCCGAGAACGACCCCGAGCTCGCATTTGCTCTGCGACTATCCTTGGAGGAAGAGAAGAACCGGCAAGAAAAGGAGAAGCGTGATCGAGAGGCGGCCGAGGGCAAGACGGAGCTGGGTAATATTCCTGAAGAGGGCCAGGGCGAGTCGAGCGGTAACAAGGACAAGAAGGATGAGGACAAGATGGATACTGCGTAGATTTCCGTCTTCCCTTGGAAGTGATCTATGATGCATACCCGGCGTTTTACTTCAGTTTTTTTTTCTTCTGTTCCTGTTCCCTGTATACTCACGAGCCGACTCCCGCTTCTGCTTGCCATGTGTCTTATAGGTAGACAGACACATTCTACTGGGTTTGAATGGAAATGTTGATTTGGTTGATGTTGATTGGTATTATGCACAAGCTGGGGTTTCCGCCTCCTAATCTCTGGGAGTACGGTAAAAATCAATGAGAAAGAAGAAAAATGTCTAATTCGTAAGGTCATCACACAATTCAATCCAGCGTCCTCCTCCCCTTCGAGGTTCACCACGACAGTATTATAACATGTCCTACGCCGGACAGCTCATGTCCTCCCTCGCAACCAAGCGCCCAAGTGCCGATCAAACGCCTCACACCGCACGGGCATCTCCAGCTGGTAGAAGGGGTTCTTCATCACGTAGTCGGCGTATAGCTCGTAGATCTTGTTCATGATCGTGTCCACATTGCCGGTCATAGGGTCCGTGAAGAGCAGGAACTTGGTTCCCGTCAAGGTCTGGAAGCAGGTCAACCGGAACTTTTCAGTCTCGAGATGTTCCAGGCCTGATGCCGGGACGCCGGGGTTGGGATAGGTGAAGCCCACGGGCGCATTGCCGCCGGGCGATGTGATGGCGGGGGAGGTCTGGGCGAGAGGGAGCTTGGGGGTTATAGAGCGAGTGATGGCATGGACACTGTATATACCGTTCTTCATTAGCGATGGAGATTCACCTAGTGATGGGGTGTGTCTAGGGGGTGTTGGTGGTGGAAGTCATACCCGTGAAAGGTACCAGCGAGGACGAGGTAGTCATTGGTAGAGAGGCTGCGCAGACCGGCCTGGTACTCGCGCTGGTAGATTAGACCACCGGCCTTGTTGATGATGATCAAGGAGAATACTGTCCTGGTGGAGGAAGGCATGTTAGTTGCGCATTCGGGGTTCGAGGTCGCATGATAACTTGGACACACATGATGGGCGGAATCGAGGATGTCCGCGGTCCGGACAACGTGGCCGAGGAAGAAAGGGGGTTTATTGCGCCTGCAGCATGCCTTGCAGATAGTCCAAGGGGGATAGGTAGGATTGAGAGGAATGGTGTGTAATTGTCAGGGTTTAGATGCGCATGGCGCGGTGTCGTCGGAGCAAGACGTTGGAGTCGCGGGGAGTTTGTTTAATTGGGGCGCTAGCGACTCGTGCGGGTTTCCGGGCCGCGGGATGGAATCTATACGAATCACTAAAGACTGCAAAATTGGCTATATTATTAGCTTCTGTAAGAGAAACATTTACTATAGAGGGTTATTTTCTCTAGCTGCTAGTAGCTCCTCAGTCTTATTATTAGAAACCAGGCCCTAGTAGGGATATCCTCTCTTACTTGGCTACTATTAAATTCTTCTCTTGTCCATTACGAATATCGTGGAGTTTGGCGATGCAGAAACTATCAAAGCCCCTTTAGTATGCAGTTTTGTGGTGTAGCTTTGGACGTAGACAGCGAAGATCCTATCAATAGTAACTAGCAGCCAGCATATAAAGCTCCCTTCCTTGGCTTCTCCACCTCAAAAGAGGTCAAACAACAATGACCTGGTTTCCCATTCTCCTCGTGTGCTACAGCGCCCCAAAGTAGTGGCTTGACAGCAGCCGATTCATCTGATTTAGGAGGGTGACATGCAGCGCTTATAGCAAGACTGCAACTACCCACCACGGGCATCCCTGGCTTCAGCCTTCGCGAGCTCAAGACCATCAAAGCCAATAACAACCCCAATGCAACCCCAAGCGCACACGCAATGGCAAGTGGACTATATCCACAGGCTGTCGTCATGCCCGTATTGCTCACTCCAGGGAACTGAGCGGTTGGTTCCGTTAGGACCTCGGTGTTTGGCTGGTAGATTGTGACGTTGATTAGAAAGATAGACTGTGATATCAACCAGTGAAACACAGTACTGCATGCCAAAAAGGGTAGAGAATATCGCCAGGGAAGTCCGAGCCAATACGTCTCCCGTTGCGCGCCTAGTGGCAGAGTGACTCGGAGAGTGGTCCTTTTGTGGGCAAACATGCTCCATTCGTGGGTAGCAGTCATGCTGGTGAGGACCGCATTGTACATGAAGTATAGTCCTGAGAGAAGAAGTTGGGGAAGATTGGCAATCAAAGAAGTGGTGAGAATCGATCTAGAGGTACCACCCTCATAACCGGATTTCGCGACGATGGCGTTGAGACTAAGAGCCCCGAATCCCAAGGTGAAGGCGTTCTTTATGCCAACAAGGTTGACTCCTTTCATCATGAAGACGACTCCAACGATAACACATGCTAGCCATCTATGAATAGTTTTTGCAGTCAGTTTCATGATGAATATTTGAATGGATCAACACATGTCACTTACAAGAATATGCAACCTGCCCATCGTCGAACTGTCCCATGTCTTCCAAACCAAATTCCACCCTCAACCCAAGGCTGCGGGGGACAAGAATCCAACGGAATGTACTCGCCAGTCTCATCGACACCAGGAAAAATCGTGTCATCTAACTTTGACATCAGACACCGGCCTTTTGACGCTGGGTCTGGGCGTCGAAGGAAGGAATCCACGGCATCGCCAATAGTTGCGAATATTGGCTCTCGAGACATGAGAAGGCATCCCAAGATTGACGCAAACTTTACCGCATTGCAGACGATAGCAATGTACAAGATCATTGGACTGTACTTCAGCTGACATTCGTGCTCTGCATTCGTTGTCAAACAATAGTCGATCTCATAGGATTCTGGTAGGATGGCCCAGTTGCTGGAGTTTTTCTGAGCTGCTGAGCTGCTGCATTGGTCGTAAAATATCGAGTCTAGATCACACATCCAATATGTGACTTGTGGAATCGGGTCTGGTTGCCAACCTGTCCCGTTCACCATATGTTCTATACAAGAAAATAGCGTAGATGATTGGTTCCAATTTGCATCCCAGCAATATTTTTGACTGGTGTCGTTATGGCTCCAATGCCCACATTTATTTGAGCACCAATCCTGCACCGTCTGTGGATAGTCTAGGGGATGGAAATAAGCAAGCACGGGCAGTGTGGCATTGTGCGGTGGTGGAAACGTATCCGATTGCTTGGGGTTGCTGCCATTCTTGGTGACAGCAAGGAGATTGAAAGTCCCTCCCTCCAGCCCACTTCCATACGTGGACATGCAATCTTTGGGCTCCATCTGGGTCATGTTTCTGGGCGTTTCTAGGGCCAGATTGCGCAGCCAGCAAGTTACGTAGCTCGGCTGGTCCGAAGTCTTGTATTGCGCCATCGCATCGCTTCCACAGTCGAGGCCAATCGAAGCACTTTCTTCCAGGAATCCCGGCGTGACTACCAGGCCGCTGTAGTCGTTGAATGTGGTAGTCATAAAAACTGCCGAGTTCCACAAAAGGTGAAGCGGCAATGAGCTCAGCGCAAGCACCAGCCAGAATACCGCTTTGGGTCGCTTGATATGCGACAAGTTTCGCATTGAATGAATTCCAATATCAAGCCACCTTCTCCGTCCATGAGCAGAGTCGATTTCTCTGCGCGTTGGCGCTGTGAGACATTGCATGTTGTAATTGCTTGCGCTGACGAGGACGGTCGCAATAACATTGATCGCATAGTGAAAGCGGCTGTCAATGCTGCGGATCTTACCGCAGTCATGACCGAGAATAACGCCTAGCCCATCCTCATCAGGCGGATACTTGGTTCGAATGTAAGCAGTGGCCGCGATGTTAAGACATAGGCATATCGTGACAAAAATCCCCGAGACTAGAGCACCCAATCTCCACCCATGGAAGAATTTGGAGTCAGAGGGTGGCTGGAGCTCCAATGGAATATACCGCGAGCCCGATCGGAGAACGATTCGAGAGTACCAACTCTTTGTAGAATCCCAGGTCGTGCGTTTGTTGACCTTGGCTGAGGGTGTTTTCGTGGGAAGGAGCTCGATGCTATCATCATTTGTCGAGTCCATATTCAATACCAGACTTGATTCTCTTCATCTGGGCAATCAACGGGGGACCGCTTGACAAAGAATAGTTACGAGACTAGCATTGCGACTTCCAGGAAAAAAAAGCTAGGCACTGACAAGACTTATACCCCGCGAGCTGAGCTTGTTGGACCCCAAGCCTCTCGTCTTGGCAGCGGTCAGGGCGTATTGTTTGCTTTTTGAGGGCGATTGAACCCTGAAAATAACGGGGCTGAATGCATGCACTCGTAATCCAATAGAATCTATGATCACAATTTTGGCACAGTGCCAGCTCATCATGAGACTCTGCATCTAATTGTTTTTTATCTCACATGCGCTTCGTGCGCAACCATCAGTTCATCATAAAAAGAATAGGGGATTGTTAAAGTCACACTCCCAAAATCATATTGTCAACTCCCTGCCTGAAAATTCAGGTATTTTCAGGCGGGGGGGGGGGGGGGGGTGACTTTAACAATCCCCAAAGAATATAGTGAAGAAGAGAAGGTGTTGCTTTGTAAATTGCAGGGAACAGGTGAATACGATACGAACTCTTTAGCGGCTTCTAACCTTATTGTCGCAACAACAAGGTCTTAAAGTCAAATTATTTGAGAAGATATTCATGGACAAACCTGTACTGTGCCCAATCCTTTGCGTAAAACTTGTGGGGAATATACAGTTAGGAAAAACAGAAATCCTCAATATATATTTTCGCTCCAACCTCAGCTGTCTTCCTCGACTTGACTAAGGCCATCCGTCCTTGTCAAGGAATGCATTTTTAATTCGTTGTGTTCCTCTTAAGCCACCGTATTGCATTAGAAATGTTATATGCCTCACAATGTATATTCTGGTGTTATCCCAACCTATTGTGGTCTTCAATGATCGAATGAGTCTCTAATGGAGCACCTGCCTCGGAATTATACACGAGGTTTGGCCAGCTATCGTTGAGCATAATTCTATATATCCTGGAAGACTCGAGATAGATACAAAAAGAACAATCGTGATTAAATCGGCCAAGAAGGAGATTCCTACTCGACAGCCACCACGGTGCTAACCTCAACGATGCTCTGCACACTCAAATTAGCAAATACTCAAACAAATTAAGTTGGTCAGGAAAAGGGATACTCACCGGTTTACCCGGTACACTCTCCGTAGCGAAGGACTGACTCTCATACTTGACGGAGCCAGCAACTCCCCTACCTCCAGCCTTCACATACTTCAAATAATCCGGCGCCCCAGGGAAATCAGTGTTATCCGCAATAGCTAGTGACCCAAGTCGGAACAACTTCAAGTCCTCAACGAGCTGCAGATCTGGAAGATAGAACTCCTCCCAGTGATCGAAGAATGCCATATCCACACTGGTCACTTTGCCGTCTGCATGGAGCTTCTTCAACGAATCAGATGCAGGGCCCTCAAGGACATGCACAACATCTTGGAGACCGGCAAGTTTGATCAAATCTCGCGAAAGCGAGACCATCTGCGGATCCAATTCAAAAGTATACACATTGACATCTTTGGGGACATTTTGTCCGTGGATATCACGCAGAATTGCACCCCAGGCGATGGCAGACTTGCCCACGAAAGTGCCAAACTCGAGAATGGTGTGTGGCGCCGGCTGTTGAGCTGTAAGCTGGGCTTGTGCCACATCCAGCTTGGCCTTTTTGAAGATCATCATGCGGCCCTGCGTTTCCGCGAACTCGTCGATGGCATTTGCCACGGCCCAGGGATTGTTCTCAAAGTTGTTGGCTGGCTGAGAGAAGATGTACTCGCGTAGCTGTGTGGCGCGCTTGGCGAAGGTTTCGGCCAATGAAGCAGAGTCCATTTTGGTAGATCTGAATATGAGATTTTGGATTGGAAGGGTGGAATGAAGAATGATGCCGAGTGGAATCAGAGAGAGGCTGAATATAATTACAATCCAGCGGGGGCGGAGGGGGAGCATGCTGCTTGCTGTTTAAATGTTTCAAAGTCCGAGAGAAAGGTTCCAATTATGTCCATGTTGACGTCGGCTTTAACGTTGCCGAATGAGTATGCGTATGTGTTTCGTTCCGTGGTGGGTCGATGCTGATGGAGATCTTCCGTCCGATACTTGTGTTCGCCGAACCCTAGATGGTAGTAGCATCGACTTGTACGTTTAGATATTTAAATTAATTCCCGTGTATCATGAAGGAGACCAAGCGGTTCTTGACTCTGTATTTGATCAAAATAATTACTTAAGCATCATCTCAAGAGCTTGAATGTATGTGATGTCGCTGAACAACATCTATAAAATGCCAAGTGGGTGTTGATCTCCGAGCTCTTATGGCCGAGGTCGGCCCCGAGTTCCAAGTTAAGATATCTCGGCCGACTTTCCGATAGCCCATTGTTGATCCGGAACGGGGTGGGGGAGGTAGGACATTCTACCTATTTAAGGTCTCATTTCAGCTTTATTGTTGATTTTTTATTGCCTTATCCAATATTTTATATCGCGAGTTGTCCTGCGAAGAACCTGTGGACATATAGCTATATTATGTCACCATAAGTGCATTCCCACGACTAACCAAACATTCAATGACGAAAGAAAACTTCTCGTGTACTCCCCATACAGCATCATGACTGAAGAGGCGATGGGCTTCCAGTAAGGTACGGCACATACCTCGGACTTCTTTGAGGTTGCCCAATCCATCGATCTGGAGAGCTAGGCTCTCGTGAGATGACATCCAACCTCGACGTGATTCATCGCTTAACTCTCCATTTGCATCAACTTCGTGAACAGGGCTGTTTGTGGCAATTGGACTGCCAGCATTCCAGTCGCTCAGAGGATGAATGGTGAAAAAACACCATATCGTGAGAATCGAGACAAATAGGAGGTGATTCTCGTAGTATGCCTTGGACTTTTTCTTTCTGATCAGACTGAACAAAACGGCCGCGTGAAGAACTGCTCGTCGAGAGTTCGATGCATCATGCGTTATCCAATCATGCAATGGGCGTCGTGCTTCTTCGACATACTGTTCGCTGCTCAGCCATCCAATATATTCACACATAGGCTGCAAAGGGACGTGCATTAAAAGAGAGACGAAGTTGTACTGCTTTTCCAGGTTCGTGTCACTGAGACGCGTGGACAATTTGAAGCTCTTGTGAAGCAAAATCAAAGCGTTTCTCGCCTCTTGTTGCCATGAAGTTATAGACACAAGAGACGAAAACCCTAAAATCCTGGAACCAGGATTGGTGATTGAAAGACTATTCGGCCGGTTTGAAATTTGAAGATACTTGGCGATCTTCACATTGTTCTGGAAGCGATAGAATATCGAGTTCAGTAGTATCAAACAGGTGAATTGCCCTAGCCCTTCTGTTAAGGGGAATTGGGTGTAAAGCGAGTCCAATATGTAATTAAGGTTCATTTGTTTTGAGATGTCTTCTTAAGATGACAGTTAGTATATCTACAAATGGAAGCGCTGGAAGAAAGTGAGTGGTGGAACAAACCTTGGTCAGCTTCTAGCTTTTGTGGCAATTCGGAAAAGTCGGCTTCCCAGATTGATTCATGGCAAGGAACGCATGGATCCAAGTCTTCCATGTTCATGATAGGTGGGACGCTGCAATTCAAACCGAACTGGCAGTCCATCAACTATTTGGCAGTTAGAAGACATTGGAGCGATATCGTTGAGGGATGGCTTCGGGGAGAAGAACAGACCCAGGTACCGTAGATAAATCCCCTCGCAGTCTCTCTCTCTAACCAACGAATTGGATTTTGTTCGCAGCGAGGTTCAGATTCAGCCCCTTTGCTGAAAGGCTCTTGCCGGCGCAGTTTTGATCTAATACCCCGAGATAGAGTGACTAGCATGTTCCTTTGAAACTGAGCTAAGAGGACAAGTTTTCTTGAGCCACAATATGAACAATGAATCTGGCTCAACAAAGCAGCTTGGGCAAACGCGATTTGGATTGATTTGGAGATGTTATTTTGAATCTGATTTGAGAATAAATTATTTTAGGATAGGGAGGAAGGGTCTGGAGAGGCTGTCAATAACGTACCACTCTATCCAAACAAGTTCTCAAAATATCGCCAAGTGCTTTTGTATATGCATCGGATTCGTGCAGTCTGGAATATCTACTTCCGATGGCAGCAACGGCGAGTACTAGTAGAGGAGGGGTTTCCATAACATTGAAACTTGGCACATGCAATATTGGGAATGATGAATGAAAATTCTCGAAATACAATTGAACGAAAGCGTTCAACGCAGCTGGCCTTCGTAGTACGTCGAGCACCGAGGGCTTCAATGGCGATTCCAGATTCCCGCAATAACCGTCGATATATTCGGTCAGAGATTGTAGCGTCGGTAGAGGTATAGCAGGAACATGCCCATAATCATCTAACTCAAGCAGTTCTTTAATGTCCAATGACATCCTACCGCGATCCCTCGAGCTGGATAAAATCTTATTCCTGACTGTCGGAGGGCTTTCCGTTGGAGGAGAGTTCTGTCGAGATGATTGTGACGAGGATTGTTGCCAAAGTCCTGGTTGGATCATACCGGACCGATTGTAACCGTCACAGTGATCTGGCGCCAGAGTTTGGCTAGAAGGTTCAAGAAAATAGGACATGATTTCTGGTGGAGCTTCCATATCCGCCAAAGAAACATTGGCTGCGTAGTGACAGTACGTCAATTTATACGACCACAAATAACTCAAAAGTTATTATCATTTACCTGAATATACTGATGGCCCTTGTAGCTGCTCATGAATATCAAATGGAAGCGCAGATATGTCGAGAAAGTTTAAAGATAGGCCTTGGGTGAAACTATCATCCAGACCCATTGATTGGAACGTGGAATAGGAATTATTCATATGCATTTCAAGTGATGATTCTGTTGGATAATGAATAATTTAGCGATGCACAAGGAATAGTCCGTGAAAGGTCTCCGGGACAAGATAGAAGGCTTCTCACCTGGCGCCTGTAGATGCTGTAATCTGTCGGAGACCTCGGGAATTGTGTTACAAGAGGAACTTTTATTCGTATAGGGAGTCACTTGATCTGCTGACAGCTGGGAGAGGGCTGAACTTTGAATTGAGGATGCGCTGTCATCTATTTCAGTTGTCAAAGTGCTGTTCTTGGGTATGCACACGGTCTCTTTTGGGGTTCTTGAACAAAGTAGTCCCTTATGGACACAAGTGGCACATGGAAAATCATCAGAGCAACGAAGCTTTGCCTTGATACAATGATCGCATGCTACGGCGACTCGGGGTGTTCGTTTCCTCCTGACGGTGAGGAAATAGAACAGCTCCGCTCACTGTGTCGCTTGAGTGTATCCCTGGTTTAGTTAGCTTACCAAATCTTCTTATTCATGGGAAACTGAAGCATACGCTCTTGCGAATATACTCCCACAGCGAGTACAAGTAAAGTCTCTTTGGTTCAGATGCGAACGCTGATGGCGAATCAGATGCTCCCGCCGGATAAAACGGCGCCCGCAGTCACCGCAGCAAATCTTCCTCATTGCTTCATATTTCATATTATTTGATCCTCCTTTGGGCTAGGGAAGGCCATACAGAACAAGGGTAAGTTGCTGTACTGAGAAAAGGCCTTCCCGTCAATTTTCGTTCAGTTTACCCCGCATCCGACTGCTCGGATGTGGAGTTGTTCGGATGTGGGGTACTACAGCGTATTTAAATGAATAGTATAGCTCCCAAGGGAAAAAAGGTCTCTTTATTATTAATTCAATGAATGTTGACGTTTTCAGTATAAGAGATAAGAAAAATGCTCAATCAGTTCCTTGAAAATGTGGCGGCAATTCCTGGCCTCCAACTTCGATCATTACTGGTTGCAGGAGCACTTGGAGTCTTTTTGGTGCCTTTGATTTTGAAACTAAAAAAGACCAAGGAGCTACCATTACCCCCACAGCCTCCAGGAGATTTTCTTCTTGGAAATCTCAGGCAAGTCGTGACTGCGAGTCAGCAGAGCCTCCAGCATCTTCTGATTTGCCAGTGGGCTCGGGAATACGGTGAAATCTTTCGTGTGCGCCTTGGCCCAGTGACGGAATATTTCTTGAATTCGGACCATGCAGTGAAGGTTAGTAAGCTCAGTCTATATAAAGGAGTTACAACTGATAATTTCTCCAGGAAATAATGGATCGTGGCTCGGCTCATACGTCCGAGAGACCGCGCTGGATTGTCAGTAACGAGCAAATTTGCAATCGTTTGAACGTTCTTCTTCTCCATGGCAGTGACCCACGATGGAAGGTGTGTAATATTCTATTATCCGTGACTCCAGCTTGGAAGAAAGAGCCAAAAGAGTGTTGACTATCTGATCAGCATCAACGAAAAGTTCTCAATTCTCTTCTTACAAGTATCCCACGGGCAGATGCTGGACTACCGTATGCACACTATCTTAAGATATTCCAAAGAGGGTACGGACTCGCTAAAGCTAAAAAATCAATTTTTGATTAGTTTTTTGCATTATGAAACCGCAAAATTTCTACACTATTTCGCAAATAATGCTGAGGAGGGAAGATCTAGCAGCGCCATCCAAAGGGCTCTCGCACGTTACACCTACAGCACATTCTCTTCTCAAATCTTTGGAATGGATGTTAGTTGAAAAGGACAAATGCAAAGAAGATTTGGTTCACAGCTAATCAAGTCGATTTTAGATACCGGAGGTCGATAATGATGTCATTGGGTACATCCATGGTAAGTTTGGGGCATTTTGAATGGACTACAAAATAAAGTGTTAATGATTTTTGCAGAAACAGGACTCGCACAGATTTTGGGTAGGTTTATTTTGCTCCAACACCAATAATTCATTAACATCTAATTACATACAAAGGCACAATCCCGGGCATGTATATGGTTGACATATTCACTTGGATGGAATTCTTGCCAATCTGGCTCAAGCCATGGGAGAAAGAAGCAAAGAAAAGGTTCCAGAGGGATATGAGATGGTGTCTTGAACGTTTGCAGGTAAGAACCTCAACGCTTTACCTTCAGATTAGACATTTCACGAATGGAAATTGACTGAAAATGGCAGAGAATAAAAAGCCCTGGCTTTCTGAACAGCTACGTGTCTCAGGCATTTCTGCCTTCGGTTGTACAAACTCATGATCACTATGGGTTTGCTTCTGAAGAAGAGGCAGCCTATTTATCTCTTCAATTAATAATCGGAGCTGCTGATACGGTATCTATACCCCTCTGTACCTTGGGAATTCTTTTTTTACTTACGCAGTTTCCAGAGTCAGATATCGACGTGGTCGTTTTTAGAAGCCATGCTACAGAACCCCGAAGCACAAAGAAAATGTCGAATTGAAATTGGTAAAGAGGGATGGTTAACCCTTTTTTTTAAACAAGACTGACTGGTCTCTAGATAATATAGTCGGTGACCGGTTACCTGAGTTCGCAGACCTGGATCGGATTCCATACGTAAAATGCATCATGAAAGAGGTTTGGCGTTGGAGACCCCCTGTCGCTCTCGGCCATCCTCATGTGACAACTCGTGACATCATTTATAATGGTTATCGGATTCCCAAAGGATCACGCATTCACTTGAATTCCTGGTATGTGCAATATTTGGGTGATTGGAGATGAACTCTAACCACTAATAACATTCGATCAAGGGCCATCGGTCATGATCCCCGGCGGCATGATGACCCTGAGAGGTTTTGGCCAGAACGTTACATCGGCGATGAAACAACGGTATGCTAAAGAGCAAAACACATTATCGCTTTTCTTCTCTAACGTGAAGGGAAAGGCTATGCAAAGTATCAATTCAGCAGATGTCTCTAAGAGAGATCATTTTGCATTTGGTGCTGGACGCCGTATTTGTAAGTCAAATTGCCATGATTATCAAAGGTGGAGGAAACTGACACTGGCAGGTCCCGGATACAATGTTGCAGAGAGATCATTTGCAGTTGCTATTATGCGCATTCTCTGGGCATTTGAAGTTCAGCCAGCCCCGGGAACCCAAGTACCTCTCGACCCGCTTTCCTATATGAAAAACGCAGAAATGCCGGGCAACGCATCCATAAATTTACCTGTTACTCTGGAAGTCAGAAGTGAGGAAAGAAAGAAGCTCATCAATGATATATTCGACAAGATGGATCGAGAAAGGACCAAGATGGTTAGTACATAACCTAGCGATATTGAGGGTACTGAAGGGCTGATGAGAAACCCCCCAGGAACCATTATAAAGTCAAGAGGTAATTCAACACAACCTCTAAATTCAGTGGTACAAAAAACGACTGAAGGAGAGAGCATATTTGAAAAACATCACAAGCTTCAAAATTCACAAGTACTGTAAATCGACTGCCCCAGGCTTGGCGATTATCCCCTATCCCTTTCGTTCAATCAATCAAGAAATATATTTCTTACGTTAGTCCCCATTCAGCACTAAGGGTTGTCTTGTAGAACTTTATGAAGAGTAAATCTGGATATACTTTCTAAGTAAAAATGTAAGGTTTATCGTAATGAGCCTAACACATGGATAATGATTGTTTCTTACATATCCAATTCTTCCTATCAGTGATAAATCCGAGACACATTACCAATATCCCCTGGGATCATCATCAGTGACCCTTAACTCATCACCGATGAGTTATCTCTTGTTTATTCCCATCACGTGATGATATTCATCACTTAACACGTGAACCCAGTTTCTTCTGGAATGTTGGCAGCCATAGGGCTGTCAAGATGGGTCAAAATAAACAATTAAACAATCGCCCAAGCGTTAAAATGAAGGGTCCAACGTCCATCATTCCCACTACAAACGTCCGTCAGAATTGCTTAATTGCTGGGCAAGTGCATCATTCTCACGGCCTCAAACTATCCGAAAAGGGTAATCTCCACGACCAAGCGGGGACCTCCCCTTCTAGCCTTCCTGGACCCTGGCAAACATCGACGGACGATGACCGAGATTTCCTCGTGGCTACGGAGATTGATTGGATGCGTTCTGCACGGTTGATGATGAGTTTATCGTGTTTAAGGTAGAGAGATGTGTCCGGGGGATAACTGTAGATGCAGCCCTATGGGGTTGGTTTGACACTTGATCGTGGGGTGGATGGGCGATCTGGAATTGCGGCTCTGAGTTAACGACGTTGAGATTTTGCTTAGACATTACCCTCTCTCTCTATCTCTCTACTCACCCTGGGTACTGTGAGTTAGGCTTAGGCTTTGCTGGTTAGCGTTCTACTTTTACTCTTCCTTCGCTCTTTGCCCACTAACGTCTACGTGCCGTTCAGGGGAACGCACACCCTCCCCTAGGTATGTTCACCGCACCAATTGTGACTCCGTCCTGCATTTACCATTCCTCCTTGTATTTTCCATTTGATTACACTCCTGTATTATCATCAATTTCGATCGTCGCTCGCTTCCCTTTCTCTTGGGCAATACAGCGAAGATCCGATATCCTCCTTCCAACTCCGAGATCTGGCGAGAAAACCAGCACTCGAAAAAACATGAGTCAATAAATGAAATAAAGTGAACAAAAAGAAGAAAAAGCAAAAAGCAAAAAAAACCCACAGATAATAATTTAAAAAAAAATCAACCACGAAAAATCGGCCCGTGTGTTTTCAACACGGCAGGAAGTGCGATGGGGGCCAAATTCCATTCTACCGGCGCCGAATCATCCACGTAATTCCACACTCCACCGTCCCACTCACTAAATAGTACGACAGACGGACGAGGAAGAGTTTCTGCATATGACGTAAACGCTCGGTTTCGGCAAAAGTACACACGGTAAAATCGTAAATGGCTACATAGCTGGCTATGAAGAGAACTAGGGGGCCAACTTTCTCGGCTCATGAAACAACCATAACGAACTACAGCCGCACCCGTTCGGGATCTGCTTGGATGAAATGGGGATGGTCATGTATGTGGTACTATGTGCTGTACTGTACGCGAGTCAAGCATGAGGTAGGATCGGCGCCGGTGAACTCGGCATATATGGGATATTCCGGAGATATGGTTATCGAGTATTTGTTGTTAACGAAGGAGCTCGCGGGGTCCTAATTGAGAAGGTCGTGTCGAGTCTTTAACTTTACTGCGTACAGATGTATGTATGAAATACTGGGTTGTATCCACTGGAAGACTGGCGATCGACCAAACTTAACGGCATGATTTGGAATTCATAGAAGCCCGGAACGTTCGTCTAATAGCCCAGTGAGGAAGTTACCAAAGGTTTGTACCGTGCATCACTGCAAGTCCGTTCTATCGTGTTTGTGAGAGTCCTCCGAATCGATACTCCGCTTCCTTTGTCCGACCGCCCAACCGTCCGATTTTCCGACCGAATAGTCCAAGGAGAGGGGGAAAAGGCGTTGCCTGGCTATCAGTCTGGTCTAGCCCCTCATAATTAGCTAGCTATTTAGTTAATTCACTTATTTCATCCGAGCCCACCTGTTCATCTAGAGCGACAGTAACAATAACAACGATATTAATGATAACTATGAGTATATCAGTGCTAAAGATGCAATCACCGACTCGGTGATTTCCCCGAAACAACACAACACCGACCCTGTATCCTACTCCATACTTACAGCTACACTAGAACCTTTTCGGATATTGTACTGCTATATACTATTATGGTTAGGCGTCCGGATCCCCGGGTCCAACGCCAAAGGCCCGTCTTGGCTTTCCCATGGCGTGCCGCTAACGTTAGTACGAGGTTACCCTCACAGATTCTAGTTTTGAGATTCTAATTCTCGAGAAGCTTCTAATTACTGTATGGACGGAGTTCTTCGGCTCGCTCGCCAGCCTTGTCGATTTTAATCTTAATTTTTGAGGGTTATTTTAAGTTAGTTTGGCAGAGCTGTGCTAGAGCGGGTAAACGGTTGTCTCTCGGGCTATCCTCTGCTCTAGCGTGCTATACTTGAAGGCTGGGCTAGAAGCATACAGAGGACTCCATGTGTTCGGCTAGTTAATTAATTTTATCCCATTTGCAAGGTGAAGTGTCGCTGGCTGTGCATTGGAGTCTAGTTCCACTTGTATCTCGAAGAACTGTTCGATTTTGAATGGTGTATTTTGTATACTCGTCTCGGATTGTGAGATTGCAAACAAGAGGAATAGTACTCCGCACTGCCTGCTCGAGAATGCTACTGCTGATCAAGTCTAGCGAGACCGAAATGTCGGGGTCGAGCCCGTGCATGAATGCCTTGTTGTGAGCCTTTTATGGATGATCTCGCTAAAGGATTCTCTAAAAATTGCCAATTCGGGCAATCAAAAGATCTGATTACAATGGTGCCTAGCCTAGCTTTGTATTCAGCTAAAGTTTGGCCTAAAGTCTGGCTCGCGTGGGATGAGAAGACTCGGTGTGACTATGCCGCATAGCCGGCGTTGAATGAGATGTATCTACCGAGTGAAGATCGGCCAGACTTGGAAGTGGGATGCTCTATTGAGTAAAATTGGGTTTCTAGAGCAAAGTTGGGGTTCCATGGTCTATATTTTTTTAGGGGTTGGCGAGTCATGCAAGCCACAGATTGGCGACGCATTTGTACGGCGTACCTGAAGAGTTTTGATCCAGATCAAAGGACCATTGGAAGGCTTGAAGCTAATTCCAAATACTTTGGTGGAAATAATTGGTGATTCTTGATGACTTCATGATATCGTGTCACTCTGTATGTAGTATGTACCAACCCTTTAGGGTTTCTATTTTGACCGCATGCCTTGTATGAGGAGACAAGATGGAAAGTAACACGAAAATAAGCAAAAACTCAAGAAATGACTCGTCTCCAGTCACTCCAAAGCCATTCCAGCCATTCACAAAACCCAAACTGAAAAAGCCAAACGCCGTAATCGCTAATATGCCAGGTTCGAGAATCACCATCCATCTAGTACTGTAGTCCACGATACCCCATAAGCCATGCGGTTTATTCCCCAACGAGCGACGCCAACCGGCAACGTCCTCCATCCACAATAGTCAAAATCCCCTCACGAAGCCCCCACTCGCGCAATGCCAAATCTTCTTCCTCCTGGCCGAGCCCCTGTCGGTCCTCCCGCTCAAAATGGCGTCCGACATGCTCCATCCGCACATCCCAGCTGCCTTCCCCAGAAAAGACCTCTCGGCAGAAACCGCAGTGGCTTTGCTGCGGCAACGTGCGTAGACCGTGCCAGCACCGTCGTCGGACTTCGTCTAGACCTGCTTCGAAAGCGGCATGCTCGGCGTCTGTTGGGGTGCGACGGCGACCTGCTTGGAGCCAAGGGGCGTGCATGCGCCGATGGTGCTGGGTGAAGAGGTCTTTGCGGTTGAAATCATTGGGTTGGCCGGGCGGTGGGCTGGAAGTACGGGATCGGGGGGATTTGGAGGGGGTGAGGTATGGATTGGACGGGGTGACGTGGGTATGGGTGTTGCATTTCCCAACATCGCAGCGATAAAAGCCTAGCTGGAGGTGTTGGGAAGTGACGTGACGTTTCCATTCGTTTTTCGAGACGAAGGTACTTTGGCATCCGTACGGTGCAAAGCTGCAGATAAACGTTCGAGGTGCACCATTTTCGCCATTATTAGTGCTGGTTATAGCGCGCCGGCGGCCGTTGCGAGCGGTTGTAGCAGTTGATCGCGATTCGGCGGTCTTGCGCACGCGAGATTTCGGAGCTGAACGGGCTTTGGCCCGCCTTTGAGGTTGAGGGAAAGTGGTGGACTCGGCTGGAAGTGGAGACGGCCATTGTTGTTCAGGCGTCCCATTTCGGTCTGACTGACTTCCAGACCAGGGGTCCAAGTCCGTGTCGAAGGATGAGCGATGATCGGGCTGCACCTCGAAAACACCCGGTTTAGATAGGAAAGAGGGGTGGTGAATATCGACGAGAGCGTCTGGAGCAGGATAACCAGCCTGCTCATCGGTAGTGGTGGCTGTGGTCATGGAAAGTTCGTCATGGTAGTAATGAGGGGATGCGATACAGTTCATGCCCGGTACACTCCCGGCATTACTACTCCGCGGACTTTGCGGGTCTGAAATCGTGGAGATTTCACTGTTCCATGGAGAGAAGCGATCCGCCGAGACTGGGAACTCGGGGGAGATATAGTTCATGTTGAGTGAGGGGTCGTCATTCTTCCACCAAGGTTGTGTGGCCGATGATGCATCGCGAGGCTTGGGCTGGTCAAAGGGAGACGTCAAGTGGAATTGGAACTGTGATGCTCGCGTCACAAATGGATGGTCGGCTGATAGAGAAGTATCATAGACATCGTAGGGTTGGGATGGGACGGAGATGGGTAGAAGGTGGGGGAGTTCCGTGAATGGGGGTAGGAATCCATTGTTAAGAGAAGAGAGAAAGGATGCAGGGGAGAGGAATGGGATTGGAGGGGGAATCAACCAGGGTATAAATAAAAGTGCGAGTGAAGAGGATGTCGAGTCAGTGCCTTGACTCCATAACCACAACATCGGGTTTAGCTGCGTTGCATTGGGAAATACAGTAGTAACTAGCAGGAGAAGACCGTCAAAGAAAAAGACGGTTGATCGGTGGGGCAAGCCATGAGCCTCAACAAGCCTCAGGTCTCGAGGAGGAGAAAAGGCGTGGGTCCGAAGTGGAGTTTGGGAAAAAAGAGAAAAATAAAAATCAATTCAAGGATCAACAAGAAAAAATGGAATTATCAAAAAGAAGGACTTAATACTTAGACTAGCCGCAGTTTGAGAACCGTTCTGTTAAACACTCTAGGCTGACGAGATGGATAGCAGAACCACTTGATGGGCACAAGATGGAAGTTGGAGCTGAGGAGATCTGAACTGGGCAATGACTGCGAGGGGACTCACTGACGGTTGAATCTATGAGATTTAACTGGTTAACTCATTATTAGTCACTCATACCGCGTGCATCCGATGGGGCTAAAAGTGGTACATGGAAGCGTTTATACTACACGTGTAGAATAAGCCCTAATCGCTCAAGAGTATAGCATCTGCTAATGCCAGCTAATAGCAATCTTGTATAAACCTGCAGACTTCGTCTCATGACGGAGTATGCCGAATAATGCCGATTCTAATCACTTCAACCTGGTCGGAGTCGACTCAATAAATGGACTTAACGTTTTCTACGGAGTATAACCCGGAGATAACAATAACTCGCTTGCTCCCTATTTCTACGCCCTTACACAAAATCCCGGCCGTGAAATCCATCTAAACATACACAAACACTCCCTATTCCAACCTAGATCTCCTATAGCACTCTATCTCGAAGGTCCAGAAGGCCTTCCATGATCCACGCATATTAAACCTACGCGGAAAAAACAACCAGCCATCCACAAGCCGACTTTTCAGGTCTGACGCATAACCGATAAACAATCAACGGGAAGATCAAAGCTTCCAACTAAACCCCCCATCGTATTATCAATTTATCATAATACCAAGATTTGGACCCCAACCAAAAGCCCCGGTTTTCCCGGGCGCTAGCCATGTTAAAACCTCCTGGCCCCAGCTCTGGTTATTACCCACAGCACTCCGTAGTAAAATCATGGCTACCTCCGTACTGGACAGTCCATATTCCTAACTCGCTTCCCCCCGTCATTCCGTAAACAGACAAGCTCCAACTCCGATTTACTTCCCCGATAGACCTTTAGCGTCGCCCTAGCGGAACCCCCATTCCCTGCCCTAACCGTCCGCCTAAAACACTCTTGTGCAGCTTGATTCCCGTCATTTTGGTTCCAGAGACCTGCCCTAGTCAATTTAGTTTCCCCGACCGGTGCAGATGCCAGACGCTGCCACGCGTACAGTATGTACAGTATGTACTGTATGGTCCCCGACTCGATAAAGTAGGTGGAACGGTGTTCCCCGGTGTTGATCATCACGATCTGTATTCGGTATTTTGTACACTCGTTATGCGCGGTATTATCTAGCTAATCATTGGCTGTAGCTTCAAGGTGGATAGGCTCGGTTAGCGTCCCTTCCTTGGTCCTTCTAGAGGTCGACTACGACTCGTAGTCCAGCCACCTCAATCGAATACCGACATGATTCTAAATGATTCTCGAATAATCATAGCCATCAGCTATCAGCCATCTACTATCTACTGTAGCTATGTCGCGCTGCATCATTGCGCAATACTAAACAACTGTAACCTGAAATCAAGCCCACAGCCCTACCAAACCGAGTTAGCATCACGCTTGCATATACGCACCAGTCCATTCACCACCCATCCTCATCAATTAGCGGCTCCGCTCTACGAGCCCAGCCCAGCCCAGCCCAGTACAACGGACACGCTATCCTCAGCTCCAGGACACAGCCATCCTGATAATGGAGATTAGACTAATTACAGTACTGGTATATCCAGGCCGTGGAGATCGTTGCAGTAGCTGTTCATCACTGCCCCCTTCCTTTCAAACTACTCCCATCCCCTCGGGCCCTAAACCACAAAGACCACGGATACTTCCATTCCGCGTTGAAGATCCAGCTTACAAGTCTAGAATTCTAGACTCTAGTCAAGCGCAAATTAATTCCAAATTGAGATCAATTTTAGCCAAATTGGACCTCGGCCCCCACGACCCGGGTCTCGCCTACCCGAACTTTACCCGCATTTTCACGACGACTCGCTAATCAGTTAAAACTTGGACTAAATCAACCACGTCCAAGGTCTCGGGATTGAATGGGCTCCTCATTTCTAAGCCGGGATCAAAAGACTCGTCATTTATAAGCCGGGTCCGGTCGGACTCGGTGTATGACATTATGGCCGAGGGTAGTAGACGATACCGAGTACTTAATTTTCAGGGGCAGTTGTTGATGAATCTGAATTCTCTGGGATGTATGCGTAACTCCCGCATCTAAGATATGCTTCCCATAAAATAGCAAATATTCCCATCCCTTAGAGCATAAAAATCATCTCGCCCGCATAGCATTAATACTCTAACAATTCTTGTCCCTTTCAGAGTGGAGATCAGTTGTCCTTCCACCCTCGCTTCACTCCGTCCTCACCTTACGTGACCACTTCTTCGGTACGCGGATCAGCCAGTACAGCAACAGGGCCATCGCAATGTTGAAGCCCACATACACAAAGAGCAACCCCACATTCCGCCAGTGGTCGGAGAACTTGATGCTCAACTGAGCCAGGAAGGCATCAGTCGACCGGATCGAGCAGATTTCACAGCCCGAGGTCGCCTCCGGATTCAGCAGGTTCGCCTGGTATAGGTCGACATACTTATCCAAATAAGCAGAGCAGTTCTGACCACTGGGCGGATCAACCGTGAGGAGCTCAATGCTGGAGCATTCAGCTTTGCCGCCCGATAATCCTGTAGAGAGCACCGCCGACACGAGATACGTAAACGGCGAGACCCGGTACATGAAAATCCAGAAGCGTGGTAAGGCCGAGGGACTCGCCAGGACACTGTCAAAATAGCACTCATGTTAGTAACTTGTTGGATACCCTCTCGGTCGGCAACAGGATCCACTAGAGTACTTACCCGTTAAACACCAGGCACAGGGAGAATAGCAACTGTGCTAGGTTACTACCAGTCTCCGGCTGCTCGATTCCCGCAATCATCATCGAACTGAAGGTCGAGCTGAACATCAAGAAGATGAGAATCAACAGGAACATCGTGCCACCGCGTGATGTCACCTGGCCAGGCGGCGCATTCCGATAGAGCCCGATCGGATAGTACCAGGAGAAGTACACGGGTACCGACATGATGATATTCCAGGGCAGTTCCACAAAGATACTGGCCAGCATAAATGCCTTCCATGAGTATGCCTTGGACGGTCGCTCGCGCACTTCATACAATGCTCGCTGGGTCACGAAACTGGGCATCATCTGCTGGACCAAATTCGGGAAGATGATCAGCAGCATGAAGATGGCAAACATCTGGTTCTGTAATCCCTGAAGACTGTTGGGCATCTTCCAGAATGTGAAACCGATGAAGAGTGGCTAAGAAAATATTAGAAACGAGTCATGAGAATCAGACAATCATGTCTCTTTAGGGACAGAATACTTACCGGGAACACACACATGGCGGTCTTGGAATACAGGTATCCAGGGCTGCGGTAGTACTGCTGGAACATGCGCTGAATGCAAACAAGGAACTGGTACCAAATAGGTGTCGCAAACTCTCCATAACCAGTGGTAGCTTCGGGAACTGGCTTCTGCGAAAGCTCGGCCTTCATCTCTGCCAGATCTGCTCGCACCTGAGCACGCTCTGGACTTTCGGTCCATACTTCTGCCCAATCACGGTCTGCATGAGATCCAGGTGCAGCACCAATCACCTCAAGCATCCATTCCGCGGGATTGGCATTCTCGGGACACTTGATCGATCCCTTGTCCTCGAAATACTTGATCAGGGTCTGCATGTTAGTGCCTAGATCTCCAAAGTACACGGTCCGGCCACCTCTGGCCAAGAACAGCAAGCGATCAAACTGCTGCATCAGCATGGCAGAGGGCTGGTGGATGGTGCACAGAACGGCTTGTCCATGGTCTGCCAGTTTTCGCATCAAGCTACAGATTGACCAGGCGGTTTGACTGTCAAGACCCGAGGTGGGCTCATCGAAGAAGAGTAGCAGGTCCGGCTTAGCAGCGAGCTCCACACCGATGGTCAGGCGTTTGCGCTGCTCGACGTTCAGGCCAGTTCCCAGAACACCCACGACGGCTTCAGCGTAGGCCTCCATCTCCAGCATGCGAATAACCTCCTCCACATAGGCAAGCTTTTCCTCGCGTGGAATGCTGTGAGGCTGACGAAGCAGCGCACTGAACATGAGGGCCTCGCGGACAGTGCTGGTTTCGAGGTGCAGATCCTGCTGTTGGACGTATCCTGTCTTCCGTTGGAAAGAGTCATCGCGAGGGCGACCGTCAACCAACATCTCTCCAGTGATGACACCCATCGTAATTCGATTGGCCAGTACATCCAGCAACGACGTTTTACCAGCACCCGTCACACCCATCAATGCAGTCAGCGTACCCGGCTTCACCCATCCATCGACACTATCGAGAATCCGTCGAGGCGTTCCTTTGATCCTGATGTCATAGCAGACATTCTCCCAGTGGAAGATGGCAGTTTGCTTGGCAAGGGCAGCGCTTTGCACAGCTAGATCTTGAGCCTCTCCCACAACCTCCTGCTTCTCTCCTTGTGTCGCTTCTTCCGGGTCGTCGTCTTGGCGGACCTTCTTCGCAAAAGCCGGGATCTTACCACGAGGGAACACCAGGATCTCACCCTTGGATGGCTGAGCCCGGATGTACTCACTAGAGACGATGTAGGCGATGAGGAACGCAACAAAGAAACCACAAAGGATACCAAAGTTTCGCCACAGATGCTCCTTGTAGTAGCGGAAGGTGGTATTGATGTAGGCATCGCCATCGATGAAATCCTGACCGGCAACTGCGCCTTTCTGCGAGCAGATCTTGTTGCTGAGGGGGGCATTTGCGTAGAGTGGACCACCGGGAACATATTCCGAGCATGGGAAGCGGCGACCACTGAATTCGTTGATCATCAGGGATTCGAAAGCGTACTAGTCTTGTTAGCATATCACTTCATCAGGTTAACAATGGGATCTTCATACAGCAATCGGATTCAGATAGTTAAGCCACCGGAACCAAGGGTGCATGTCTCTGACTGGAATAGTAAAGCCGGTGTAGATGACAAGAATCATCATGAAGATTGATGACGGAACCATTGCCTGGGCCATGGAGCGGGAACCTGCGCCGATCGTGCGGAAGAGGTTTGACATCACGAGGGTGGTGGTGAAGGAGAATAGGAAGAAGACGAAGAAGTGGCCGGCCGTACGACGGAGATGCGGGATGAAGTAGATGATGATGTTGAACGTGACCGCAACCAGGACCTTGGATGGCATCTCCACGATATACGAGCTGATCGCTTCGGCAGAGGGGTGGTACAGCGCATATTTGTAATGCTTCTCGACGATGGGTCGTTGTTGCCAGAGGGTCAGAATTTCCAGGGAACTGGCAAACGCGTTCAAGAGGATAGCGAAGAAGAGCAGGGCACCACGCTGGAAGAAGCTACCTGTATTGCTTGGCAAGTCGAGGAAAACGGTGGAGATAATAATGCCCATAACAGTATTACCAATGACCGATGCTATGGTCATGCTCATATCGCCCTTGAGCCGCAGGAAGCCACGCCACAGGCAAAGCTTGACCTGCATCGGATACGAAAGGGTGTAAGGTGATTGGACACGAGTCCCCTTGGCTTTCTCTGCAGCACGAGAGCGATTGAAGCTATCGAACTTTTCTCCATCAACCGGATGGTGATCACGGCTATTCTGGATCTCCTGCAAGAGCTGCTCTCGTTCAGCACTCTCTCTCCAGCGAGCTGCAAACTCATCGGGAGTCCGTGGGACAAGACCCTCAAAGCCATCACGAACTCGTCGCTCGGATGGACTAGTAAGGGATGTCAGGAAGTCTGCAGTGGTTTGTCGATCAGGGCAGTAGAAGCCCATGTCGATGAAGAAGCGCCGAGCATCATCAGCCCTGCCAAAGTAGATTTGGCGGCCCTCGTAGAGCACGATGGCCTTGTCGAAGATGTCATAAATGGACTGACTAGCCTGATAGATGGCTACAACAGCGGTGGATCCACTGTATTCAGTCGACAAACGAATGTTCTTGACGAACTCCAGGGCCGTCGAACTATCCAGGCCACGAGTACTGTTGTCCCAGCACTGCAAGGGACTACCACAGAGGGTAGTCTCTGCAATACTCACACGCTTGCGCTCGCCTCCAGATACTCCACGAATGAACTCATTGCCGACCTTGGTATTCATGGTGTGGGACAGGCCAAGCATGGCCATCACAACATCGCGCATGTGCTCCGCATACTGATCACGGCTGACTCCTGGAAGGCGATTGCTCGGGGCGCGGGCCTGGGCAGCAAACAGCAGAGTCTCTCCGGCTGTCAACATGGGGAAGTGAATCTCCGTCTCTGCCTGGTAGATCACTTCACCACGGAATCGTCCATGCATGTGATCCCATGAGATGCCCTCATATTCGATATCTGAACCGTCAGCGAGGAACAGACCATGAGTTTCACCAGCGATTGTTCGCAGGAACGTGGAGCATCCACTGTAAAAATACATCAGTACGTGTCTATTTCCATCAAGATTGAATTTCAAAACTTACCTTCCAGGACGACCCAGAACCACCAACATCTCACCCTCATGCACGATTCCTTCAAAGTTCCTCAAGATATCAATGCGCTTCTTCTCGCGCAACCCCAACTGACCCTGGACCCAACTGGCCATCTTCAGCCAAGCATTGCCAAAGTTGGTCTGGTAGTCGGCAGCCGTGCCATACCCAAAGACGTTCAAGTTGCGAAACGAGACACCTGCCGAGCGACGCGGGTACCGGTCCGGATCACGCAAGGTCATCTGGAGAAAGTTCTTGGCCCACTTGCGGGAGTTGAAATTATCCGCATCATTGGGGTTCAATTCAGGGTCCTGCTCGGTTTCCAGGAAAGTGTTGATCCCCTCTTGGTGGGGCTCACCCTTTTCCGTGTAATCTTTGTTCGACAGCTGTGAGAAAGTCCGGGCAAGTGCAGTGATTTCCTTGTGGCGCATCTCCTCAATCTCGTCCGCCGTGACGGGAGTGGCAGAGTCGTCGATATCACCGATATCACCGCTATCCTTCTGTGATCCTTCTTCGGTCATGGAGTCTTCGAGGCGTTGATTCATCAGGCGCGCCGATGTCTGTGACACAGCACCACTCCCGAAGGGTGCGGGAGGCTGTGGTGACGCCATGGTCGATGGAATCAAAATTGCATTGGAAAGGGACGGGCTCGAGGATGGGGTGAGGAGAAGGATGAAGAAGGGAGAAAGAGAAGAGAGAGACGCGAAGCCCAAGAGTGTCGCAATAGCGATTACGCTTTTCGGCAGGTACGCTGGCCGTTCGGATATCGGAAGAGGGCGTTTCCGGATGACATTATTTTTCGATAGCTAAGCTGACTGCGACGCCTGATACGGAAGATGGACTACTTCCAAGACGGCGGGCCTAGCGAGTGTTTCGGTGGTTCCGTGCCTGGACGCTAAAGACCTTGTAGCGTCTACTTTAAGGTTGGCGGGTGACTCCACCGTTGGAACGAGTATCCAGTACCTATTCATTTGGGAACTCGCTACGAAGTGTATGACCAGCAAGGCAGTCAGAGATTCGTGTCGTGCCAATAATCAACGGTGATGATTATGGCTCCATCGCACTCCTTACCACGGAAAAACTCGCTTTCGAAAGTCAGATGCTGCGGGTGAGCTACCCGATCATCAATTTCATTGTAATCCAGGACTCCGATTGGATGCGTATTTGTCGTATTATCCCCCCCGGACCCATGAAGAGCATTAGCCCATTTAGGATAGCTTCCGGAGGGTGACGCGGGGGTCGCAGCGACTGGTTGGAATTTACGAGTTACGAGATAATCCATGATTGAGCACGGCTGACGCAAGGATCGAGAGGGTCTTTAGTGGTGGGAGATGATCGTTCACTATTTATTGGTAGATTGCACAATTGGACTTTCGGGAAGATTACATCCGAAGGCTACTGATCGAGATTCAGCGTGAGAGTGTTAGCAGTGGTCACTATCAAGTAAAAAGAATCGATTTCCAGTGTAACTGCAGCCATGTGGCAACACGTGGATATCTACACTACATACTGTACATACTCTATTGACAATACCTGCCATAAGTAGAAGGAGAAGAGTTATCAGTCTTATTAAGGCTCGAGTACGGAGTATACCTGACTTGTAGAAGGCCCCCAGTTAGCGCCAAGTTACTCCTCTGATTATTAGCGAGGGTCCATGCACGACATAATATCCTCCGACAACTCTTTTCGTTTTCTCCTATTTCCTATCTACTTCTACTCTCTCTACTTCAGCCATGCTTACATCGACCCCTTTCCCCTTTCCCTTCCACTAACCACCACTATTGCAGCCACCCTCCACCCTCAGCACCCTCGAATATCTCCCCTTTAAAGCCCACGCAACACACTCTGTCGCCAACCAGCCGAGCGACCGCCAAAATCACTGCTAACCGGAGGCAACACCGCCTCCTGGAGAAGCACCGCCTGAGTAATTCTCAAAATGCGACCACTGTTTGAGACAGCCTCCGCCGAGATTTGCGCAGAGGCATGCCCAGAAAATACAAACTCGGTCTCAAAGCCCCGACGCGGGACCTCACCCAAGTAGGATCGCGACCCATACCGGTCGGTGACCGCATAGAATCGCCAAACGGCCGTCTCGGTATCTCCATTCCACGAGACATACACGGCTGTACCCGAGGAAGTCTTTTGCGCGACGATGGCAGGCTCCTCGGTCGGCAGACCGGTCCAGTTGTACCGGAATGCACGATAGTTCTGGACGCCCTCGCCAAGGAGCCCCGAGTCCATGTACGCATGGAGAATGGGAGTTCCGTCCGGTCGGAATTCGGTCAAGGCTCCTTCGGAGCCCCAATTGACCAACGCATTACCGTTGGGCAGGATTTGAGTGCTACCCTGCGACTTGGCGAGGAGTCCATCCGGTGGTTGGAACGCCTGAACGGTCCGTGCGGTCCAGGTGGCCGTGTTGACTGAGATAATCTTACCCTGCGAGAATGGGTGCGTGTGGACTTCGTGGCCGCGATGGTTTTCGGTGCCATGGGCGGAATTGTCGAATAGTGAGATGATTTCCTCGTCGCCTTCTTGAGAGAGGAACCGCGCGTGGTGCTGGAAGCAGAAACGCACATTGGGACCTAGGTCAAAGTCTGACCGGAGTCCACCGAGGCGCCAGATTATCTCGCCGGTGGTTCCATTGATCTTGTGCACGGCACAGGCATCACGGGCGGAGATGAGATAGTTGCCCTCGGCGTCTTTGTCGACCGAGTTGATGTGGAAGTAGTCCCACGCATCGGAAGAATTGTAGCCTGCGCCTGCCTGGCCGGGATTCAGCGGGAGAACCGCTTCTACATGGCAACAGGTGGTAAGTATTGATTGATTGAGTAGGATAACAAGGTAGAATGGACACTTGATGTAGACTTACCATCCGGACTAACATGCTCTAGGCTGGACCACTCAAAGAGTAGTTCGCCGGTAGCAATATCCAATTCTGGATAGTCAGGTTAGATATTAAACATGCGAAAGTTCTCAATCTTGAATAACGTACCCTGGAAGATAGCATCCACAATCCACTGCTGCTCCGAGCTGCCACCCCACTGACTCAGGTCAATCGGAACGGGCTGATACACCTGAATCAGGGCAGTCTTCTCATCGATCACATGAAACTCATGCTTATCCATGAGCTTGTGATTACCTGCCCGCAGCTCACGAACAGTCTCATAATGCTGGTTCAGAATAGTTGCATGGCCGTGTCCGTGTCCATAACCCGGGTTATGGTCACCTTCAAAGCTGAACAATACATCCTGGCCCTTCCACCGGGCAGCCTGGAAGTTAGCCGCCCAGATCGAGTAGTAACCGTATCCAGACCAGACCAGCTCGCCGTCATCCCGGAAGATGTACGGACCTTCCTGGCGGGGACCATGGAATTGGGGTTCGGCCCATTGACCGGCGAAGGGGGCTACGAAGAGGTATCCCTTTTCGACGTCCGCGGTTGCCGGGATGGTGACGTTCAGGCGGGGCGGAGCAAGGTCGGTTCGAGACTTGAATTGCCAATCTGCTGCTGCCAGAGGAAGCAGGATCGCGGCACAGGTGGCGGTTATAAGAACCTTCATGGCGGTCCGGGTTGACTAGTCCAGCGATCAGTTTCCATGATGAAGTCCATCATGTGCAGCGAAGGGTACATTAACCTTAGGTTGGTATTCTGCACTGGTAAGGAGTCGTCAATGACGCTCTAATCTTTTTATTGGAGGTATACTGTAGTAAAAATGCTTCTCGGAGTTTGGGGATTGTCAAGAGGCTGGACAAAAGGCGGGGTTTATATACTTCGGCCCAACTTTAACGTCATTAGGGGTCTCACTTCGTCATGGAGGTATTGACCGAATACGAGTATATATTACATACAATAAAGTAATAAGAACTATGATTCTATCGAATAATGATCAAACAATGACAATGAATTATCTTGTAAATACCATCCATTGATGTACATCATGTAAATTCCCCGTCGGATGTCGTGATTGCCCCACGCCGCTTCCCGAAAGAGTCCCCGAGTCACTGCGATCTCGGCAATCTTTCTTGGCTTGGACCTGCACTTGAAAATTTCTGTCCCGGTTTCACGTACTTGTTGGGTTTTCATTTACTAGATTTGTATCTGGCGCCATTTCCTTGTTGACTGTCGACAACGACATTCGCTTGTCCATTTTACCTCTTTCAATTGCTTGCATTCGACCCCTCCATGGCTGCCCATCATACTGAACAAACAGTTTCCGCGACTATCGCACAGACTATATCAGAATCAATTCACGATTCAGCAGCCATGCTAGTCCCAGATGAACAACAACCTTTGCTGCGCTCGAGAAGCCCAGCTACAACATGGAAACCGCCAGC